ATATATATACACACTCTAGCTTCCCAATAATTGGTGGTTTGGATTGACAGTTTAGCGGTCTGTGGGTGGTTTCCCATTGGCCTCTATAAGACCCAAGGATTCAAATCCACAAACAACATTGTAGTATGTTCTAAGGAGACCCCAAACCAGGTTGGAGTGAAAGTAACACAAGGTTCCCCCCAACGATTGGCCGAGATGCTCAGCGTTCAGCTTCTTCTTACGCACTTCCGGATCAGTGATGCCCGTGTTCATGATGCCCACGGACCTCGCGACTTGACTCTCGACCGGCTTAAGGTGTGACTTCATGCTGGACTAATTGCTATAATTCTGGGCAAGTTGGAAGCAAATCTAGTTGAATCTAAGCTAATCACTATCATTCACCAAAGGATCTTCATCAGGAATCCTTGCTCTTACCCACAAATGAGCTGCCCATGAGGCCGGGTCAACTGGCTCCTGTATCCCATGTTCTCGAACAAGAGGACACCATAGTTGAATCCAACTCAAGCAAAACAGGGTGGCCTTAAAAAAGGCGGCGTTCCATGTAATCAAACCTGAAAAAAGTAGACACACACACACACACACCCATTTGTTTTTATTCCCACCATCGCTTCCACCAGGATGTCCAACTTTACATCTTGGCCCCAAACCTACATCACCACGTCTCTCTCACTCATCTACGTGCCCCTGACACCTATAAAACGGTCAGGTCACCTTTGGTGGGTCAAAGACAGTGAAGTTTCAACCAGGAAAATATAGGAACCCGTGTATTACACCCTCTTTGGGCTTAAGCCACTCACCAAAAAAACGGTCATGCTTAAACCACGGCCCGCCTGAGGCCAAGAAAGCCGGCGCCGTAGTTCCCCGGCTCATCGTTGATCTGCTCGTTGTAGATCTGTTCGCATCCACAGAATGCCGCTCAAATATGGCTGTGGCTCAAGAAACGGTACCCAAAGTGGCACCCTACATGGAAACAAAGACCCAAACCTGCGAAACCCTAGCTCTTGAACTTTCGAGCCACACCCAACTGGCATTGACTTCATGTCCCAGCCAAACAGAATCTAAGGCAAAACGTGAAGTGTCCGTGAAGTGTCCTATCAACGAACCAAACATGATTAACCCTCAGTTTGCAGAAAACCAAACATGCAAGGATGTGGCTTCCCGTCAAACACCCAAAGGAAGGCAACACATGAGGTGGTTTCCCTTCAGCGACCTACAAGTACCTCGCAAACCAAACATGGCGAAACCAGGTGTCTTTCTTTCAAACACGAAAAACATAACCACCAAACAAATGACGTAGCGCATTGTTGTTCCCACTTTACGAACCAGGTAATATCCCCAACAAAAACACCAACAACGCATGGCAAAAAGTTACACTCCCCAAACCTGATGCTAGTATGACGAAATCTGGTTCGTACCCCAACGCCCCGCATTCTATGACTTTGGGTGCGAGCTTTGTTTTGGGATTCGGACTTCAGACTTCGGAGGGAAGGTCCTGTCCACCACTTCTGCGGTTGCAACTCTAAAAAAAACAGAGCCACATATGAGCATGTCAACATGAGGGGGACCCGAACAGTGATGTTCTTGGAGTCTCCCATTAAAACCACCACCCGAAGGGGACACAAAAAACATGTGTATATATACATATATATATAAATATAAATGTATACATGTGTATACATATATATATATATATATGGTACCCCCCCCCTGGAATACTCAAGTTTTTGGCCAGAAATTGACATGTTGGCTGTAAAATTGCATGCAAAACACACGTTCCAGCTTCTAAAAAATAGGCTCCAAAAATGCACTCCGTTTTAGACTTAAATTCTAGCATCGGTACTTAGGTCAATCCAGGATGTGCTAGCACGTGCTAGCACAGCCCGGATTGAAGATTGAAGATTGAAGATTCTGAGACCACTTGTTCTGGAAATCTTCAATCCATCCTTAGGACAAACTGATATGTGCTAGCACGTGCTAGCACATCCTGAACTGAAGATTGAAGATTGAAGATTCTCTGACAACTCTCTCTGGGATTCTTCAATCTTCAATCTTCAATCCAAGATGTGCTAGCACGTGCTAGCACATATCAGTTTGTCCTAAGGATTGAAGATTTCCAGAACAAGTGGCCCGAGAATCTTCAATCTTCAATCCAGGATGTGCTAGCACATGCTAGCACATCCTGGATTGCCCTAAGTACGTATTTGGAGAATTTCAGAAAGAGTTGTCAGAGAATCTTCAATCTTCAGATCCTGGATTGCCCTAAGTGCAGATTTGAAGAATCTAAAAGGCATACCCGGAGTGCACGTTGTCAGAATCAAATTGTGGATGTGCACTTGCACTGCCAAGCACCTGCATTTGGCCAGGGAGAAAATGTTGTTCACATCTTTACAGTTTTTTTTGTGGACTTGAGGGCTGGCCAGGATGGAAGATTCTCAATAGAAAATATAGTAGATCTTCAATCTTTAATGCAGGCGGCAAAACCATAATGAGTCTAGAACAAACTGTCAAGTTTTTAGGGGAGCTATCTTCTCCAGTTGATTATTGAAATCCACAAGAAACTCCAAACGAGTAAACTTGAATTTGGTTTGAACTCGAAAGCGTTTTAAACTTTAAACTGGATATCCTTCCCTTACTTGAATTTCAATACTTGTTATTGGCGATGATGGAACCAAGTTAGACAAGCAACACACACACATGGGATAGTTGCTTTGCAACATATGTTTCAATTAGACTGAACTGGCATGTACATGGAATTCTGCACAACACTCGAGTTAACATGTAAATGCAACTGCGCAAGGACATGAAGTAGGAATGAGTTCCTTTCCCCCAAGTTGATGATTTGCTGAATTTCGCTGCCAAGCCGGGAGTGCACATTGTCAGAATCAAATTGTGGAGGTGCACTTGCACTGCCTGCATTTGGCCAGGGGGGAAAAATGTTGTTGACATCTTTACAGGTTTTGTGTGGGCTTGAGGGCTGGCCAGGATTGAAGATTCTCAAGTCTCAATAGAAAATATAGTAGATCTTCAATCTTTAATGCAGGGGGCAAAACCTTAATGAGTCTAGAACAAACTGTCAAGTTTTTAGGGGCCAAGGATTGAGGATGTTCTAAACATATGTTTGTGGAATCTTGTATACTCGATCTTCGATCTAAGGCAACACGATCTGAGCAAATGCTGAAAAACACTGCCTTTTTGCAGCATTTATGCCAATAATAAGATCTATGATTGAAAGCACGTTCCAGGCATTGGCTTGGCTTAGTTCTTGCTTGGTTCAAACCACATGGAGTTCGATAAGGACAATAGCCATCTTCTCCAGTTGATTATTGAAATGCACAAGAAACTCCAAACGAGTAAACTTGAATTTGGTTTGAACTCGAAAGCGTTTTAAACTGGATATCCTTCCCTTACTTGAATTTCAATACTTGTTGTTGGCGATGATTGAACCAAGTTAGACAAGCAACACACACACATGGGATAGTTGCTTTGCAACATATGTTTCAACCAGATTGAACTAGCATGTACATGGAATTCTGCACAACACTCGAGTTAACATGAAAATGCAAATGCGCCAGGACATGAAGTAGGAATGAGTTCCTTTTCCCCAAGTTGATGATTTGCTGAATTTCACAGCCAAACAAAATATGAAACACACAATAGTAGAGCTGCTACAGGCACATTGAGGCTGCCAAAGCATACTTCGCGCACTACTCTTGTACTGGACAGTTGTGCTTTTCGAGCTGGAGCTGCCAAAGTGAACTTTGCATACTTCAATGTGACTTTAAGTGCACTTCGCGCGCCAATGTGACGGTCACACAACTCGCAACTCTTCAACGTTGAGCTTAACTTCTGCTTGGTTGGAATTTGTATGGAGTTGAGCGTCCAGTCAGTTCATTTCAGAGTCGCAAGGAATTTGTCACCCCCAGTCTGGCAAAAAAAACCTCAGTTCTGGCCCAAAACCTGAGTATTTCAAGGGGGGGGGGTAGCATATATATATATATATATGCAAACATACATGTGTATATATCCCTCAGGGTCCAAGTACTCTATACTGAGGTACTTTCGTGAAAAAGCCGTGCTTCTGACACTCCTGGGCCCGAGTACGTGAATATTGCGGATTCTCATTTTGAAGCCATTTGGGAACACAAACCCAGCGCAGACCACGCGATACGTTCATCGCTGGATGGCACACAGAAGCACTGCCTAAGGCAACATGTCATACATTCGCCTCTAAAGCGGGGTTTTGCGGGTCAAAAGCCTCGGGATGCTCAAAGATGCGCAAAGATCTTAATGCCTGAGTAGCGACAAACTACCTTCTGCATTGTTTCAAGCTGAGGGACTGTTGCCGAATGTTACACATGTCTTCACCATGTCCGGCAAGAACAGCGATCGTGGGGAAAGTGCAGCACCGATATGGCATCGCAACATCCTTCAGTGCATCAGAATCACCCTGGTGGCATCGAAACAGCACTCGCGCATTAAATACGTTTCCCAGAACTAATGCCGCAATTTAACGCGATTTAACGCCCGGAAGCTGGCATTCACGGTTTTTAACGCAATTTCATGCAACTTTATCGCGTGATGTGTGGACACTTTTTTCGCATGGCACAGCACTCACACATTAAACTAATGTACATTCTGAGGTTTAGTGCGATTTGACACAACTTAATCCGATCTAACTCCCACAACTGCGCCGGCACGGCTTTGGAAGCAACTTGTTTCAATCGAACACGACTTTACCGCGTGATATTTTTCTTCAACAACTGCAGCCTAGACCGGGTGGGTTGATGTGCTAGAGAGCGCAAGAGTCCTTTTTGAGCAACCCCATGCCCCCAAGACAAGCTGATCACCAAAGGTTATGATGCAACTATGCCGCGGTTGCAAATGAAGTGAAGCTGTCAGAGTAAAACACTCTTCCGCTAAGGGGATGGCTGAATTTTGGTGCAACACGGTGCAACATGTCATATTCACGGCTTTTCGCCCCGAAGCCGCGCTCCTGACATGTTGAGCCAAAACACACGAATATTACGGATTCCGTTAAGTACCTTGTAGTTACGGATTTGGACCCTCAGGTTATATATATATATATATGAATATATTTATGCATATATATATACACATATATACATATATAATATGTATATACATAATATATGTACATGTACTTCCCCGCGTATCTCTTGGCTTCCGGGCGTTGATCTCCACCAGCCCCGCGAAGCCCACGATCTGCAGCCAGCCCAAGGCCGGGACCTGAGCGGATCTCGGACCGACAGCGGACATCGTGTTTGGTGGATTCGGGTTGAACCGAGGGATGGGCTTGGGATTTGTTTCTAGGGGAATGATTCCACCAAGGGATGGTTTATGGGGGTAGTTGGATTCGAATGAAAGGGACACCGAGGGATGTTTGTTTGTTTTTGTTTAATTGGTTTGGGGATTGTTTCTAGGGGAATGACCTAGGGATTCTTGGATTCCTGAAAGAAACCACCAGTTTGATGGTTTATGGGGTGGATTCCATGTTCTCAGTCCCTGAGAACCAGCAAGATCCGTTTTGGCCATTCCCTGAGAACCAAGGCTTGGAAATTGTTTCAAGGATGACCAGGAAAAATCCCGAAGGAAGGAAAGAACCAGGGGGCTTCACTACATTTCTCAGTCCCTGATCAGTGGCAAGTGTTTGTTTTTGGGGATCCTTCTCAGGAAAGCCCGGGAGTCCGAAGGAATGAACATTCAGCAAATGGCGCCATGAGCGTCGGAAAGTAGGAAGTGCTATCTCAGAACACTTGTGCCCCTGCCTGAAGGATACACCTTGGCCACACCTGGGGCACACAGCAAACAATTTGGCCAAACTATGTTTTTCAAGGCGATGGTATGGAGCGGGCCATCAAAGTTGGCTGCGGTTCAACAATTTCCCCGGGCGCCGGAACTGCTCACGCCGTCCCGTGGAGACCACACAAGTCTGGCTATTTCAAGCTCGGGAAGCGCGAGCTTGTGTTCCGCGAGGGAAGCGGCTTGTCTAGTCTAGCCTTTGCGCCCAATGGGTTCTCCTTGCTGTTGCAAATGTGTTGGCTGGCGACCCAGGTTGAAGTGAGGGACCGGCTTTCTGTTAATCCCTTCCCCCTAATAATAAACGACCCCCCCCAAAAAAAAAGAAACATCCCGGCCGGCAACACATGTTTTTTATTATTAGGGATCCCCTGGATATGGATTTGTATTAATAGGGGGAAGTGAAATTAGTGAAAGAGGCGAGTCGGCCCTGGGCCTTCGGCCAGTTTCCCGCCTTCGAGAAGGCGCTGAGGCCGTTGGGCACCTCCGAGAACTTGACGTCCAGGAACTTGGAGAGGTACCCAGGGAACCTGACGCACCCGGGTTGGGGAGGGGGATCATTTTCGAACACCGATTTTGGATCATTTTCGAACACCGATGTCCTGGATCATTTTCGAACACAGAGTGGGTCATTTTCGAACACATGGGGGGGGCTATCCTGCGGCACCCGTAGGGTGGGGGGGGGGTGGGGTGGGAAAGTTACGTTCGCCTCTTACTGCGTGCCCGTGCAACTGCGCCCTGGGGCTGGGGGAAGGGGGCAACCAGGAGGCTCCGAGTCCCAAGTTACCTTGGCTTTTTGAGCTAAGATGTCCGCGACTTGCGCTCGTTGGCCCCCGTAAAGCCGTGAAAACTCGGCCTAGCGGCCGTAATAACTCGCGCGGGAAACTGAAAGGCCGTTACTACTCCGTGAAAAAGCCGTGAAAACTCGTGAAATTTCAAGCTCTGAGTTATCTTGTCCTCGCGACACAAAAAACCTCCTTAGCTCATACGGCCTAAGTAACTTGCGAATCGGAGCCCTGGAATTGCGATCGCCGCTTACTGCGTGGCGGCGCAACTGCGTATTGGGGCGGGGGGGGGTGGGGTGGGGCAGTTACGTTCGCTTCTTGCTGCGTGACCGTGCGACTGCGTCCTGGGGCTGGGGGGGGGGGTGGGGTGGGGCAGTTACGTTCGCCTCTTACTGCGCGACCGTGCGACTGCGCGCTGGTGGTGATGGTGTTGTTGGTAGTGATGATGACGATGTTGATGATGATAATCATGATGATGGTCATGATGATGATGATGATGATGATGATGATGATGATGTTGATGATGATGATGTTGATGTTGATGATGATGATGATGATGATGTCGCTTTGCTTTCCTTGCGCTTTGTGTTCCGGGTCTACAGTTGACGATTGTCTCCCAAAAGCACGGCGCCATCCATGTGCTACACGTGCATCGTGGTGCGTGTTCGTGCGCCTCATCGTGGTGTGCATGGACACTTGGAAAAATGGCCGTGCTGCTGTAAGTCACCTACTCTTGAGCAAAACCGCGTTCAAAAACGAGCCAAAACACGCGTTCAAAAACCAGCCAAAACACGCGTTCAAAAACGAGCCAAAACACGCGTTCAAAAACGACCACCTTCCCCCCGGGTTGCACCGACCCCATGAGCTGAGTCGGGCATATTTGGCCTTGCCCCGAAATGCAAAACCAAACTAAAAAAAACGAGCAGCGGGAATGCAGCAACATGCTCGTGAGCTCGTGAGCTTGTTACATTCCGCTGAGTTGGGCATACCATCCGTGCCGTTCGACTAGTGGGAATCATCAGAGCCGTTGGAATTGAAGCGATGCCAAATCAAGCACGGAAGTCCATTGGAGGCTCCAAGATGTTGGACAACTCATGAATGAACTTAGCAAGGTATGGCTTAAAACGTCAACTGGAACCAATGCCTTTGCAAACATGCGTGGTCACAGACAACAAGTGTTCTTGCACAAATTGGTTGCCCCAAATGCTGTCCAGTGAAGCTGGTTTCAATTCCGAGTCCCAGCAAGGTATCAGTCCACTAGGTGCTTCCTAAAGCATGCAACCAGTTGACCAAACTTGTGTCACCCGATTTGCTGGCAATCTAGGCAAATTATAACAAATTATCATGTTTAGGTAGTTCACACACCGAATTCCCCCCGCCAAAAAGAGCGAAACACAAGCAAACACAAAAACAGCACAACAAAGACATATATCATATAACGGGCTTCAGCATGGGTTGTCGCTCGTGTTTCGCCCGGTGAGCTCGATATGAGCAGCAAGACTACTGACACCAAGGCAAGCTCATAACGCTGGATTTATGTCTTCTGAAGCACGCACCTCGCATGAGGGTGTAATTTCCCATGCCTCCAGTACTCCGGCAGGATGTAGCCGATGGTGGCGAACATGGCCACCTTGGGCCAACAGAACGAGCCGAGCGCACCTCATTGAAGGCGGCAAACGTGACGTTGGCCGCATCTCCCCAAGTCTCCGGAAGAACAGCCTTTGGGCGAGCCAAGAGCCATGTACACACCCTGCATGCCGTGGGTAGAAGGTTCGTCTGGAGTCTGCATTTGCCGTGCAAATGCCAGAAACCTCCAACGATGATTCAAGCATACTCACTTCTGGAGATTAGACAAGATGGCCTAGCAACGGCGGTATTCCTGAGGGGGTCAAAGCCAGGAAATACGCGTTGGCTGGTGGCTTCTTCCTGGGGAGTCTAAACCAAAGTGTCTGGAAAATCAAAGCAAATGAGACGCATGAGGTGCTTCCCCAAAACATGCAAGCCACATAACCAGTGAGGCAATCAACTTTTTCCCAGGAGCAGAATGGTCGAGTGACTTGGCAAACCTGAGTCTATTATGTAAATCTTCATGTGCAAATGATGGAGAATCGTATCTTATGCGGATTCAATGCCCGTGGCAGCGAACCCACAAACACCCGCATGCATCTACCCTGTCTCCAACAACGGGAGCGAACAGTGCTCTGAGAGACTGTCCTCACAATCGCAATCCTCCCGTGTCCCCTTTCCATGATAGTCTCCTTGTGGATTCACTGAAACTCGACGATGGATGAGTAAGGATACCTAGCACCCAGCCACCCCAAAATCAGGGTAGCAGCTACTTGACCCCTAAAATCCGTTACGCGTTTCGTGTGATCCGGAATCCGATTTCTAATCAACCCAGCCAATTTCAAACGCGATCCCAGGATTCCCTATGCTTGCCCTTGAAACATCAATGGAAGCTCACCTAGACGCCCAAGACTGTGATGTGGGAGTTGATCAACAGGTCCTTTACATGGGGTGACCAAAAGGGAACCCTCCGCAAAAGACGACTTTCGCCACGGGAAAAGTTGCCCGTGGTCATTTGGAGGCCGAACGGAATATTGATCAACGCCCATGATGGGTCAAAATCAAACCACCAGGAATTGGACCGCAGATTGTAGTCCATGTTTCCATTTCCCAGGGCAACCCATTTTGGGGTTGCCCTACTTTTGACCCACTTTGGGGTTGCCCTACTTTTGACCCACAGCCATGTGTCCACCCACCGGGTTGAAAAGAAGCCTAGGGATCGAGTCTGCGGCTTGGGTTCCGCGCTCGGCCGTGCTTCAGCTCCACCTCCCGGCGGCGCTTAAAGTCCTCGGCTCGGCGCGCCAGAGCCTTGCCATTGAGCTACATATGGCCATGGGGCATAACCTATGGCGATCCCATTTTGGGGTGGATGAACATCCATTTGCCACCTATTTTGACGTTCAACAGGGGTACAAGGTTTTGACCCACAGCCATAGAACGAATATGGATTAGGTGTGTGGTGTGTGGGTGGTTTGGTGTTGAGGGGACCCCTTTTCTGGACGGGGTCAAAAGAAAATCAAAAGGAAAGCAATCACTTTTGGGCCCCCCCAATAGAATCCTCCATGGAAGAGGAAAAGGGACCTTCATCGGAGGTGCTGCGCACCTCAAAAAGGCCCTTTATGAGGTCGCGAGATTCTTCGGGTATTCACTAAAAGGTCCTCGTGGCATGGTATTACACACTCTTCGGACATTGATAGGCAACAAAACCAGCCAAAACCTCTCTGTGGAAAATTGTTCAGGACATGCCTTGACCTTCAAACCGCCATGCGTGAGCAATGAAAATCCCAAACCCCTAGTGGCCATGGGAAACTCCTGGCCCACTCGGGCAGTTCATCTACGGAAACTCCTCCCAACACATACTATGCCAAAAAAAAGCCGCTGGGTTTCAACGGGGGGTTCAGCGAAGAAAAAGAAGAGTCCCGAAGGTGGTCTCGACTGAAATTGCGCGGATACATTTGCATTGCAATAATGATACCCTCCTACAAACAAACCATAAGCCAACAACACATCCACGAGTGAGCTTGTTTTATCCTCACATGGACAATGGTGGCCCCTGATTCCTAAACCCAACTCAACTAGTTCATTGATCTGGGGTCAAGGGTCCCTCTCTGTGCCAACCTTGGATTGGTCATCAGGTTCCATGTGGGTGCCAGCGCAAGCTTTCGACACTTTGACAAGACGAGGACATGTCTGCTTTGGGATTCCTATCCACATTGACTGCTTTGTTACTTTCAAAGGGATTGCCTTGTCCACTCACAAGAAGCGTATAACCAGATGTTCCAGCCACAGAAAATGGCCACCTAAAACCCAGGATTTCCCCGCGTTGCGGATGCCTAGAAGCCCCCCTCAACTGACATTTCCAGCGAGCTCCTTGCCCCTCATGGGAAGATTCTCTTAGAACCCGTCACCTTGAGTGGCTCACGGTCGGGCAAACGCCTTTGGGCTCCCGGCGGAGAGGTTGCCGCTGGCAGAGAGGCCCAGGGGGTCCCAGAAGCCGACCGGAGGCTGGACCTGGAATTGGAGGGGGGCTGGAAATTCTGTTTGCTCATCCCAAAGACATAACCCAGGCCCCATTTTGAGGACATCCACCATCCCGGGGTTTGAGTCTACCTTGAGAGAATGAAACATGGAACACTTGTTCAATATGTTCTTTTGTCTGATGGTTTCCCTTTGAAACGACCCCAATAAAAGTCTAAGGGTGCGGCTGGAAACCGCCAAGCAATCGATGGTCCGCGAGTTAGTTGAGCGATTTCGGTAGTACTTCACAAGAACCCCTTTGCTCATGTCTGTAATGATGGCGAACAAGCACTTTGTCAAAAGCAATTGGATTTAGTTAACCCCATCTGGGCCAAATGCAGGTTAGAGTGTGTCCCTTTTGGTTATCTATTCTTGGACGGTCCACTGGTTTCTCTTTTGGTATCCTACTCTCAGATGGTCCGGCAAAAAAAAACACATGGTTACCCAAACCCTCTTGCAACCACAGATTTGCTGAAGCACGCAAGGCCAACCACTTAGAGCCGCTGTGGTCCCTCTTTCAGCCGTGGCGCGCCCGTCTCCTCCTCAAAGGCACGCAGGGGGCTGTCGGTGTAGAGGGACCAGTCGCCCCAGGCGGAGCCTGCAGAAAGAAGCCTTCGGCTTACCGCAACGTTTCCCTTTTAATTGGGGTGACCCGTTGAGTGGGTTCCAACACATGGGTTCTGGGATGTTACACACAAAATGATTACCCTGGTGCCCTGAGTTGAAACACCAACAACCATCTAAGGCGAACAGCTCGCACCTTTCTGGTTGTACAATCTGATGTCAACATTTCTAGCGTATGGTCCCTGGAGACTCACTCCAGGCAGCTCACGAATTGTCATTCTCATATCCTTTGCCGAACAACTAGATATCTTGACCTTGACTGAATTGGGTTTGTCCAAGAAAGGAACCTTTTGATGATGATCAACGGGACACGGCGTTGGACAAATAACAGGAAAGCCAACCATTCAGGACCTCCGACTTTGCATCGAAACTGGGTCAAGAGCAAAACCCGAGAAGCATCTTGTCGCATATCCGTTTGTGCGACTGGAGCCTTCACCTCTCCGGATTGACCTTGTTGAATAGGAGGGGATTGTGAATGAAGCATCAAGCTGGTCATGCAAACCGCGTTGCAGCTACCAACAATTCATGTCCCACCAACCAAATGCCTGGCTTTCCCCAAAAAAAAGTTGGATCCCAAATTCAGCCCCATGGGTGGAAACCACGTCACCAAGTCCCACCCCCGACTTGCGAAAAGCAAGGATTGCCTTTCATGAGCCCAGTCTGCAAAATCACCCTTTCAGTGAAAGGTCAACACGCCAGATGAAGGCCAGCATTGCCAAAAAACCGCTTGGACCAGCTCCGGGCCAAACCAAAAAAAAATAGATTTCCCGAGTTTCATAGTTGGTCAACCCTAAAAGCTGGATCCCGGTTTTCGGAGAGCCCAGAAAAAAAAAAAAAAAAAAAAAAAAAAAAACAACAACAAAAAAAAAAACAAGGAGCCGCGCTGAATTTCGGCGGTCTGATCAGGGTTGGACGCCATTCTGCCTCGGCTCCTCGGAAAATTGCTGAGCTCTTTGTGGGACTTCCCCCCAGCAACCCCCAGCCTTTAGTCGCAATGTACCCTAAGCCTCACCACAACTTGGATACCGTTTCAGTGGTCCTTTTATGCCTGGAAGGGAAACCTAGAGGAAACCTGTCAGTCTTCGGGGGTCCCTATCTCAAAGCCACCCACAGTAAGTGCTCCACTGATACAGCTGGAGTCTCTATGATCCTTTGAACATGGGTGCCTTATCCAAAATCCTATTTGTTTCAGGGTCATGGAGACTCCAAGAAATCACTTGAGATCCAAGCACGAACAAAGCCTACTAAACGGGCAACTACTGGACATCACCAAGCCTTTGACCCAGACATTCCTCCAGGGCATTTCACGTGCGGTGACGAAACCCCGCCTGTGAGCCCATCTTGGAAGAACATGCCAATGATCGCCATCCTGAGATACCGACAGCCGCGGAAATTGAAGTGGGTAGTACCCCTAAATTAAAGCTTCCCCATGCCAAGGACACATTTACATGCTTTAGTGGTTACCGTACCCCGTTTTCCCTTGGTAGTGGAAGTGGAAACCTTCTTAGAGGAAGGGAACTCTCTTTGGCCATGAATCTGACTCGGACCTTGTGGTGGACATGGGGGGATGTAATCTCAATTGAGAAGGGGCTTAATAACTGCTTAATAAGACTTAATAAGGCGTAATAGCGCTTAATACCGCTTAGTCCCGCTGAATAAGGCTTAATGAGGCTTAATAAGGCTTAATTTGGTTTCGGGCATATTTCCTCAAATCTGGGGATGCCCTCCCTCGGGAGGCTCTTCAGGGACACATGATTTAAGTTAATCTTTACGAGCGCAAACGAGCTGGTGTAGTCGTAGCATCACATGGACTCGAGGAGATTTGCCTGTGGGCATTGCCACCGGGCAATTCAAGTCGCGATCTCGAAATCGATGCTGAAAAGCACGTTTTCCTTGTGGAACCAAGGCTGACAATTGTTAAGAAATTTGCGTACCCGCAAGGTTGCAACCTTACTTGCTTTTCTTTTATTTCACATGGACATGTCCTTCGGGGCCAGACTATGGTGGCATCGCGGGGAATCCGGGGAGAGCCGAGTCCGGCACACAAAACCGCGAACTGCCCAGATTCTGCGCCGTGGGCAACCACATCGATTGTGGACCAAATACCAAAGAGCTGTGCCATCTTGACATGTTTGTCCATATGCAGAGTGAGTGGCCTTCTTGAAAGTGTTGCTGTTTCGCGACTTGCGCAAGTAGAAGCTGGAAGGAGCAAAATGGTGTAAACATGTGTAAGCTTTTGTATGTGTTAACTATTCTGCCCTTGCATTAAGCCCTGAGAATCACTGTTGCGTGCAGCTGCCTTAGAACATCGCTGGATACGCGCTCTGTAGAATGACACAGTGATCCCGGATCTTGTACTTGTGTACGACATGTACACCTTTACTCCAGCCCGGAATCGACAAAGTGCAACAGGTGCTTGTTCGCCCTGTCCACGATGCAACAAAACACAAAACACAAGAGTGACCCAACTACGAAGACCAGGCCTTCACTGCGAAAATCGGGCCCGCCTTTAGTTGCTTGGTTTTTGAAGGGACGCGGAAAACACCCTCCCAAAAGCATGAGGCTCCGACAAGTGGTTTTAGCTGGCCCAAAAGTATCCTTTGAGGGACCCTGTTTGAAGAAGGTTGCCAGTCTCTCGCCATCTTCGCAAAATTTCAGACAGTAACAACAGCAAAGAACGGCGTGAGCGTGGGAAGCTGGTGGGGAGGGAATCTGTGGCAATCCAAACTTAATATCTAAACTAAGTGGGTCTTCCCGTGCAAGAAAACATCGACATCACCGCAAACATGAGCAGGAAGGCTTAGTCCATAATCCACTACCATCCACTACCCAAGAACTCAGGGAGGAGGCGCTTCCAGGGCTAAGGATCTACCCAAAGTCAGCCACTCTGAGGCCGACGCATGGCGAGGCGGCCGTTCGCCAACTCGGCGTTGAGCTTGCGCTTGCGCACCTCGGCGTCCGGGGAGCTGATGGCCTTCCAGCCGTAGTCGCCTGGCGATTCGACTAATTCGCCCAGCGCGAGGTGAGCCCCCAGGCTCAATGGGCACCACATGTCCTCCCCAAATAGACGCAACCTGCCAGTTTTCAGGGAATGTGAATTGGAATGACCCCTGCCATGCCCTACATGGTTTTCTTTAAGGGAAGCCCTGAGTTCTGAGCACCATCAAGGCAATAGACCAGCATATATGATGCCTCAGTTGCTCTCATAGGCTATGGTTCTTGTTTGACGCCCTTTGACCCCATGGCTTCAGACCGCCTGGGGTGCCGTTGAACTTGTAGACGAAGAGCTCGTAGTAACCCGCGAAGGCCACGATCTGCGCCCAGCCGTTGCCCGGGACCTGGCAACCCATGACGGCTGCCCGAAGCGATCCCCGGATCCAGACCTGGGAAGATGCACTTGGTATAGTGGCTTTAAAGTGGACCAGCCCTTAGCTTGGATTCGGGGCTCGAGTCTGGCAATTGTGCATGGAAATACATCCGAGCAGCGACCCTTTGTGTATAGCAACGAATGCCCCCAGCATCTAAGGCCAAGAAGTCGTCAACAAACATCTGCAAAATATGCTGGCATGTGGACAAGCAATTACCTTCTGACAGAATGCATCTTGGTCAACAATAAAAATACATCATTTTGACAAGGCACCCTCCGCACAAATCATCTTCATTTCGGGTTGTGGGTAAGGGCACCAGGCCAATTTGTAGCTGTTGTCCCAATGTGCCCAGATTGTGTATGTGAAGACAAGTGTGTTTTTTTGTGCTCTGGCTTCAGCCTCTGAATCACCTTTTCATGTGGGGCTCTCTTTGGGGGCTGTGGCCTCATTTAGTTTCAAGGAGGTTTTCGATCTCAGCAGGTTCTTCCTAGACAGAAGGTTCCAGCAGAACTCTGGGGGCTTCTTGCTCGAACCCAAGAGGGCTCTTCTTGAAATTCAGGGGGCCCTTAAAGAATGTGCCCAAACATTCAGAAGCACTCTGGTGTTCTTGGGCGTGTGTTTCTAGGCGGCGGGAGGGACTTTGGCCCTTCTTGGCCTTTTGTTGTGTTATTACTATGTTTTTCTTTGGACGTGTTTGGACCTTGTAGATTTGTTTACATTTGTCTAGGGTGTATGGAAGTGATAAAGTGTTGGGCCTTTATTCGGCCACTGGCAGGTTTATGTTATCACTAGATTGCATCTTGAGAAGCGTTGTTTGCTGTAGGATGATGGGGTGAAAGTGCTGCAGGCAGCGGCAGGGTTCTAAATAGGTTGTTGCGGCTCCAAATAGATTATTGGAGGCCCTGGCTGCTTTGGGATGGGGTATCCTTGGGAGGGGAAAACTGAGCTTGGCTGCTATAGTCACGGGCCAGGCTTCTAGATAGAATTTGGGAGGTATGCCGCAGCACCTTGAAGCTCATTCAAGGTTCTAGTCTAGATAGTCTTGTGTACTACCTTGAAATGTCTAGCACACTTGTTTGCAACGGGGCCCTAGCAAAGGTGTCAAAGCAAGAGATTGCTAAAGGGGTCTATTATTAAACAGCGCTACTCAGAAAATCAAGGCTGCAAACCTATGTACTAGAAAACAGCGGACAAAAACAATCAACACAAAACAAAACAACCACATATGAGTCACAATCAAAACCCGGTACAAAAATGGTGAACCCAGAACCATGTAAAGAATTAGAAAGGCGGATATCCGCAACTATTTCTGGCTGGGATTGTCCCTTATTATCCTTCATCTACTCAGGTTTTGAGCACGTGGCTCATATGCAAGCGAAATGCAAAGCGATCCCACGCCTTGGTGATGGCAGCCAGGCCGTTGGGCACATCCGCGAACTTCAGGCCCATGGACGGGGACAGGTATCCTGCACAACGATTGTTATACATGGAATCGCGCATACTATGCTGCAATCTGCAGCGCAAAACAGACAAACAACTACCATCTGGCATGAGGATTGAGAAATGTTGAAGAATCCTGCAACTCTTCCATTTGCTTAAGCCCCCAGGAACAAAAAGAGATGGAATCCCTTTAAAACCAACAAGATACTTTACAACCTCTTCATTTCAGTAAATGGAAGAAATTTAGCGCAGGTGCTTGCCGGTCTCCAGACACAGCCTGAGCATACCTTCACCGTCCTGGCCACTTGAAGTACTCAGGCACGATGTATCCTGAGTGGAAAACATGGAGCCATTTGGGTGTGGCTCAAAATTAAACAGGAGGGGCAAACCGCAGGGTTTGGTCCACGTTTCCACTTACCAGGGCAACCCATTTTGGAATTCCGGTTTTTTGAGCCACAGCCATTTGGCTGGTTCAAACTGGTGATCCCGCGTCGATTCAATCGAGAGCTGAAGCCAAACTGAGCCAAGGGACTCCTAGGACTCCTAGCATCTGAAAGCGCCCCCAAAAGAAGCCCCGTGTTGCCTAACAACCGAAACGGAAACACATGCCAAAAGGAAACAACTGCATACAACTCTCTTGGAATTGGCAAAATGCGATCTTGAGAGTCTAAAACCACACAGGCATGTGTCAACATAGGGGATTGGGACCCTGCGGTCCTCTTGGCTTCCATTTGAACCAAGGTCATACTTTGCTTCGGCCTTGTATGCACCTTGCCATCAGTTCGTTTGAGTGGGGATGTGCTGCTGACTCCTGATCACATGGGCAAGGAGACCTGGGCCACGGCCACTTGGTGAGGTGCTAGCCGCTTTTGCTTTCTTCTCGAGATGCTGTACAACAAGCGAGTGAGCGCCCGGATGCACCAAAGCGCTCGCGAATCCGCTCCGGCTGCCCAGCTAAAAGCCCGGCGCGGGCTGCACAATGCCAAACTTGACCCCTTGATCATCCTCGCACTCGCTCATCGTCCCTTCGGGGGCTTCAAAAATCTCCCCTTTCCCCCCGGCCTCTAGAACTCGGCGCAGCGTGTCCGCGGCGGAGTCCACGCGCAGCCAAAGGCTGGGGAACTGCTTCGTGTTGCCCACGGACAGGCCGCCCTGTGGTCCGCGGGTGTTCTCGATCCCCATGCCACCCTGCTTCCCTTTGGGGCCGAAGGTCCAACCCAAAACCCCGGGATAAAATGCCAGGGCCTTGCTCTCCTCGGGGGCCGGGATGGAGAAGAAGAAGAGGTCCCCCTGGGCCGAACCTCTCTTGGGCTTCATCGCATGCTCGCGGATCTCCGGCTTCTCGCCGGGCTCCTGGAACCAGAGATGGGTCCCCTGGTTGTCGCGGCACAAAGCGGCCTTACCCACCGAGTTCTCCGTCTCCTTCAGCACGGTGCCACCATGAGCCGTCACCTTTGCAAGGGTCTCCTTCAAATCCAAAGTGCAGAAGTACACTTCGTTCACCTCCCCCCCCAGGCCACAAGGCGTGTTGGTGGATCCTACGTGGCCCCCCAGTGGTCCCCCAAAGTCCGTCCACCCGAAGACCTTGGAGAAGAAGGTTTTGCTCTTCTCGACGGATGGGGCAGGAAGCACAAAGTAGAAGAGCTCCATGGGCTCCATGGCTTCAGCAGGGCAGGCTGGCAGGGCTGAGAGCCAATGGCCGGCACTTCGAGCCCAAGAGTTAGCGCCTGGAGGTTTTGGGACCCTTTCAATCCGTGGGAAAACCATGGCGGTTGTTTTGGGGCGGTTTTTGACGGGAAGCCCTTCCCAATTCCCAAAGAGAGAGAGAGAGAGAGCGAGAAGGAAAGAGAGAGAGAGAGAGAGTGAGAGAGAAGAAAAGGGGGCCACTGGGCAAGGGCTTGAATTCATTCTGCAAAGGATACTTCAAGCCGGGAATGAAGAGGGGGCTAGTTGAGACATGAATCAATCACGGGTTTCGCTTGATCTGGGTTTCTTGTGCTATGCTTGCTGCACCCAAGAAAACCTAAAGCCACGTCCAAACCCATCGGCGTGGACCTCACGATTAGAAAACAGCAGCTGGCAAAACCCACTTTAACTGGGCTGTCCGTTTTCAGTTCCGCCAAAAGTTTCAACTTTTGCTGGGTCAAATGGAAATCCCCACCAAACACTGAAAAGCTAACAAACCTAAGGAACCGGATGGCTAAAAACCACTTTAAGACTCTTGACGCTTGGGCCAAAAAACCTATAACGACCATCTCAGTTTCCCCCCCCCCCCCCAAAAAAAAAGAAGCAAACCACTCTCTGAGTCAGGCGCCCATGGTGGCGTACATGGCCACTCGCCCGTGCTTCACCTCCGTCTCCCTGCGGCGCTTGAAGGTCTCCGCGTCGCCTCGAGCTGGCTTGCGCCAGGCAAATTACTGCACCTGGGGCTCGCTGTCTCAGTGGGTTGGCCAAAACACATCCAAACCTTTCGTTTGCCACCAAAATGTGTTTTTTTCTCGAAAAGAATCGAGTCCAGGAACTCAGGGAGTGAGGGGACAGTAGATGGCACAACTATCCCTGGATGTGCCCCAAATGGATGCACCGTGTATCCCCCAAAAACCGGAATTACCTCTGTGTTGTGTCCAAATCAAATCCGCTTCGTCTTCTTGATCGATTCGAGCTGCCGTCGCGGGTGTAGCCCACCGGGTCCTCAGGCGGTCTGACTTCATATTTCCGGCTTCGGGTTCGGACCTCTAAGAATGAAGACGACCACAGGGATCGTTGTGTTCGGAACCGGTGGTGCACGCCTGGGTGGCTTTGTAGGTTCATGATGTTGCGAGATTTGCAGCAACTCAACCGACATTGAGCAGCGCCCATTTCACACATTGAATATTGTTTCTACGAACGTGGTCAATGTGTATATATATATATATGTCAAAATAGGGGGACACCACATATGTTGGTTTTATTGTTGGTTTTACAAAACCTCACAAGGGTACTACACACGCCCATGTAGGCTTTACCATTCTCTCAACTAAACCGGGCAGAATCACCTAACAGGGCTGATGAAGGTTTCGGGGTGCTGCTGAATTCACAGATGCTTTTTTATGAAACCAACACGAACAAATTGGTTCACTCGGAACTGATACAACCCATGTTGAGTTGCTTGATGGTACCCGCGCTGTTGATGGGGAAAACATGGGGCAGATTTGAAGCGTCTCTGAGCCGCACATGGTACGCCTACTCATTGTCGTTCTGATCTACCTCATGGTCTGGCACTACACTGCATCCTTGTCCTTTGGAGCAAACATCCACCATCCTTTCGGATAGTCCTTTCTTGTGTGCTTCGTTTCGGGGATCATCCCTCGGCTCGCTTTTGAAATGGCTTCCATATTCTCAGTAAACAGGGGCTGCCAAGGGGTTGCCGGACTTCCAACGATCAACTAAATGATTTTTGTTTCCGCAACCCTTGCAACGGGGGCAACTGCAAGAAACCCACGGATCCCGCCCAATTGGAGAGTGCGCTTGGTTTTTTGTTCATGGGTTCCCTCCATTGCTTAAGTTCGCTGAACAAAAACAACCCATGTCCAGCAGTGATGGACTAAATTTAAAACCGACGGTTGTTTCTATGAAACAACAGAACACCTAGGTCCTCCAGTAGAGCCAGTAGAGAGGTTTAAAAAAGGGTACCCTTTTTTCGCTGTAGTCTATTTTAGTAGGGGAACCCTCCCCCCAAAAAGGGGCCAAAAGGGCACCAATCGCTGGGGGAAACCCTGGGACGCTTCACCAAATGGACGCTTCCCTTGTTTTGTTGGGATAAGGCCAAGTCCAAGGTGCCCAAAAGCCCACCGGGGGCTGCACACCCAGCTCGGACTGAGCAGAGCAGAGAGCGTGCAAATGTGTTGGTTTGCCAAAGGCTGGGGGCCAAAACGCACCCTGAAAGCATCGCCCCAAAACGAAACTCACCTATGTTGGAAGTGTTAGCTGTAACTCTACTAATTCTAGCCACCAATCCAACAGCCAACGATGGATAGGGTGAGCACTGTCCCTGCATTTCGTCAAACAAGTTGGACTTAGATAGCACAAACACAAACATGACGTGACACTGAGAGAACCCAGGCATGCGATAATTGAACCACAGGAACGAAAAACAGCCTCACAATGGCGAAGCCGCAAGCGGTTGGTTGGTGAGACAAATAGTTGGGGTCCTCCCACGAACCAGAAGAAGGAACCGACGAACACAGCCGTGCGTCTCGCGCTTGCCAATTATTTTTGGGTTTTGTCCACCTGCAGTTTCATGTTACAAGGGAGCGCGCACCTTTTTCCGTGAGCCTAGGGCCGACCTTCACGTAGAGTCCTGGAACCTTTCTGCATGTGATACTTCGAATGCGAACCTATGCTTCACTTCCTGTGTGGGTGTGTAAACACAAGGTCAAAGTTGGATATTTTTGTTACCACTACTGATCCTCGCTAAAGGATCATGCAACGTGGATTATTCATAAAAGCTAGCCAAACAGAACCCGACTCGCCGCCAAAGTCAACACTAGTTCATCAAGCCAGGCACAGTTGGTGACCTAAGTCTTACAAGTGAAGGAACCACGTCCAACCACACAGCCCTAGTAAATTGCAGTGGTGCCCCTTGGAGCAAAGATGGCACTGGTAACAAAGCTTCATGAAAAAAGTTCGTCTCCGCTTTCCCCGGAGTGACATGGTCTCGAGGTTCAATGAGACGTCTCGGGAACTCCTTCCCCATGGAGCAAGCTTAAGTGAACCAACTGTATTGTTGTTCCTAACATGGGTAATTACAAGGATTCCAACGTGATCCCTACGGTTGGGTAAACGTAGATGGCACAACCCCCCCCCATGAAGCTTCTATTGTGCTTTGCTTATCCTGGCGTGCTCGAAGTATATCTTCCTGGATGTTCAAGCTATACTTACTAAGTACACCTAGCCTATAACTATGGCGATAAGTGCCGCAAGATGGGGCTGTGCGAACCCCTTATGGTTAGAACTTCTGCGCTACTCATGCAGCTTCAACGCAGCTACTCGCTCCATTTACCGTCGCTTCAGAACGCGACATAGCCCCACCTCGAAGGCCTGGCGCAGAGGGGAGTCCGTGTAGTTGGCCCAGTCGCCCCATGCGGAACCGGTGAGCCCATCCTGGAAGAACATACCTGGGCGCTCACGCAATTATGGACCCGCCTTGGTTTTTTAGGACTCACTCTGGGTTGGTATTTAGAGGGTTTCCCCAAAAGGAAAGCAACCATGGGGGGGTGCTCTTGTTTGAGACAGACAAGACAGACGCAAAATATGCCTGGTCGAATTATGCCATGGCCAGCGTACCTGCCACTTTGAACCACACAACATGCCTGGGTGCCAATCAAATTCACAAATCGCGCTCTTGTCTGATCTCTGCAACACAGGGCACCCTTTAGGCAACAGGTGCGTGAAAGCAAAAGCACACTCGAGTTCACCGCTCGGCCCTGAGGGACCCCGCGGCTTTATTTCGGGCAAGCGGCCAAGCCAGTTGCGACACCCGAGTTATCCACTAAGGGTGATTTCCTCTTAGGGGCTTAGTGGGTTGTAACCTGGGTTTCCCTCCTAACTTGGCCGAGCTTTCAAGGGGCCCCAAAAAATCGCTCAAAGATTTGGGACCCACCCAGCCCGTTTGGATGATTCAAGTAATCAAGAACCGAGAAGACACCTCGCTTACTAAAAGAAGACCCGCGTAACAAGGCACATGGTTGAGGTTTGCGAATCAACGGGCATACCCTTGGTGTTGCAGGAAGTTTGCCTGGCAAGATGCCGATGATGGCCATCATGGCCAGCCGCCCGTTGTTGATCTCGGCGTTCAGGCTCTTCATCTTTTTGTCCTTGTCCTTGCCAAGCACTGCCAACATCTATGTGTTTTCCTTGGGGGCCCCTTACCAACCAACTTCGAATGGGTGCTCTATTAAACGTCATAGCCGTTGGGCCTTTTTGTTGCACCTCGCTGCCACTGTCTGTGAAGACGGTCAGCCATGAAACGTCATAGCCATTGGGCCATCTTGAGACCCGATCGCACAACAACAAAGCACTTCTCTCTGTTCTGGAAAGGGGCCATCCCTACCTTGTGACTTTCAAGGGGACTATCAAAGTCACCACTCAACATAAACTGCAGGACAGCACCCCTGGCAGGATCCTTCTGCCCGGAACGGTCAACACTCCGTCGGACAAAACGACTTGCTTTCTCATACAAGTGGGTTTGGAATCCATGGGACCCCCTCCCGCGTGCTCTTTCACAAGGAGGACAAAATACATCCCATTGATACGGAAAATAGCACATTGCGACCTTTTTGTGCGAAAGGGCAACCCATAATATAGAAACTGGAAGGTATGGATTTGGCAGGCTCACACGCGGTGCTGGGGTTTGAGTCAAATAAGTGCTATCAAAAATGCAGGGCAAACCAACAGGGGACCCCATTAGCAATTGTTTAGCCTCTGGTAGTGCGTGCTTTTTGTGGGGCGTTGGGCAGCCTTTGAAAGATTGCACATAGGTCGGCATGACATTTACTAAAAATAGGGATTGCCTCAAACGGCCAGTTTTATGTTGCCTTCCCTCAAAGCAATGCGCCAAAAGCTGACGCCTACAATGACAAAACTTGGTTTTCAAGTACCCATCCCATTCTGATCGAGGTTCTTGGAGTACGGGAAGGGACAAAGTTCCAACCTTTTGGATGCTCTGTGGAGTTCCATGTCCATGGATTCCTCGCAAAGTACCTCGTATACCTGCCACATCCGGGGAAACTAAAAAGAAGGCCCTCATTCAACTCAAGGGAAGGATTTATTCAGGATCGCAGACTAGCGGCTGTAGCGTAAAGGGGTTAGCCCCCTCCCTTGAACCACGGAATACCACTCCTCGATCTTCTTGCCGTAGGGGAGGCCGAAGGCACCGTAGCCATAGTCGCCCAAGACATCGCTCTGGATCTGCTGCAGGTTGAGAATCCTTGGCCGTGTTTTTCCCTGAGGGTACTCTGCTTGGATCTGTTTTGGCTTGGTGTGAAAGAAGACAAAGGGAAAGGGCTCCCCTATGGAGAGACAAAAAAAGCACATTCAAAGTGCACGCCCTGTTGGGGATGACCGCTTTCCTTCTAGTTTGTTTCCGCACATATTCCCATGGAATGGTCCCTATAGGATTGTTTAAGCGGGACACCAAAGCAAAACCAACGGTTCCCCGAATGTTTGTATACATGGTCTAACTGAGGTACATAACGAGTTTCAGGATTCTGTGAGCTGCAGATAGCCGAAAACGAACAAACTAGCACACAAAATGCCTTGTGAGCCAAATGTAGTTTCTATTCGCATGACCTTGAACGTTGAAGAGAGTTCAAGTCTCTGTCACGTGCAACACGGTCACTGGCAAAGTGGAACCAAAAAGAACCCAACCGCCTGCTCTGCCCCCGTGGCGTAGTCCTCCGCTGGAGGCTTGAATGAGCGCGACATCGCTACCACCAGCCACACATGACATCATTTACCTTGTGTTTCTGGGACGGCAACAAAGGAACAAATATCTTGTATTTTCAGCTACCCCGTCGGCTGTTGTTGTCGCGTCCATGCTTGAAGACGTGCTTGCTTTCCACAACCATGATGTGGGTATGGATCCAAATTAAACAACCAGGAATTGGACCGCAGGTCTTAGTCCATGTTTGCATTTCCCCGGGCAACCCGTTTTGGGGTTACTCTATTTTTGACAACCGCCGCCATGTTGCGGGCTACAAAAGCTCCATGTGTTTTTTGCAAGACATCAAACACATCCCTCAAGTCTGAGGCCTGAGCTCAATGGTTCCAACCTCAGTCAACCGATGAATCTGGAGCTAAACATGGCGGGAAGCCCATCTCAAATACGGCTTCCCCATAAGAAACTTAAAGGTGAAATCACACACCACCTGAATTTGTGAGGGTTGCTCTCATTTCCAGAATAGACTTCACAACACCAGGCTTCAACCAACTCCCAGTTCAAACAGATTCTAACATCTGCTAAAACAACCTCATCCTGGTCCTGTAAAGGGGCAGGAATTGGCTGTAACACATTTCCAACCCTGCACAACCTCGAAAGCACTGCCAGCCTGTTGGCCAACTGCGGAGAGTGTTCGCCCAAGCGATCCCTGCTGTATTGGATTCCAGCCATAAGATATAGATATGTCAAAGGTGGTGTACCTTGGTTTTCTTGTAACACAAGCCTAAAAATGGTACCCTCCAAAAAAGACAGACCCACAATATATCTAGATCAAGGCAAGCTTCGTGTCGCTGAGGTTCAATTTGATGTCAAGAAAAGAATGAGTTACCTACGGCAACCACCCCTGGGTTAGAGTCATTCTTTCTTGGATAGCAACAGAAAGTGGCCTTGCCACTATCTGAGCTCCACGCAAAGGCCACGATCTGCGCCCAGCCTGCGATGGAATCGCGGCCATCTGGGCCGAACAACATGTTCCTACGAAAATACTTGAATGACAATTGAGCCAGCCCAGACATTTCCAGACAACCGAACTCAATTCACTGAACTCAATTCCTGAGTTTTGGAACCTCTTTTGTTTGTTGTTGCTTTGGTGGGAAGCAACAAAAATATGTTGTTTGGCTTAACCGCGCGTCAAGTACTTACCTGTCCAATATCAAGTTGTAAGGCTTTTTCATGTTTTGTTGGGGCCAGGACAGCTTGAAGTGTGTCTTATTGGCGCTGGGTCAAACGGTCAGTATAGTGAGGGGCCCCGGTCCACATCTAGCAAGAGGCCCCCCATCCATGACCAAGCAGTCGCCCTCATGATTCTTTGCCATTTCAGCAGAGCTCCTTAATTAATTTGCTATTTGAGACATCACCTTTTGGGTCGAGGGGGGGGCTCAGGCAAACAATAAGGGAAACTCCTGCTCAGCTTTTGATTATAGCCCCACTTGCGCTCCAGCTAAATCCCGCTTGGCCACGCCCTTCCTGAAGCCTCCCGTGAAAGATGTCCAAGTAAAGCACATTCAGAACTTCAGAACTGCAAAGGCCACTATGCTAGGCGAGGTTGCAGCAATTCAATTCGGCAAAATGACATAATTTGAGAGAATGATAGATCTACCCCATCGAAATTCAGCCAAGCAACCATTCAGCCAAGCAACCACCCAAAGACAAGGGGCAACAACAAGGGGGGTTGGCTAATGTCCTGTAGATTGCTGTGGTCGGTTTCTGAGTTTCTTCGACGGTTGCACCGCCAAAAAACAGGCGGCACTAGCCGAGTTTTGAACGCCACGCGATGCGGACCCTACGCAAACCTTCAAAGAACAGTGTTTACCCCCAGTTCAGAAAAGAATGCCGAGACTTTGGCTTCCACCTCGTCACGTGGGAATTTGGTGGTTTCTCCCCTCGAACCTTTTTTGTTGGACAGGGTGTGCGTTGCATCTTGGTTTGAAGGGAAACGAGAAAAACTTTGTTGGGGGTCCCCCAATATTGCAGTGGTAATTTGGTGAGTATGATCCATGTCATCCTCCTTCCAGTAGATGGTCGCCAATCCTGACCTAGTAGTTACTCATCGTTCATTGGGAACGGCCCTGGGACGACAACTTGTCGGGATGGTATATCGTATCAGGTGCCCAGGTCCTTGTTTCCTGTTCATCCGTCCCCAAAAGAGGGTAGCATCGGGTCTCAAAAAAAAGCGCCACAGCTGTATGGTGTGCAAGAAAATAGGGAACCCACAAGTCATATCCCCTTCATCACCAACGTCAAAGAGGTTAATTCCGTATTCTTAATCAACCCCATATAATGTGTCCCTGGATTCAGTGGGGATTCAGACCACTTTCGGAGGTGCCCCCACCCCCCTACTAATCAATCAACTGGTTGCTTGATTCTTATGGGGTCAACATTACCCCAAAGCTCCCGTCCCCACTCGAGCCATCCTCCCATCGCCGCGCCTACCAGGGGCACCATCGGAGCGGCCTTCAGGCCGTTGGGGATGTCCGCGAAAGCCACGTTCTCGGAAGGGGAGCAGTAGCCTGACCCAAGCGGCTTTCGCCCGAAACCTCCACGACGAAAGGCACGCCGTTGTGTGTCTTCTCTTGTTTTTCAAAGTGCAATTGACTTTCGAAACCCTTGGCGCTGCCGCCGGACACCGACGAATGAAGTCAACATGCAAGAACATGCCAAACACAGCCAAGTGTCAACATGGAACATTCAACAACATAAGGAACCCTCAAAAAAGGAGCAAGGAATCTTCCTCGTGACCAAGTCCCTCTGTGAGGTAAGGATGCGAAATTTGCCCAGACCGATTTCTAGCGGAATCCATGTCCGTTTAGGAGGCACATTGCTGGAATTCCATGTCCATGTCCAGGGAAGGATGACTTGCTGAACCTGGGTTTCTTTCAGTTTAACGCGCAAGATAACACCACTGGCCCGGGGTGTTTGACAGCCCGTGTGTGTCATAATGAACAAGTCGATAGCTCCAAAGTCTTTGTGCTTTGGCACAAGCTAAAAGCTTACTGAGACGGTCCACTGAAATTGCTTTTTGGGCTTCCTTTTAGTTTCCCTTTAAATACCAATCCTCCATTTCCTTAAGTCCCAAAGAAACAAAACAACTATTTCCAGTAGTGAAATCGATTCCCTTCAAAACCAAAAGGGAAAAATAGCAAACATATTCATTTCAGCAAATGGAAGAAAACATCCCCACCAAAGGAAACTCACTTCAAGTTGACCGTGCCGTTTTAACACCACCCAAACACTGGAAATATTGGGAATCCGGATGCTGCCTGGACAAATTTCCTGAAAAGTGGGACTCCCTTGCAAGCACCTTTCAGCACTCGCTCCAATTTGCTTCCGGCCTGGGAAGCGCACGAACTCTGGAACGATGTAGCCGATGCAGGCCAGCATGGCAACCTCAAGAAACCCGAGCACCCACCCCGGTGTTGCTGTTTTTTAGTGGCCGGCAAGCGGGTGTCCCAATGAAAACGAACATGTCTGGGTGAAGTGCAAACGCTTTTTCGACCAATAAGGGGTCCCTACTGTGGGTGGACGGAATCCTGCACCACTTTGAAACCATGGGAAACCATTGTTTGTGGGCATTAACGGGGGAATGATCCTTTCAGGGGTGCTTAGGTGGTGCAGGATTTCGACCACCCACAGTATGAAGGAACGTTAGGGGAAATCGTCCGTGAAGCAGGCGGTGACCAGCACCCCAGGAACAGCAACGAGTCCCTGAAAATCCGCTGCAAAAAATCATCATGGTAGGTCAGCCATGATCATTCACCCACTCGAAGTAAGGGACGCCCCCTAAAACAAAAGAGAACATATACCCTTAACTTGCCGGTGCTCAGCACGGAATGAGGGAATAAACCATCCAACTGGTGGTTTCCTTAAGGGGGCCAAAGCCTGGGTTCATTCCAATTCTCATTCCCCACCTATCGCACCAGCAACTTAATCAGCTTGGCAAACCCCGCTCAAAGTGAGGTCCCTAAAATTTGCCCCATGGCCTGAGCTCTTTACCTTTGAGCGGGTTCCTTTTGGCTGCCCTCTAATTAAACCCCAACAAGTTCCGAGGCTCAAAGACGAAATTGAAGGGTGGAATCTAATCAACTGGAATGATGATCTGCAATTTCCACGCGTCCAAAACCTGAAATAGGACTTGGATCCCCAAGCAAGAGAAGGACCTACAGAGTAGAGTAAAAACGTTTAACGCCCCATCGGTGAGCCCGAAACCTACAAAAACGGCAGATGGATTCACCTCCATGTTGATCCGCCGAATCGGTTCTTGGCCCACATCTGGGGTACGCAGAAAATCACATGTTCAGATTCTGTTTCATATTTAGCCTACCCCAGAATACAATATAGTGTTGGAGAAGACTCAGGTTTCTGAGCGTCTGGCACGCCCGTGCTGGATCTCGATGATCCTGCGGCGCTTGAACTGCTGCGCAGCCACCTGGCGGAATATTCAAAGAAACGCGCTCGGAGAAAAACCTGCCGCCCCCCCACCCCCCCACTCCCCCCTCCCAAACCTCTTAGAATCAGCTTGCTGGATAAGGGCGGCCAATGCTTCTCCTTGGCCCATGGATGTGACCCTGAAGAGGGTTCCTTAAAGGATCCATTTCACAACCCACATTACACGTATTTGGATCTTCCAAATCAGCTGGGAAGGCGTTTTTGAGTGACTCCAATGTATCCTTTGGCGCGTGGTCAAAGCATCTCCAAGCGGTGCCTGTTTCATGGAAATTATGATTCGGGGCTTACACACTGGGGAGCCTATGCTGGGGCAACGGGGTCAGAATTTGGAAGGCTTCCCTTCGCGAGGCTTCGCGAAGCGGCGGCGTGGAGTGGCGTCGTATGTCAAACCGCCAGAAGCTTTGCGACAGTGAGGCACGCAAGTGCCTTCGCGGAGCTTTCGGGAGTTCCTCCCCGAAGCTAACATCCTTCATCTGACAAAAATCAAGCTGCTCAATTGGGACCATACTTGCATTGGGATGAGGGTGCTCCCCATTAGATTTCATAGCCAGGTAGCCTAGCTACATGAGCCCCAGACAATTTTACTGGCAGTCTATGCTCTCCAGGAGGATTGTGTAGTTCATGCCCAGGCCGACCGCTCCCCCAAGTTATGCATTGGGGTGCTCAAACAAGCGGCTCCCGACTTTGGACGCCAGTGCCCTCTATTTCCCGTTTAAGCAGTCTCACAAAAGGGTCCAGAAAGGAGTCTGCCTTTCGAACAAAACCCTCTTGCAAGCAAAGTTAATAGCCTGCAAAACAAGAAAGCGCCCCGGGGCCAGTCAACTGTGTTCTGTGTCAACCGGCCCACGCACGTAATCAGAGCGTGTCTGTGCTCCGACTTGACTTGCCTCATGTTGGAACATATCGGTCTGTTTAAAAGCGATGGATCCTCGCTCAGCCAGTATTGAATGAAAACCAAAGGAACAACTAGACAACTCTGGGGTGGGCTGGCAAACTCAATCTTCGAGAAATGCCCACACGTGGCATCTTGGATATACATATATATATATATATATGTATTCAATCACCGCCCTGTTCCGCTTGGGATCCAGAATGCTTGGCCTCCGGGTCGTCGAACTTGCTGAGGCCCAAAGGGTCGAAGAAGCCCAGAGGAGGCGTCACACCCATCTCCTGCCGATTGGACGTCGAGGCCGCAGAGCGCCGTGCTTCCATGGACCGGCCGTTCCGCCACTTTCTGGGCAACCAAACAAAAACAGAGACCAAGACAAAGAAAGAAAGAAAGAAAGAAAGAACAAAAAGAAAGAAAGAAAAACGAAAGAAAGAAAGAAAGAAAGAACAAAAAGAAAGAAAGAAAAACGAAAGAAAGAAAGAAAGAAAGAAAGAAAGAAAGAAAGAAAGAAAGAAAGAGAGAGAGAGAGAGAGAAAGAAAGAGAGAAAAGGATAAAAGAGAAATAGAGAAAAAGAGAGAGAAAGAGATAAACAACAAAAGAGAGAAAGAGGGAGCGAGAGAGAGAGAGAGAGAGAAAAAGAACGAGCAGGGGCAAAGAAGCGTGCTCCACACTATAGCTCTTACGTCTTTTCAACTTCTGCCCCCATTTGCCGGACATTACTGGTAAAGGCTCACATAAGGTATAGACCCCATGAAGCCATGCCCCTCCCCCTGAACGCGCTCCGCTGAGAAGTCGGGCGCGGCGGCGCGCAGGGGGCTGTCGGTGTAGTTGGCCCAGTCGCCCCAGGCGGAGCCAGTGAGGCCGTCCTGGTAGAACCTGAGTCGTTTCTCAGCTCGGAGTTGAGTCGCATGCAGTGGGCTCCCGGTTTCTTCACCCAAACATCACAGCACCAGGAAGCTCATCTGAAAGTCTTAAACTTAACCCGGCTGAGAAAGCAAATGTAGGGATCCTGGAACATTAAGCACGTAAACCAACCACTGCCAACAAAGCCTGTGAACCAATGTGCAGTGAAGTGCAAGGTCTGCCGCTTGTTCCTTACGCTTAATGTTTACGACATCTGCATTTGTAGCCCCAAGCGAAAACTGGCATGCGCTGTGGCGAAAGCAACATCAAATGGTTGATGACCGTCCCTATAAACCTCAAACCTCAAGTAAAGGGGGCTTGTTCATGGATCTCAGAAGAATGATCTCTGAACCGCCTATTGTCCAAAAAGCGTGCGTGCGCGGCTCCTGCTTGCAGATTGCAAGATGCATAGATCATAAACCTGAAAAATGTACGATCCCAAAACCTGAAACAAGAATTGGATCAAGCCAAAACATGCCTGGTTGCCCAAGGGTAAACAAATATGGTATTTGGAAGCAAAGGGCTTCATGTATAAACCTGTGGAAGTCAAGCAATCCTGGTCTTGCGTCTTTGCTCAAGACATGCATTCCGCATTCCTTTCCGGAGTGTCAAGCCATCCAGAAACCAATCGCATCGCTTCCGTCTTCTTGCGCCACATCCAGGTTACTCGCGAAAGGACTGTTCAGTGTTTAGTCTGGCCTAAATAAACTCAGATGCCCAGCGGATTGAAAAAAGGGCCGCCTTTTCAGGTTGGTTGAGTTTAAAGGGGAACCCTTCCCAAGAAATGAAAAGACAAAAAGGCGCCACTCGGCAACTAGGTAAATTCAAAACGCTGCTTTGGAAAAGACCCGACCCGGACCTTCCGTTTTTGTTTCTCCCCCGTTTTGGTCGAGCGCGCGGCATGCCGATGATGGCCATCATGGCCAGCCTGCCGTTGGCCAACTCGGCGCTGAGCTTCTTCTTCTTCGCCTCTGGGTCCGCAGAAGTCAGCACCTCAAGTGACATGTGGCCGTGGTTGTCAAAACCAATGACTCTATGGCGTTTTCGGTCCCTGAAAAGTCAGTGGTTGGCACCCTTCGGTTGGATTCCCATCCATCCCTGGTAGTTTAAAACCAATGGTGCTATTTTGGGGTAGGTGCACCACCCATGTTAGGCTTTATTTTAGTGGGGATTGGGATGTTCACTGGGGGTACGATTTGGATTTTGACCCATGGCCATGTAAGTCACAATCAAAACCGATCGGGGTTAAAAACTACGAGGTGCCTGGTAGATGGATTTCCTCTTGAAAGGACCTCCTGTCAGGTGCTATGTTAGTGGGTGGCAGGGTAATGTCCGATCGTTTTATGTCAAGAAGCTTTTTTCTTCGAGATCAATTCCGAGTACCCAAATTCTATCGTTTTAATGCAGTCTACCCAAACTGAGTCATGCCAGCTTCGTATGGGCAAAGCAAAGATATGGGTATGAATTGTCATGTGTCGGGGATGCATGTCCACCAAAACAAAACTAGTGATTCCACACCTTGTAGTTCCTATGCTTAGAGGACATTCTTTCTTCATATGTTAGGTTCAAACACTGGGTACGTCACTGGGGCAGTCCCCCTTCGGTTTTGCCGCTTAATGGGCACTGGAGTATATGGTAGTCCACTTCGCATCGGCGTATTGCGGCTGTCATCTGCTCGCTTCAAGTGCTGAGAGAGGGACAGCCTTTAAATGTAAGGGGCGACAAAACTCGCATCTGGAGTTGAGGTACTTTAAAAACAGCTCTAGTTGTGGATGTAGGGGAATTAGGTATGCGTGTTGCTTCCCTTTACATATGGGTTTGTTCTTTCTTCGGAAGGAGGATGTCATGAAAATAGTGGTGTGTCTCAAAATAGGGGAAGCCTAGAAGTGGTTAGCATTCCTTTAGTTGCCATTTATTATGAAGTCAACCTGAAAAGGTTCCCCCCCAAAGAAACAAAAAAAAAACATGGCCAACTCTAATAGAAAACACATAAAAGTGGTTGGGGTTACCTTCATGTCCGGTGCCGTCACTGTTGCAAAGAGAGCAGTCTTTCTTTGCCGTTGGAACTTACTGGGAAACCCACTGGGGAAAAGGACAGCCAGCTTTCGCTGAAAACAAATCCGCCGACCCCATGCCTGGTCCAGAATGGACCATGCTTTCGGCATGGGGGCGGTGTGTTCTGTGTTGCTTTTGTTGATATGCTTTCTATAAGTTTAATGTGAATATGATTGTGTATATATATATATATGTATGTATATATATAACCTATATGTCCCTTGGGGCGGCCCTTGGGGCTGGTTTCTACGTCGGCTGGATTTCTGGATTTCTGGAATTTTGGATTTCCCCCCCCTCCCCCCCCCCTCCTCCCCCTCCCCCTCCCCTCCCCCCCCCCCTCCCCCCCCCTCCGCCCCCCCCCCCCCGCCCCCCCCCCCCCCCCCCCCCCCCCCCCCCCCCCCCCCCCCCCCCCCCCCCCCCCCCCCCCCCCCCCCCCCCCCCCCCCCCCCCCCCCCCCCCCAAAGAGGGAAGAGTATGTATAATGTGCCGGGGAGAGGTCTGGGCATCAACATCACACTGAGAGCTGGCTTTCAGGCAGATCTTGTATAGGAATTGATTTCATAAAATTGCAAATCTTAGTCTGAGAAATTGGCTTCCAGGGGAATTTGGTAGGAATGAAATTGCAGATATTACAAATTAATTTGTAAGGTAAAGAAAATATTCTCCAAAATAACAAATATTACAAATTTTACAAAATTCTAGTCTGAGAAATTAGCTTTCAGGGGAATTTGGTAGGAATTAAATTACAAATTTTACAAATTTTACAAATTTTACAAATTTTACAAATTTCACAAATTAATTTGTAAAATTTGTAAAATATCAAAAAAATCTGGCCCAAAATTACAAATTTTACAAATTTTACAAATTCTAGTCTGAGAAATTAGCTTCCAAGGGAATTTGGTAGGAATTAAATTACAAATTTTACAAATTAATTTGTAAAATTTGTAAAATATCAAACAAATCTGGCCCAAAATTACAAATTTTACAAATTTTACAAATTCTAGTCTGAGAAATTAGCTTCCAGGGGAATTTGGTAGGAATTAAATTACAAATTTTACAAATTTTACAAATTTTACAAATTTTACAAATTAATTTGTAAAATTTGTAAAATATCAAAAAAATCTGGCCCAAAATTACAAATTTTACAAATTTTACAAATTAATTTGTAAAATTTGTAAAATATCAAAAACATCTGGCCCAAAATTACAAATTTTACAAATTTTACAAATTCTAGTCTGAGAAACTAGCGTCCAGGGGAATTTGGTAGGAATTAAATTACAAATTTTACAAATTTTACAAATTTTACAAATTAATTTGTAAAATTTGTAAAATATCAAAAAAATCTGGCCCAAAATTACAAATTTTACAAATTTTACAAATTAATTTGTAAAATTTGTAAAATATCAAAAAATCTGGCCCAAAATTACAAATTTTGCAAATTTTACAAATTCCAGTCTGAGAAATTAGCTTCCAGGGGAATTTGGTAGGAATTAAATTACAAATTTTACAAATTTTACAAATTTTACAAATTTTACAAATTAATTTGTAAAATTTGTAAAATATCAAAAAAATCTGGCCCAAAATTACAAATTTTACAAAAATTACAAATTTTACAAATAAAATTTGTAAAATATCAAAAAATCTGGCCCAAAATTACAAATTTTACAAATTTTACAAATTCTAGTCTGAGAAATTAGCTTCCAGGGGAATTTTGTAGGAATTAAATTACAAATTTTACAAATTTTACAAATTTTACAAATTTTACAAAATAATTTATAAAATTTGTAAAATATCAAAAAAATCTGGCCCAAAATTACAAATTTTACAAATTTTACAAATTAATTTGTAAAATTTGTAAAATATCAAAAAAAATCTGGCCCAAAATTACAAATTTTACAAATTTTACAAATTCTAGTCTGAGAAATTAGCTTCCAGGGGAATTTGGTAGGAATTACATTACAAATTTTACAAATTTTACAAATTTTACAAATTAATTTGTAAAATTTGTAAAATATCAAAAAAATCTGGCCCAAAATTACAAATTTTACAAATTTTACAAATTAATTTGTAAAATTTGTAAAATATCGAAAAAATCTGGCCCAAAATTACAAATTTTACAAATTTTACAAATTAATTTGTAAAATTTGTAAAATTTGTAAAATTTGTAATTTAATTCCTACCAAATTCCCCTGGAAGCTAATTTCTCAGACTAGAATTTGTAAAATTTGTAAAATTGCAATTTTGGGCCAATTTTTTTTGATATTTTACAAATTTTACAAATTAATTTGTAAAATTTGGTAATTTTGGGCCAGATTTTTTTGATATTTTACAAATTTTACAAATTAATTTGTAAAATTTGTAAAATTTGTAAAATTTGTAATTTAATTCCTACCAAATTCCCCTGGAAGCTAATTTCTCAGAAGAATTTGTAAAATTTGTTTGTAATTTTGGGCCAGATTTTTTTGATATTTTACAAATTTTACAAATTAATTTGTAAAATTTGTAAAATTTGTAATTTTGGGCCAGATTTTTTTGATATTTTACAAATTTTACAAATTAATTTGTAAAATTTGTAAAATTTGTAAAATTTGTAATTTAATTCCTACCAAATTCCCCTGGAAGCTAATTTCTCAGACTAGAATTTGTAAAATTTGTAAAATTTGTAATTTTGGGCCAGATTTTTTTGATATTTTACAAATTTTACAAATTAATTTGTAAAATTTGTAAAATTTGTAATTTTGGGCCAGATATTTTTTGATATTTTACAAATTTTACAAATTATTTGTAAAATTTGTAAAATTTGTAAATTTGTAAAATTTGTAATTTAATTCCTACCAAATTCCACTGGAAGCTAATTTCTCAGACTAGAATTTGTAAAATTTGTAAAATTTGTAATTTTGGGCCAGATTTTTTTGATATTTTACAAATTTTACAAATTAATTTGTAAAATTTGTAAAATTTGTAAAATTTGTAAAATTTGTAATTTAATTCCTACCAAATTCCCCTGGAAGCTAATTTCTCAGACTAGAATTTGTAAAATTTGTAAAATTTGTAATTTTGGGCCATATTTTTTTGATGTTTTACAAATTTTACAAATTAATTTGTAAAATTTGTAAAATTTGTAATTTTGGGCCAGGTTTTTTTATATTTCACAAATTTTGCAAATTAATTTGTAAAATCTGGAAATTTCACTTTTTACACATGTACTTGCGACATTTTGTGAAATGCTTAATTGTTAACCAAATTTGTTGGAATTTGGCATAGTTCAGAAACTAATCTGCAAAATGTGTAAAACTTGTAAGGTAACTCCAGCCAAATCTCCCCGGAAAGCAAATTCCCCAGAGTACGTTTCAATGTCAGCAAACATCCGATTTAGAATTACAAGCTGGATTTGAACAAACATTGCTCGGGGGTTGCAAATTGCACAAGCTAGTTTGTAAAAAGTCGGTCCAGAATTACACAAATTACAAGTAAAGGTGTGAACATTGTAAACTTGATAAAACTTGATCACCGTCCTTCCCTTAACGGCTTTTTTTGGGTCAAGTTTGTTTCATTTTGAATCGGTTGAAGTTTGGTAAGGAAATGGGGAGGAAAGCATATTATCTTTTCATTTGGAATCTCTCTTTTCTGTTATTTCCATGTGTTGTTTTTCTTTAGGATCTCGAATTCATACTCCTTTCTTTATCTTTCACTCTCTCCCCTGACCATTTCTTCCTACAATCAACTCAATAAACTAGGATGGAAAAGACAGGGATAAAGAAATAAACATAAGATAGGTAAAGGAGAGAGGACATCTTCTGCAACACGCTTCTTTTGGATAACTTTCATACCACACATACCTGATGGAGAAAGAGATGGAGAAAACCGTACAAATAGAAAGACATGGAAAGGCGACTGGGATTGTGGGATGGATTCATTTGTATCTCAGAGATTTTATCGCATACCAGGTTAGACCAATCGATGAAGGTAAGGGAAAGGGAAAGGTGTGAAAGAACAAAGAATGATTAAGAAAACCTTCCGCCCAGACATCACGCAGAATACACCAGATAGCCTGTCCGTGAGACTTGGAGGATATGATGATTGAAGATTCCCTCACTATCCCTTTCCAGCCTGTCTTTGGGGCCTCTTCCAAATCATTGCCTGCTTCCTCTTGTCCATCCATCCTCATCCTTTATTTGCATTTATGGATGGGCAAGAAGTGACGAAAGCATTTGCAGGCAGTAATAATTACGGTAGAAAACGTAATATCCTCCCTTTCTTTTCAAAATCCTGTTTTATACAAGCTAACAACATAAAAAGGGCGCGAGACAGTTATGACAAAGCTAAAGATAATTATGGGTGGTGCTTACAGAAGCTATCTAATTTATTGCGTGCTAATACATGCTTCTAATCTTAAAACCATACTTACATTCCTCGTTCTTTTCTATTTTATTCTTCCCTTGTTGAGATTCATTGCGCTATCTTTCTTTGTGAATGCTTTTGGCTGTCCGGTCGTCGCTGGGGCTCACCGAAAGGAAAAAAGATTATGAGTAGGTCTTACTCATATTATTTTGCTTGTGTTTTACTATCTTTTGGACCTTTCATCCTTCCCCTTCTTCTGTTTCCCTTTTCAACCGTTGAAGAATGCCAGAAATCGAGGGGTGAAGGAAGGAGGGAGAAGCTAGCCCCCCCGTTCCTTCTTCTCCAACTGTATCGCTAGTGGGGAGAAGATAGGAAGGAGATCAACCGTTCCATCTTTACCTTTCCCTTCCCCACTACGTTCTGGAGTTCTGTCACTACGAAAGACTCACGATGGAACAGTCTAAAAGTGGGACGAAGGAAGGGGATATTGGCTTTATTTTTGGTTTATTTGTAGAAAAAGAAAGCCACTTTCCACAACCCGCTTCTTTCTGTAAAAAAACAGATGGAAGAAGATGACCTTTCCTTTCCCGGCCCAGCCAACGCTTGTCATTTTCCTTGCCTTGTCTTTTACATTGCCATGTTTTGGAAATGAAGAAGTAAAGCGTCTGGCAAGGAGGTAAGCGCCCATCAATACTAATTGAAGATACCGAATTGGATGGGCACTTACCATGGCTTTCCATCACTTCTTTCTTTCCTTTTGATTAAATTGAAGATTGAAAATGGGAAGTGAGAAGCCTCTCTTGACTTCTTCCTCAAGCACAGGCTGCTGTTAATCTTATGCCGTGTGATGCTTGGGAAGAAGAAGAAGAAGAAGAAGAAGAGAAGATAGGAGAGGGTGAACAGAAGTAACGTGATTCTTTCTTTTCCTCCGATCGCATCCTGATTTTCCCATGTATGTCACCCACCAAAATCTTCAACCCATAAAGATTTGACTACAGAATCCTTAAAACCTTTTTAATAGCAAATGCTAGCGGTCTCTCTCTTTTGCTAATAATCTTCTGGAAATGAAAGGACAATAATAGAGTTTTAGATCATAGGATGGTGTAAGGACTGGGTTCTTCTCATCGTTGACGTCCTTCCTTGTCCAAGTCACGGAGGAAGAGAGGTTGGTTTGTGGTCCCAAGAGCTTGTATCCTTCCCTTTCTATCTCTTCCACTTCATCCAGGAAACATTTGTGGATGGACATGTCGTTATTAAGATCATTGCCTTTCGGTTTACCATCCCATTTATTGCTTGAATGTCTATCTTTGTTGTCTTCCATTTACAATATTATCTGAGAAGTATAGAAATGCTTCTGGGTGTGAGGTTGAAAAAATTGGCGATGTAAAGAAAATCACGATGGTTGGAACAGAAAGTTAATCATTACCAAGAATAGGTTCATAGTCTCTCATCTGCTGGTTGCATTCTCATGTACTTGTTCACTTTGCAACCTTTCTACTTGTTTATCTATCTTCCCAATCTCTCTTTCTCTCTCTCGCATTGTAAACGTTGGAGGCATCTGGATGGGGGAAAAAAACCCGGGGGGTAATAACAAATATGAAGAAGAGGAACTGGCTAACACTCCTTCTGCTCTCCCGTCTTTCGCGGCTATCAAAAAGTAAAGAAACCCTAGGCAAATGACAGAACAAGAACATCAGGGAGACAAATGAAAGAACCCTAACACAGTGAGAGTGGACAATGATGGATATGATAGAAAACGCAATAAGATAATAAAACGCAGTAAGCTATGAGATTACAACGATTCTGTAATTATTGCCTTTAAATTCACCCCGTGACCACTTCATCCCATTTACACAAATATATTGGAGAAGATATTAGTGCATGATGAAGAATAAACACAAATTATAACCATAGATAGTTTGCTTGACTCTGAAGAGGCTGTTGGTCTTTACTCATGGAGTTTATTTAGTTGTATCTTCTTTCTGCTTTTGTTCTATTAGAATTTCCTTGCAAAATCTCTCACTCACTTCCTATTGTATCATTAGATATGTGCAATATTCTTGAGTTTTAGGTGAGAATGAAAAGGATATTAATAGTTCAGGTTGCTGGAGAAGGACGGAACACTATTTACGAAAGGCTATTTATTTACTAGAATCTCATGAGTAATGTTAACTAATTTGTATCGATTGGGGTTTATTTCTCACCTTCTCTTTTTAAGGGGTTTCCTTTTGCCTCCCTTCATCGCTAGAAGTGACCGAAGGAAGTTAATAGTTTTCTCATCAGAATATTGCCTGTCCAAATAGAGTGATGAATGAAGAGACGCTTAACTGTTATTATTGCTTAAGTGACGTCTCACGGACAGGCTACGTCTCCAGACCCTTTTTATATCTCTCTGATTGTTCTTTCCTTTTATGTTTATTTGACCAGCATTTGTTTACTATTTACTTCTTCCTCACTGACATTCGATCTTCTCTAACTCTGTTATCTGTTACTGTGGCTTTAATCATTTGATTAACATTTTCCCCTTTCCATTCCCATGCTCTATCTTGGTGAGCTAGCAAACGTTTAATTTAGAAAAAATATGGAAGTGATAGATAGGAGGACATCATTATTTGTTTCTATTAATACTACTTCACGAAGGTATACCGTGTGCTTTTATCACACTCTCTCACAACCAAAGAGAGGATGTTCATCTGGTCTTCATCACCCCTCACCCTTTTTTCTATTACTACAAACTAGCTGGTTCTTTCAGGGTGGGGCATGCCAAGACATTCCTTTCTACTCTTGGGATTGCACCAAAAGAGTCCATGTGCAACAATGAGCCGTTCTGCTCTTGAAGGCGCGCGGCGGCACATTGTACGTAATCTTCCCTGCCACCCCCTCCCCCCCCCCCCCCCCTCCTCCCCCCCCCCCCCCCCCTCCTCCCCCCCCCCCTTCCCCCAGTCGTGTCTTCCGTAGTGTTCGCTTCTTCCCGTAGTCTTCCGTAGTCTTCCGGCTAGTAGTCTTCCGTAGTCTTCCGTAGTCTTCCGGCTTTTCCGCTTCTTCCCGTAGTCTTCCGTAATTCTTCCGGCTTCCTTCCTAGTAGTCTTCCGTAAGTCTTCCCAGTCTTCCGTAAGCGGCGGAGTCTTCCGTAAAATACTGTCGGGACCAAACAACGCGCGTGTCCTGGGCTTTCGGGCTTCTTCCCTAGGCTTCGGGTAGTCTTCCCACCCCTCCGCCCCCCCCTGTGTTTGTCTATGTCTGTCTACGTATCTGCATCTGTCTTCGTGTCTGCGAAGACCCCCCCTGCCCCTGCGTGTCTGTCTGTGTCTCTTTGTGTCTGTCTGGGTCTGTCTGCGTCTGTCTCCTTGCGTGTCTGTCTCTGTCTCTTTGTGTCTGTCTGTGTCTGTCTACGTATCTGCGTCTTTCTTCGTGTCCCCCCCCCGCGTGTCTTTGTGTCTGTCTGGCTCTGTCTGCATCTGCCTGCGCATCTGCGTCTGTCTTCGTGTCCGCGAAGACCCTCCCCCCCGCTGCGTGTCTGTCTGCGTGTCTTTGTGTCTGTCTGTGTCTGTCTACATATCGCGTGCTTTCTCTCGTCCCGGGCCGAAATTCTAAGGTGTGTGGGGGCGGCGGAACCAGGCCGCAGGCCATTAAATACAGGGAAGCCCATGCTACAAAGGGTATCAACGGTATCCCTCTTGCCTCAGGGGCCATTGCTCCCTGTGTCAAAAAGGCTGTTGATACACATGTTCCCATGTGTTAAAGGCTAAAGATCCACCCACATAGCAGTCAAGTTACCATCCCTGCGACAGTCATGAACCCCCTGTCTATAGCACGCAGCCTGTTTGTTCGGATCCCGCATGTTGGCCTTTCATCCAGCAAAAAGGGCGGTACAAGGGCAGAAAAAAGGGTCATGGGTCACTTCTACCCCTCAATGATCAACCATCCCCCCAAGAAAGTCACCCTACATCCCCTGCCCTACCTCAACTCCTAGGAGTTGCCCTACAAACCCTAAACCCCTAGGACGTAACCCCTACGCCTCAATTCACCAATGGGAAGTTTGTGGGATCACTTTCAGTTCCCCACATTCTCCCTGATTCCAAGCTGCATAGAAGCCAAAGTCGCCGGGCTTGCCGCTGGCAATGTCCGAGCCTAAGGCAAAGGAGGTCCGGAGCCTTTTGTGTCCTTTGACAAACCTTGGCCCATAATCACATGGATTTGATTTAAATATGACATTACTTGTGGTTGCGTCTATTAAGGTTTCAAGAGAGACTTCCCAAAAATGCGAGGCTGAAAACCAGCTAGAACCAAACTGAGACCACTATATTCTGTCGTTCACTCTGGCGAAAAAAGGACAACTATGCTTGCCTCCATGTGCATGTTCGGTCAGCATTAGGACAGACTATATTCAGCAGTTCTAAGCAGTTGTCGATTAAGCAGTTGTCGATTGAGCGAGCATCTGAGAGAATAATAAAAACACCAGAACAGTACGTGGAAGCATCCTGTGCCCCCCAAATGAAAGGAAGCTCACAAAAAATTGGCAACCCAAAGGTGATGTTAAAAACCAGCAAAACCCCTGAGACCCCGCGCCAGCTCCGCGGGACACCTCGCACCAGCTCATGTACAGCAGGATCTGGGTCCATCCGCCCGCCGGGACCTGACGTTGGCTCCAGTGGCTTTGACACCATGAGAGTCGGAGCTGGTACCTTTGCGCTCATGTTGACCCCGGATGAATAAACCCGTCCCATAAGAAGGGGGGTGTTCCCTCTGAAAGTGATGAATCCCCACTAAAAGGGGACACCCCCCGATTAATCAACCAGGGGTTTATTTATCCGGGGTTAACATTAAACGGGTCTTTCGAGAATTGGAAGAATCTGCACCGACTAGCTAGAACTGCCCCTTGCCCTTGATCTACCCAGGTCTTGCTTGTGGCTTCACATTCCAATCCTCCCAGAAATGGGATGCTGTGCGTCCTGGCCCTTTTGAAGAAGGCCGCTCTTGGAGAACGACCCTTTCTGTGATCAAGCGGGCCGTCCCCTTGGTCAAGACTCATATTATCATGTGCCAGTTCTGTCAGAACATGTATATCTATATATATATATATATTTGTATATATCTATATATATATATATATTCACGCACACACTTAACTTATGCAATATATATATATATATGAGTATGTATAACACCTGGGCCTGTTTATATTAATGTTGGACTCTGTTTAGTGTGTCCCCCCCCCTGGAACAGTGGAACCAGTCAGCGGGACTCTCTTTAGGGAGATCCTGGGGGTCCGGGAGGGGCAGTACTTACTTTAGTATTGCCAATTCTACTTTAGTATTGCCAAGGCCGACTCTCAGATCCCCAGTACTTACTTTAGCATTGCCAATTCTACTTTAGTGTTGCCAAGGCTGACTCTCAGATCCCAGTATTGCCAATTCTACTTTAGTATTGCCAAGGGTCGTTTTTTCAGCAACCCCCCGAAACCAGTTGGACACTAAAGAGGACCCCAAAACAGCTGCATTAAAGAGGATCTGGGCCTCTTGTGGGCACCCCCCTTTGTGTGACTGTTTGCCCGCACTTTTTTGTAAAGAAGTAAGTTTAGAGCAAATCCGGTTGAGCCAACACGCGCTGTTGAATAAGAGCCATGTGGCAGAAAGGGCGGAACCAAACAGCCATCTCCTGCTTCCGAGACGCCGACCTTTTTTCTCCTCACCTCACAGAAGGAATACAATTACGATCCAGGGAGGAGCGAACCTCCATGATTTGTGCTGCATTCGCCAGGGCGAAGGAGACAACGCCTCTCCCATGTGGCAACTGGATCTGCTTGCATCAATTGTTTTTGTAGCTTTTATTCGGCCGAACAAACGGCAAATACTCTGTAGTCTTGTTCAATGCTGGGATGTTGATCCAAACCAATCAGGAGAAGAGACGCATTTGATCCATGTTGACCCGGGACAAACTAAACGAGGTCGCTTTGCAAACGGCAATTGCCAGATGTTTAAAGTATGTCCCATTATTTTCTCCAGCATGTTCTCTCCACGATTCCCTCCAATTACCCGGGGGACAAACAAACTTGCCACAATAGAGAACCCCCAAAACAGTCACAGGATTCTGAATTAGGAAAAACCTTTTCTACAATAGCGAGTACTATTAATAAAGGAGGTCCAACATTATATGGGAGGTTTTTGATGGCGCCCCTTTGTTGTGGTTTCAAAGGGCAACCAAACCACAACAACTTGCTTTCTTTATTTATTTATTTGTTTATTTCTTTCTTTTTCTCTTGCTTTCTTTTTTCTTTCTTTCTTTCTTTCTTACTTTCTTTCTTTCTTTATTGCTTCCTTTTTTTGTCGGAATCCCTAAGAAGAGACACACCCATAGGTGGAAAACCGCTGGCATCGAAGTCTGCCTTGGAGATGGCGGCGAGGCCGTTGGGGACATCTGCGAACTTCAGGCCGGCGCTGGGGCTCAGGTATCCTGCCCGGCAGCACGGGTTAACCGACATGGCAAGGGCTCGGATGGGTTTTCTGGATGCAAATGTGGGGGGGATGTTCTCAGAGAAAAGGTGTGCGGACGGTCCTCGAAAATGGTTGGAGTTTCCTTTTGGGCTTCATTGTGCCAACCAAGGGGCTTCCTACCTCTTGTGGAGTCGTGTGTGTCAGTTGCGTTAAGGGCTGGTTGAGGGCTGGGTTGGGCAATCTTGAACTGATGGAATGGGTTTGGGAACACCCTTCCAACCCTGTGGAGCTGTTTGGGTTGGTGTTAGTGCTTGCTTGTGCTTGGTTTGGCCGGGGTTGGTTGCGGTACTGAGAGTGGGATTCGGGGTATGCAGAAGGGCCGGGGGGTGTTGAGAATACCCTGCAGGGGAACCACGCAGATCCACCAACAAAAAGACCAAACCCAAAAAGACCAAACCCAGCAAAACAAATACACCAGCCAACCCAATAAATCACATGGATGGAACCTTACAACAAAGTTAACTTGACCAAAAGGGGATCCAAGAACCCCCGGCAGATTCTGCCAACAAATTGAAGGGTCATGTGTATACAACAGCATGTACTTGTTTCGCATTTCTCAGAATAGAAGTCTAGGGGTTTCCTTAGAATTGTTGGCTTTCCTTTGGTTTCTCTTCAAATGCCAACCAAAAGGGGTTCGCCACGACCACCTCCCCAATTGCCCTGAGAGCTTCTCCTGGAAACTTGCCAGCAATCTCCGGAGTAATGTAGCCTCGCGGCCCGCAGTCCCAGGTCAGTCACTCAATTTGGAGCTCGACGGGACGGGGGGCGGAAGGGAACACAAAAACAATGCCAGGCGTGCTTTCAGCTTCCTACTTCTTAGATGCGGCACTTTCAGTTCCCTACTCATGCCTACCTCAGTAGATGAAGATCAAATGAGCAGTTTGTTTGGAACGTCTCCTCCTCCTTGCTCTCGTGATGTCACTGACCAAGGTGAATGGCTTGTCTGCAGGGCAAGCCATGTATATACCCCGCCGGAGTAGCCCTGAATGCTCCAATATCTCTATGGCTATCATCTTGCCAAAGAAGGGCATAGGGGTTCTCAGTGTATCGTGACAGGCCAAGGGTCAATGCCCCGAAATGGAGGCGGATTGAACTTTTCTGACCGCGACCACCTGGCTGTTCACACTGATCCGTCAATCCGATGTTGCGTGAACTATGAGGGACCCTGTTGGCACTTGTAACCCAAACAACGCCCGGATTGCACTTACAGAGCTCAGCATGGACCAACATGTCCAGAACGAAACAAGTAGGTCGATTCGCTTTGGAACTCAGATCTTGGTGAGTCGCTGGCAAATTTCGGGGCCCACGAGATGCATATAGGCAAACTGTCACCGGTCATGCCTTCATGTCACGCAGCCCTGGCTGTCACTTGAGTCGCAATCCGGAGACTGGGCTTCGAGTACGCTACGGCCATAGAAAAGGGCACCTTGGTTGGCTGTGTTTTCAGGCAAACCCACTGCAAATAAGGGAAACATGGCATCGCTGGAGGTCTGGCTGATGTTTGGAAGAGTTCCCCTGCAAACCTTCATCTACCCATATTTCAATTTCGGCTCACACGAGTTTGTTCATGTACGCTTTAGATGCTGAGTGCCATTCAATTTTGACCAAATAGAAATGCTGGTGCTAAAATTGTTTTCCATCGGTTGGATGGCCAAATACTGCAAAATGAAGCAGCCCTTTTGCTTTCGCTTGGCTCAGCCCCTGGAAGTCGCTTCTCCTTCAACAGGGACCCTCTGTCCAATGCTAGGCTTGTTTTTGGGAGGGTACTCGTCACTCCACCCCAGTTTTTCAATTGCACCAGTCTTCTTTGGGCTCCACTCCAAAGGGGGGGCATGTACCGTAGCCTTGCGGCTTCTGTCTAAAATGGCAAACACATCGCCATATCTGACTGAGAAGTATCCAAGTCGGGGAGTGACCCATGAAAAAACGGGAACCCTTTCAGCAGATGCTCAAGGAATCCCTCCTCCATAAGTAAACATTGGCACCACTTGGATTTTGCAGAGTGCAAAGAGCGCTTTGTGCTTTTGAATAGCGGACCTGCCGAGGGAGAAAAAAAAAGGAGCAACCACAAATCTTCGAGCAAAAGCAGGAAAACGCACCGAATTTCTGAAAACTAGACCACGGTTGGCCCGAAAGCAGAACATCGCAAGCGAGGTCGGCCCAACGCTGCAGGATGCGTTCTTTTTCCCTACACGAAGCATTTGTGAAGCAAGCGCGAGACAGCACTAGGTGCTCTGCGCAAACTGGTCGGTGCAAGTTGGTCTGCGCAAGTTGCTCTACGCAAGTTGCACTGTGCAAGTTGCTCTGCGCAAGTTGCTCCGCGCAAGTTGCTCCGGCAAGTTGGTCCCTGCAAGTGGCTCCCTGCAAGTTGCTCTGTGCAAATTGCGCTCCCTGCAAGTTGCTCTGTGCAAGCTGCTCTGTGCAAGTTGCTCTGTGCAAGTTGCTCTGCGTAAGTTGCTCTGCGCGAGTTGCTCTAGGCAAGGCGCTCTGCGCAAACTGGTCGGTGCAAGTTGGTCTGCGCAAGTTGCTCTGTGCAACTTGCTCTGCGCAAGTTGCTCTGCGCAAGTTGCTTGAAAATGCAAGTTGCATCTTGCGACGCCCGCCCGCAGACCAGGGAGAAATCGAACCCGTGACCCGCCGGTTCCGGGAGCAGGCGCGCGAACCACGAGACAACTCCCGAGGACCAGTTCGAACAACAAAAGTCGCAAAAAAACCTCGAGTTTTTGCACCTCGACCACGCCGATCCCCGCAGAGGGTTGCGCGAGCACCGCAGAAATCGCAAAAAACCTCGAGTTTTTGCACCTCGACCACGCCGATCCCCGCAGAGGGTCGCGCGAGCATCGCAAAAAACCATGGGTTTTTGCACCTCGACCACGCCGATCCCCGCAGAGGGTCGCGCGAGCAGGCAAAATCGCAAAAAACCATGGGTTTTTGCACCTCGACCACGCCGATTCCCGCAGAGGGTCGCGCGAGCAGGTTAGAAATCGCAAAAAACCATGGGTTTTTGCACCTCGACCACGCCGATCCCCGCAGAGGGTCGCGCGAGCAGGTTAGAAATCGCAAAAAACCATGGGTTTTTGCACCTCGACCACGCCGATCCCCGCAGAGGGTCGCGCGAGCAGGTTAGAAATCGCAAAAAACCTCGAGTTTTTGCACCTCGACCACGCCGATCCCCGCAGAGGGTCGATTTTCGTGTAGTGTCGTCGGCACTACCCCGCCGCCCTAAGAAGAGATTTTAACTCCTCGCAAGTCAATTGCACTTGACTCCTTGCACTTGCAACTTGCACTTGACTCCTTGCTTGTTTCAAGGAGTCATTGCAAGGAGTCATTGCAAGGAGTCATTGCAAGGAGTCATTGCAAGGAGTCATTTCATTGCAAGCAGTCATTGCAAGGAGTCATTGCAAGGAGTCATTGCAAGGAGTCATTGCAAGGAGCAAAGTCATGAGAGCCATTGTGTTTGCAAGGAGCCAAGTGCATGGAGTCAAGTGCAAGTCGCAAGTGCACGGAGTTAAGTGCAAGTTGCAAGTGCAAGGGCCAAGTGCAAGGAGCCAAGTGCAAGGAGCCAAGTGCATGGAGTCAAGTGCAAGTTGCAAGTGCATGGAGTCAAGTGCAAGTTGCAAGTGCAAGGAGTCAAGTGCAAGTTGCAAGTGCAAGGAGTCAAGTGCAAGTTGCAATCCTTGCCATGACTCCTTGCAATGACTCCTTGCAATGACTCCTTGCAATGACTCCTTGCAATGAATGACTCCTTGCAATGACTCCTTGCAATGACTCCTTGCAATGACTCCTTGCAATGACTCCTTGCAATGACTCCTTGCAATGACTCCTTGCAATGACTCCTTGCAATGACTCCTTGCCATGACTCCTTGACTCCTTGCAATGACTCCTTGCCATGACTCCTTGCAATGACTCCTTGCAATGACTCCTTGCAATGACTCCTTGCAATGACTTTCATGATGATGATTCCTTGCAATGACACCTTGTAATGACTCTCATGAGAACAACTCAAGTGAACCCAGCGGAAGAACCCTTCGCCATGCTTTCGGGAAAACAACAGGAACAAAAACGAAACTGGACAAAAAACAACACGGGAAACATCACGAATGAGGAAGCTTGCCTGGTATCAAAACCCCCGGTCGATTCTATCAACGCAAAATGAGCGGCCCATGGTCGCCAGCATGGCGATGCGCCCGTGCTTGAGCTCCACAGAGCGCCTTCAAACAAAGCGGTGCTTCCAAAACAAGCACAGTTTTTGTTGCATAACACCCACTGGGTGTGCTTTTTCTTTGTTTTGTGCACGTGACTTTGTTTGTTTGATATGTGTACGTATATATATATATATATATAAACCGAACAGTGCAAACCCAAAGACTGTTGGTTCTACCACAATGGATATAAAGCTTTGCATAGGCCTTTCCATAACCACAAGATCATGTAATTCGTAGAACCGGGTTAGGCGCTGCTCAATTGGGTTTCCCTTTTTGGTGTCCCTTTAAACAAACTTGAAAAGGATACAAACTCCAAACCAAACACAACTCATCTCCAAAGCAAGTGGACACAACCCGCTTTCCTTTCGGCTTCCCCGTAAAGCCAGCCATTTTTAGAGGTCTCTTATCCAAATGACTGGCTGGGCTCTCCTGGACCGGGTCCCAATGGACAGATTCCTATGACGGCAGAAAAGAAAAGCAGGGGCCCATTGACTCTACGTCCGAGGCTGGCAAAAAATGAGTTGGATTCATGAAAAAAAGCTAGTACCTCAGACAGGGCATGTGAGGGCGTAGGTTTGTGCGAGTCTGCCTGACTTGTCTCAGCTCTTGGGGTTGAAATAGATGGTACGAGTACGTAGGTACGTATGGAAAGCACCGCTATGTGCCCATCCTCCGGTTGTTGCACCTCATTGGTCTCGTGTCCGACTGTGCATTTCATCAAAGTACCTGGAGCCTGACCCCCGAGTCAAGCAGCCTGGCACCTGAATTGTTGGTCCATCAGCCCTGTGGCCCCGTCCTGATGCTTGTCAAAGCCGGCAATGTTATTGCACATGACCCCTTCACATACACTGATACCTCGTGTGATCCCACGTGTGCACCCCAGATCAAGGATCATAGGATCCTCAAGCAGGGTGGGTACAATGGAACACTGGAGTTCTCGGTGGCCATGGAAAAGCGATGACAAACCATCCTGTTTTGGATGCTTTTCTTAAAGGGCCACCTCCCCCAGCGAAAAACAAACAGCAATGTAAACTGCATCCTCCCACCAACATAACACCTCTGGGAGGGCTTGTTCGCAGGAGAGAAGTATGCCTTTGTGCTGAGAATGCGCTTTGCTGGTGGTTGCTTCAGCATATGCACGCATTGTCAGGGTTCCAACCCATCCTGCGGCTGGACCAAATCCTGCAACAAATGGTGGATAGTTTATCCATGCCAACTGGTGCCTGGCAAAGATGTCGCAACCATCCACAGTATTTGGTAGGCATCCCTTGAGGCTAGGGCTAGGGACCCTTCGGGCCCTCAGGCCCATACGGCCCATGTGACAAAAGTCCAGAATGAGCGGGTGACACCAAAAGCGCTTGGCCCATCCCCGAAATCGCCGAGCCCATGTCCCATAAGCCCGTACATCTTTCCCCCCCTCCGCAGTTAAAAAAACATGGGCCCCACCCAACTCCGCCAACTCCCACCCCTCCCCCCAGCCCCCAGCCCACCCCCCCGGCCCCCCCAACCCCCCCGAGACCCCCAGCCCCCCGAGCCCCCCCAGCCCCCCAACCGCCACCGGTCGGCCCGTCGCCCGCATCGCCTGCGCTGGAAGGTCTCCACGTCGCCATCTTTGGCCAGGCCCAGGGGGTCCCAGTAGCCCACTGGCGGCTGGACGCCAAGCTCCTAGCCACGAAAAACACGAGAAGTTTCACGGAAAAAGCCGACGGAGCCAAACCAAACAGAAGCGGAGCTTCCCAACAAACACACAGACAGACAGACAGAAAGACAGACAGACAGACGGACAGACGGACAGACGGACGGACGGACAGACGGACAAACGGACGGACGGACAGACGAACAAACGGACAGACGGACAGACGGACGGACGGACAGACGGACAAACGGACGGACGGCCAGACGGACAAACGGACAGACGGACAGACGGACGGACGGACAGACGGACAAACGGACGGACGGACAGACGGACAAACGGACAGACGGACAGACGGAGAGCGCACAGACGGACAAAAGACGCGCACAGACGCGCAGAGACGCGCAGAGAAGCGCAGAGACGCGCACAGACGCGCAGAGAAGCGCAGAGACGCGCAGAGACGCGCCGAGACGCGCCGAGACACGCAGAGACGCGGACAGACGCGCACAAACGCGGACAGACGCGCACAGACGCGCACAGACGCGCACAGACGCGCACAGACGCGCACAGGCGCGCACAGGCGCGCACAGACGCGCACAGGCGCGCACAGGCGCGCGCAGGCGCGCACAGGCGCGCACAGACGCGCACAGGCGCGCCCAGACGCGCACAGACGCGCACAGACGCGGACAGACGCGGACAGACGCGGACAGACGCGCACGGACTCGCACGGACGCGCACAAACGCGCACGGACGCGCACGAACGCGCACGGACGCACACAGACGCGCACAGACGCGCACAGACGCGCACAGATGCGCACAGACGCGCACAGACGCGCACAGACGCGCACAGACGCGCACACGTCGACGCGCACAGACGCGCACAGACGCGCACAGACGCGCACAGACGCGCACAGACGCGCACAGACGCGCACAGACGCGCACAGACGCGCACAGACGCGCACAGACGCACACAGACGCGCACAGACGCGCACAGACGCGCACAGACGCACAGACGCGCGCAGACGCGCGCGCGCACACGCGCTTACACACGCACACACCCACACACACACACACACAGACACCAACAAGGCCAAGGTCAAGGTTGGGAGACTTGTTAACTGGGGAACAACTGGTGTGAACAACTAGTTGAGCAACCTAGTTGTAGTTTACTTTGAAGAGCAAGGGGCAGGCTGAAGAAGCAAGCTTTGTGCCTTTCCCTGTTGGCATGGGGTCCGACCGGCCGCAGGTACCAGGAAGACGATGGATCCTTTAATATTGGCTTCGGGATCTGAGAAGTCATCCAGTCGGAAGAATCAAAGACAAATTGCCACCTGACCTGAAGATCACGAAACGGTCCCCCCCCCCAACGAAAAAGACATCGTCCTCACAGGGAGGTGCTCTGGAACAATGGCAAGGATGCAGACGCTTGTAAGATGATCCTGTACTAGGTCTGTCCCTGTTTGCAGGCTGAATGCTTGTGTCGGCTTTGAGGGTGCCCTTTGTATTAGAGGGCTATAGAGGGCTGCTAAACGGGAAACCACCCAGTTGGGAGGCTTCCGCCATTTGCAGACACTCGTTTGAGCAACGTCCGCAAATCCATTTGATCGCTGGCCGATGACAGAGTGGCCTCCCATTGGTGTCCCGTTAAAACGACTTGCAAAGGGGGTCCCGCCAAAAATCACACACCCGCCCGGCTCCTGCTCAAAGGCCATAAGGGCCACAGCCGAGCTCTTCCCACTGGCCTGCGCCTGGAGGAAACAAGCCCGAGGTTCCTGAGAGCTACTTGGACTTGCCCTCCGTTCACTAACGTGAAACCCACCAGGGTCCTTTTAAAGTGAAAAAGGGAAATCGTCTTCCGGACCCTTCTTACGTGCGTGACATTGTGATTTGGACCCCGATGGTGGGTTTCCTGTTGGTTTCCCTAACCCCAAACGGGCAGCCCTCCATCAACCACAGACCCAAATGACCCAAGTTCGGTCACCTTTTGGAGGCTCGGTCGCAACGGGGAAGGGGGGCGATTCCTCTTCGAACAGCACGAGCTCGAGCGGTTGCCCCCCGCCACTAATCAACCAGGCAATTTATGCATCGACCAAGGCTTCTCCCATCAGTTTTGACACATTCTATATTGGCTTTTGGACCACTCACCCCATTCCGAAACTCTTAGAGGCTTCGAAAATTCAAAACATAGTCTAGAGATGTGACCTTCCGCCAACCAAGGACCCTGCGTTTTGTCAAAGCAAACATACGGCCGAAGATGATTCACCACCTGTGAGAAGTGTTGCATGGTCATGTTGGTGCCGAAGGGAATATTGATCAACCCCCTGTCCATACCACCTTCAGGCACAAACATCAAAAGACCGAGCGGCACCAGTTGGTTTCTCCATGGAAGGAACACACTTAGGGAATCTGGTTGCTTCATAAACTCCCTGCTAGGCGGTACATCAGTTCACCAATAGCGCAGACTCGTGTCCATTCTGATTCTATCAAATCTGAATTCTAATTCTTTCATGAATTCCCTGGTTGATGAGTGGCAGCTGGGGGTGAGTGGGGGGGAGGCATACCTCGCCGCCGCCGCTTTCCTGCCCGCGCCTTGCGTGCCTGGCTCACCAGCACCGCTGCGCTGCACACGGCCACGGCTGCGGCGGAGCCAAGCGCCGAAGTGTCCTGGCGACGCGCGCGCGGTTGGAGGCGTTTTAGGACGTGTGGTTTGAGCCGTTTCTTTCTTTCAGGTGGTTGTTGGTGGTTGTTGAGGACGTGTTTTTGGTGGATGTGTTTTTGATGGTTTTTCTTTCAGGTTTGAGGACGTGTTTTTGGTGGTTGTGGCTTTCTTTCAGGTTTTTGAGGTTGGTTTCAAGGGAATTGAAACCAGAGGGAACACACATTTTCACCCCCCCCCCCGCCCGGTTTTAAGACAAACCCATTTTTTGATTCCGTCTGCATATGTCTGCATACAGAATCATGGGGTAGGTTTGGCGCTCTTTTATTGGTCGAGGTAATTCGCACGCAAGGAATCCTATAGGGGGAAGTTCCTGTGTGGTTCCTAGTAGAAAGTACCATCTCCATGCGTGTCCTCAAAAATGTCTTCCAAGGAAAGGGGCAGCACGCCCTGTGACGGCCCAGCGGCTCAAAGTTGCTGCACTCTGTTTGGGGGGAGGGGGGGCCTGGGACGTTAGGATCCCGCATTTCCGGAAGAGAAACCACTCCCGAAAAGGAAGCAAAGGTGAGCTGCTTGCACCCGTTTGATTCATGAGAAGCGTCCGCATGCGGCCCTTCGAGTTACTTGGGGCACTGAACATCAGCCGATCTGCTGCAAGCCGTCCAAAAACCTAAAACCCCGACCATGAAGCAGATGATGCGACGTCGCTGCATTGGCTCTGACGAACAAACTCAAGGATACCAGCCGCCTTTGGTAGAGGTTTGCAAGTTGTGATCTCATACAGCTGGTAGATAGGGATTCACCCTGGACTAGCATAGCAACAACTCAGCATCCCAGATCCTCAAAAGCCTAGAGCTGTCAAGAAGAGGTATGGTCCCCCAGCACGTCAAAACAACCTGCAAAGTTCCCCCCTCGTTCCAGCATCAAAAAACCGCTCCCTTACTCGAAGACTCGCTCCGCGCCTGTTGGACAGTTGGCGCCCGCGCTTGCCCTCGCAAGGCGGAGACTTGCCCGCTCGCGCCGCGGCTGGTGCCGGGTGCCAGGAACGCTGCGCCGCCCAGTGCCGCGGCGGCCACGGCCGCGGCCTCGGCAGCGGAGGCAGCGGAGGAAAGGGGTGCCCGTTTTTGTGGGTCCAAAGCATCCTCGAATACACCCTGAACCAAGCCTAAAATACCCTGAACCAACCCTAAGCACCCTAAACGAACTGTAAGCCAGCCCTAAACCTGAAAGCGACACCAAAGGTTGTTTTGCTTTTGGGGTTCAAACTGTGTCTATATAGAGGTCAAGATTCGGAGGTTCTCCCAGAAACACACTGTCTTTTTGCCGACGATGCTTTCTCCTTTCGCAGTCCGTTTTAACCAACCTTGACTAGGGTCCCATCAAAAACACGAACCCCTACGGACTATACCAACTGCGCCATGGACAAAACCCTTCTCTGACCCATGTCACAAAACTCCATAAAGGCCATAGAGCTGTTCGCATGGCCGTTGGTTCAAAAACACCAGCCAACTGCGACACTGCCGATTATCTGGTCCAACTTCGGAAAACCAAGCTACGCTTGTTCGGCAAACGCCACCACATACAATTTGCGGACTGGCTTGGACCCCCCCAGAGGACATGATCAAAAGGGTAGGTAGGTCCCTGCTTGCTGCAGGAAACTTGAAGGCTTGAGCCCTCCGCCCCCTCCCCTGTCCTCCCAAACTAATTATACAGCTTTCATGCTAGACGGAGACCTCGAACTTCTCTAAACCACCATGTATATCACGTATACGCCATATGTAGATAAAACAAACACTTTCCAAGTTCGGGTTGTCACCGAATTCCCTGGGACCCGCCCAAATTACGACCCGTGCGTGGCTCCTGGGAGTCCCGGCAGTCTTGGAAGGCTTTGCCATGCCTCGGAGACGCAAATCGCAAGGAAGCCAACTGGTGGCTGGAAGCCAAACACAAAATATGGCTGTGGTTGTCAAAACCGTTTTGCGACCATTTTAGGGGTAGGTGAATTCACCACCCATTTTAGAGCCAAATTTTAGTTGGATTTTGACCCATGGCCATATCAGTGGGGGCACCAACAAACTTGGTGACTTTCAACAGCTCAATTGAAGCCCAACAAATATCAAGTCACTGGGCAACTTGGTGACTTTGAATCCAACAAACAACGTTTGGACAAAAACTGGTGGCGTTCAACAAACTTGCACAAACTTTGGGAGACAAACCAACAAACAACTTGACTTTCAACAATTGGAAGCCAAAAATAATGACTGGAAACAAACAACCAGTGGTGACTTTCAGCATTCAGAATCTGCAGTATATTGAAGCAACACCAAAGAATCCAAATCCATTTCGGTCGGGGCGCCTTCAATGGTTTTGAGATTACATACAAGGACAAAAATGATATAGGAGCACATGTTAATCATGTCCCTCATGTTCCCCGTCTTGGTGTTGGTGTAAAGGGAGACCAAAACAAATGCAACTTGTGCTGCATTCCGAAGTCAGGGACCCCACAACCCCCCTGGAATTAGGGCTAATAAGCCTTCTGTATGCCAAAAATGGTTGGGGAGCATTTGTAGGGTGTTCGACAGGCAACGATGGTGTCTTGTCCAAGGCTACTCGTTTCGCTTTTTGAAAGAGTAAATGACATGCTTTGGGGTCCAGCCATTGAAGACAAAACCCATCTGAAGCTCAAACAAGTCTATTGCAATGTCGCTGTGAATCAAACATAGGTACCCAAAATAAACCCTGGCAAATGGAAAAGAAGACTAAAACCTGCGGTCCCCTGGTGACTTAATTTTGACCCATACCCCTTCGTGACTGTAGTGACCCCTCAAGCTTGGTGGCTTTCCGGCTCACCTCCCCGCTTCATTCGGATGGCTGTGCGCGAGTTTGGGCACGTCTCACCACGGAATCTGGGCACACGGAATTAGTTGGTGCGAAGTTTTGGCCGTTGGTTGTTTAGCTGGGTTCGCAGGGAATATTTGATTTATTGGTTTGGGTGTCCTTAATACCTGGAAGGAAGATCATGTTCCTTTTCAAGTTGGAGCTTTTGTCGGAAACCGAAATGCAGAAAAAACACCTTCCAAGTCCCGAGTTGGCTGGAGCGGATCCTTTGTCCGGAGCAGCGACCACGGTCAAACTTGTCAGGTCGCCGGTTACATGCCAAGAGGGGTAGCAGCGCACGTGGTTTTAGAGTGGACCAAGACATTGGCTATACATACACATACATATAATGTCTACACAAAACCACCGCACCATACCGCACCTGATGTTGCCCCAATATTAAGCCCCCAACAAAAAACCTGACTTTTAGGGGAATCTCAAGGATCTCCTGTTGGGGTACTCCCATTTGGGGTTCCAGCTTGATTGGAATGAGAGCGCGCTGGCCGCCTGTTGTCGCGACCGAGCGGCTGAGGCACGAAGGGAAGGTAGGGGAAAACAAAAAGTTGGCGGTCCTAAAGGCGACTGGAACCTCTCCCGCTGCGGCGACACGGCACTGCGAAGAGAACAACGCCTGGTGGAAAAGAGATCCTCAGAGGTCTGGGTGGCACCCCGTGGCGGTAAACACGGCCTCAGCAGCAAAACAAAGAGCAAATCAACCAAGGTATACTTGTCCAAAGCAATGAAAGGAAGGCACTTGTCTTTGTGAGTCACATTCTGCGACAAAGCCATTGATTGGACAAGCACAAGCACAAGCAACACTCATGTGTCCATGGCTTGAATCTCGTCTACCTATCTGAGCGATGATATAGTCCTCGCAATAATTCTTAGTATTCGTAACTTAGTGCCAACACTTCATAATTTAGTGGAGTAAACGTTGAAGGTTCAACTTTCCATGAATTACTCTTCAGGGCAACGTAAGGGGCTAAACAAGTACTAGAACACTCTTATAATAAATGACTAAGGCCGTTCCATGGCTGGTACCAAACCGCCCAGCAAGATGTCTGGCGCATGGCGCATGCTCGTCCGCAAGCCGCGGCTTTTTCCCACCCGCTGCGAAGTGTCACCGCCTCGGTCGCGGAACGAACTTGCTCAGTTTGGCTTGGTTTTGTCACACCGCCCAAAACAAAACGAAAGACGTGTGACATGTGGAGGCTTCTCAAAGATCATTGACCCGTTTTTGGTGGCGGTGGACATCTTCCAGGCGCCGATGTCTTCATTGCACCCCTATCTGGGTTGCTGAACCCCCCTGGAGCCAAAGGTCGATCACCTTTTCTCGGTTGCGACATTTGCTCCCCTACTAAAAGTTTAGCTTTTAGTGGTTTAATTGAAAAACCCATTGGTTGGCAAAAAGTTAAAGTCCTAACATCCAAGCAAAACACACCAAACATTTGTAGGTTGAATGGAAAAGCCAGAAAGTCCAATGGGCCGTTGGGGTCACACAAAAAAAACAGCCCGCATAGCGTTTGGTGTAAAGCAACAATTGGCTAGGTGTCAGATTGTTGTTTCTGTTTTCCCTTGAAAGCAACCCAACAGGATACCATAAAACCACACATAAAAACACACACACACACACTGTGACTTAGACTCCCGAGGGAGAGGGCCAATCAATATATATATATATATAGAGAGAGAGAGAGAGAGAGTCAGCGCATCCAGTGGGAGATTGTGATCATGCTATGAGATTTCGAGTCAAATTGGCGTCCCACCCACTTCCAACAAAATGGAGGGCATATTAGACAGAAAAAGGAAGCCTGTATTATACCCAAAACTGGGCGAATCAAAGGTGAGGTCAACCCTAAACCTAGGTTGTGGATCTTGTCAAAAGATGCTTCAGGGTCTTTGGTACAGGCACTCTCCCACCCACTACCGTGGAAACTAGTTGGGGCGGGTTCTGACAGACCACTTTCCTCTAACAAGACTCTCCGACAGGTTCCGATGATGGCAAATGTACGTTTCCAAAATTGAAACTTAAACAAACATAGCCCGGAAGGTGACAACATGGGGACAACTACACTACATAAACACAACACCTGCCACAAGCGTTTGACTCCACTTTCTCACTGCCCCCCATTTGGTGTGAAACCAAGCAGCACTCTAGGTGCCAAACTTTGACCCCGACGGGGTTCCTTATCGCACAGGAACCTCGTTCCGACTTGGGCCAAGCAGCGCTTGGCAAGTAGGACTGTTGACAAAATCGGCTGGCCCGAAAACTGATGCTACCACCCCGAAAAACCGACAAAACAAGGACCCCTGCCAAACCAACTTGACCCTGTCAAAACAAACAAAAAAAACACATGTGTCAAACTCGGGGGTTTCAAAATGAGAAGGTTCGGCGCCTTTTCATCAGAGGGTAATTACCCTTTGCAAGGTTGGTCGGCTTTGAGCCCAAAGGAAAAACCTGAAGCCACAGGGCCCGGTGCTATGCAAATCCACTGGGCCAGGGAACTGCGGCAGCTTCCCCAACTTCTCCTCCAGCGAGCGCAGGTCCTTCTGGAGGCGCTCGGAGGAGGCCTCGAGCGCGAAGGAAGGCGTAGCAAGTTGGGTGTGCCAGCCAGTTGGCCTTGGTTAACGTTGAAGGGGAGCACAAATTTTCAGATTTGAGCAGTTAAGTGGTTGGATTTCCACCACTAAACCACAATTAGCAAAAATGTAAAATGCTTCCCAACAACCACCAGTTGGCTATAGTTAGCTTTTTGCGTAGTTAACTAATAGTAGACTATTGGCTGTTTGTTTGAATAGTTAATCAGTTAGTCAGCCAGTTCGCCATACTAGGCAAAGTATTGCGGCTGCTACGAGATCTGCTCCGACACACTCCCTACGATGCTCTTCCAGTTTGATTGCAAATCGATGAAAACCCGTGACTGGCTTGAAGGTCACAAGCCGAAAGTGCGCAGAGCCGTTTTGAGGGCGCGCAAACCATGCGCGCGCGCCCAAATGCGTCCGATTCGGACAAAACTCCGAACCCCAAATTACAGGGCTCCCCCAAGATTCCCATTAAAGCGTCACCCGTGCGTGGAACCTCACCTTGCAGGGGCCAAAAGGTGATGTTCAGAACACAGAAATGAAACGTAGGGTAAATCATCCTGCTGGAGGAGTATGGGGTCTGAAGGGGTCCGCCTTTAATGGGACTTACCCCCTGCCAACCAGCGGTTGATTCATGGGGTCTCATGACCTTGAGCCTTGAGAGACACAACTCCTCCCAAGCCCTTGCAGAAATCGGGCAGCTACCCACTATATATATATATATACACTCGCCAAGGAAAACAACTGAAACACACGAAGCGATATACCAAGAAAAGCACAGAACTAGCTTAGCAGGGCTTCAATTGCCCTCAATGCCCCATCAAGGGGTTCATGGGGATGTGGCGCCTCCCCTTTAACACAGGCAAAGGTAGCAGCCAATAGCACCTAAAAGGCAAACTGGCACGCAGCCAGTTTATAGAGACTGGTTTAGGGAATGGGGATCGTTCAATTGCATCTGATCATAGGCGCCCTGATGGTTGTCAAACACTTTCGAGCTGGTTGACAATCAAGGTCATCTCTAAACATTAGAGTTGTCTGAACATGGCATGTGTGTTTAGTTTCTTCCCCGATTGAACGGTTTCGATGTTTTTACAAACCTAGTTCGTCCGTGCAACACAATGGTACACTACTGCAGCTGACCCTGAGCAAGAAAGGGCTAGGCTGAAAGGTTCAAACAACTTCTTCAACTACCATCCATCTAACTCGGGAATTATGACAAGAACCAAACTGTTCCCAGCCAATGTGAAAGGTTTGTCAGAATTGAAAGTCGAAATGGACTTTTTGATCAAACCAAATGGCAGGCAAGAAAGTTGATTCCGGCAAAAGAGAGAACCCGCTGTGTTCTTGCGGGTTCCTTTTGGCGTCACTTTGAATACAATCACACCAAAAAAAGGTTCTCGTCCATCACTTGGGTATGAATTGCAATGAACACGAGACTCTGTGGTAGACCTCATGCACACTCCAACTCTCTAACATGAAAACCTAACTGAGAGGTCCTGCAATACGAAATTCCACTAAACGGGGCCCTCTGAAACCCTTGCTATTTTGAGACGACATCCCCAGGCGGTCTAAGAGCTCCGGCTTTGGAGGCTTCGCGCATAGAGGTGGCAACCTCAAGCGGGCGGGAGGGGGGGGGGGGCCTGGGGGGGTGGGACGGACGAGCTCGGGCCCCATGGTGAAGGTTAGTTGGCAAGGGGCTTATGTTTCTTTTTTGAAGAAGGCTGAAGCCGGCTACAGCCAAGTTTGTGGACCAAAAAGGGCTGTCTTGTGTTCAACTGTTGAATCAAATTGAATGACCCTCAACAATTGTGGGACAGGAGGGGTTGTCCTTTGAACAATTCCCCAAACATCGCTTTCACAAGAATGTCTTGTTGGGGGCTGTTCTGTTAGGAGAAACAAACACGGGCTGATTAGCAAGGTTGAGGGGGGTGGGGGGTCCCAATTCCATTTTTCCAGTCTTCCACAAAAAAAGGGCAAGTAAAACAAATCACATGGAATTCCAGCTTCCCCACCCCCTTCCCTTCCAAAGGGAGTGATGCTGGACTGATTCGCCCATCGTTCCGACACTTCGAGGTCCCCGCGGAGCTGGTGGCTTTCAACATCTCCACGGCCTTGGTGCTCCGCGCCTGCGCGCGGCTCGTTGCAGGCGATCCGTTTGCGGAGTCCTCGACCTCCACTTGCTTGAGGCCTCAGGACAAAAAAACAAACCCAGTAGTGATACATTCCCTTTGAAACAAACAGGGGAAAACGTAAAAATGAAAATCTTAAGCAAAAGGAAGTCTAGGGGTTTCTTTGGATTCCACGTGATGCGGATGCTGATGGTATCTGGTGGGGTCGCCGCCCGCAAAGGTTTCTGTTTTGATGGAAATTATCTTGTGGGAATACTTGGATCTTCATGCGCTATTGATGTGTGTAATTACGCGCTTGCCCTAACGGCCCGCAAGTAACAGCTGCAGCCTTAAGCTTCGGGGGCTTGGCAAAACTTGACCAACATTGGACAAGTTGCAAAAAACTCCAGGTCAACTTCGACCACATGACCAGTGACTGCAAATCCCCCCAGGTGGACGATGGAAGTGTAGATCGACACTGGTCTTTTAGGACCCCGGATTCCCATCCATTGGACTTGCAAGGGAAACTCTCTTTCAAGAACCAACATAAATGATTTAATGGAAGCACTCCCCCTCCAAGAAAACAACACAAACAAAGAAAGCCAAACAGGAAGGCCTGGCCACCAAGCCCCTTGCTTTGGTCCAAGCGCCTTTAGCCCAACCCCAGGTTTACTTTTGTAAAACCACCAAAGCCGGAACCTCAAGCCCCAACACAGCAACAACAAAAAGGGACGCCAAAAAAAAGGGGGAACCCTAAACCACCCAAAAGGAACCCTCTAACCGCCCAACCCCAAAAAATCGGAACCCTAAACAAAAAAACGTTTGCAACGGCCACCCCAAAAAAGGCTCCCGACCATTTTTTTAGAAAACCTCCGGAATCCCAGGGAAAACGGCCGGTTTTTGAAAAGAACGATGGTTGAAAAGAATGGGGAATCCACCCCAAGAACATCCAGCGGTTCCCGCCCCGAGCTTCGGTTCGGGGCTCGAGATCGCCTCCGCCATGGCCAGGTCTGAGGCGAAAAGCTCCAGCTGCTTTCGCAGCGCGTCCTGGCCGCAGAGCCTCGGGTGCGAGCGCGTGAGAGTGGGGTGGGCTCAGGTATGGAGCCGAAGACTTGAGAACATTTTCAGGGCCAAAGAGAACTGTGGTGTATAGCCCTTAGATACCGCTGTACGGATAATGGCAATCTTTCCCTGGCAAATCCTGTTCCTGTGATCTTGGCAAACGCAAAGGGCAAATTGTTGGACTATATAAGGCTTGGCCGGTGCATTTCTATAACCATGCTATACACTTGGTCTCAAAGGTACTGGGGCCAAGGGAAGGAGGTAGCCAGGGAAAGCACTGCAGGCAAGACAGGCAGGGGAAGTTAAAAAGGTAAAGCCATTGGATAAAAGAAGGGTGTTTTGTTACCTATCATTTGTTTCTAGAACCATGACTAGATTTAGTCTTAGCATATGCCGCCAAATATTCTGATTGTTCAGGCAACTTCCCCGTTTCTCGGCAACTCAACCCCCAATGGCCCCCCCTTGCTGTTGCCTTTTAAGCAAATCCAAATCACTTTCGTTCGCGAAATGAAAGGGGAATTCTGGTTTGGGGGCTGCCAACAAGGATGGCCTATTTGGTGGTCGGGGCTCTACCATGGCCAACCGGAGCCAGGGATCCGCTCATCCCTAAGACTTGAACCAAGGGGCGAATGGTTTCCCAAGGGCAAGTTTTTTCTCGATGGCCCAGGTCTGGCTAGAATAACACCCAGCTAAGAACCCATCTGTTGCTAGAGGTTGGTTCCTCTTCTGCTCCCAATAGAGTTGCCAAGTAAAGGCTCCCGGCATGCCTTCCTTCATCCAAACCCTAGCTTTCGAAGGCGCGCATCCAATTGGCAAGAGTCTGTAACTCCAACCCCATTTTCGAAAATGTGTTTGTTGAGGGTGCCTTTGTTTCACCCCTTTTGTGGAAACCAAAGGCACAAAATGTGCCCATACTTTATATCTATATATATATATATATATGTATCTATATCTATGGTGTCTTCTCGAGAATACCATGCCTGGACACCCCGACGGGCTCGCAGTTCCTGACTGCACAACTTCCCCGTGCAGACAAAGGACATCGATTCCCAAAAAAAACATCTCCAGGCCGTTTCTTGTTGAGGCCAGGGTTTTTCAACGGCAATCCCAAGAGGACGCCGCGTTTTACCGAGTTTTCCTCAAGCACCAGACCACACCTCACCCCAGAATCCCAGGAAAAAGACGCGTTTTGCCGGGGTTTTACCAGGGAAAACCACACCCCACGCGGCGGCCCCCCCGCTTTTTGCTCCTCCCTCGAAACGCGTCCCTCGCTGCTCGCTCGGGGCCCGGGCTGCTGCTCCAGGTCTTTGGCCCTGAGCGCCAAAGTGTCCAGGGAGGCCACCTCCTCGTAGAGGCGCTCCACCTAGCGTTCGCCCGACTCGACGATGGCGAAGCCGGGATGGCGCCCAAAGGAGTTGAAGATGGAAAAGTACCGGTGAAACTGGTGTGTCCGATTTATTTGTGGGGTGTCCACATAATGACTTAGTTGGAATTCCAAGATTTTGGAGGGAGTTGTTGTTTGGATTTGGCTACGCATGAAATCGGGAGCTTCCCTTGGGTTTCCAAGAACGACTCTATCGGGGTTGCTCTTCCCTGACAAAGTCTTCACGACAACTTTGAAGCTCCAGCCGGGCTCCGTTCCTGGAAGTCGCGCACGACGGTGTGGAAGATGTTGAACAAGGTTGGGGGACTGGGGCCTCAGAGAACACGTCTCAGGATGGTGTTTGTCAGATGGCCGCCGGACAAATTGGCACCCTCGTGGAATGCCTTGAGCACTTGAATCAACCGCTCGGGGCAACCCAAGCGTGTGCAAGTCGCGCCAGGCTGCTGTCCGGTTCACTCGCGGGTATGCCTTCTCGATGTCGAACATGATGAAGGTCATAGCGTCTTCATGACTCTGGCTACTGCACGTCACCATGATGCTTGTAGCAGTTCCAGCTTGGGTTCAGCGAAGTAACACGTGATCGGAGCGACAGGTCGCAAATGGTGGTGTCTGTTCATCTATGCATGCTACATCCTGTCTCAGGATCCAAAGCGCAACATACAAATGGGTCCTCAAACAATCTCTTCCTACAATAAGAACAAACCCTACGTCAGAGCTTTGGACAGGGAACCAATCGAAACCAAACATCGTTCTCGCGGGTCTATCTTAAGACAAACTCATTGCCAGCGGGGAAGGCGCGGGCGACGCGCTAAGAATGACCCACTTGGGGAAGTTTGAAGGCCCACTGCGCCGAGTCAAGCGCACTCCTAAGTCCATGAACCTGCAACGCTCAGTGAAAAGCACGGAAGCTAGCAAACATTCAGGCTATGGCCCGGCTTCAGAGTTGCCTTGGCACTGAGGGGAAGTAGGCTACACATACTGCTCTACAAGTGAACATGGCGCCCAAAAGAGGGGTCCCCCAAAAGAAGATTCCTCATGATGGTTGGTTGAGTTCCATGTTTATCTGTGAGAGCACCCAATGTCTTGCCACACTGCATGATGGATGCTTGACTCAGTGCAATCCGGTCAAAGCGCAACCTCTGGTTGTTTTTTTGGCGGCCTGAGCTGGAAAGGCCCCGCCCCCACGCGGAAAGAAGCTATCCTCAGAGATAACTACGCAGGTGTTTCTAGGTTGTATTTGCCTAACCCACTCTCGAAGCTGTGGAATTGTTGTTTTCGAATTCAAACCGAACCCACTGCAGGGTTCCCAAGAGGGAACCAATCCTAACCAATCCAAGCCAGAGGTTCCAATTCCCAAACCACCAATATGAGCCGCTAACCTCTAACTAGAGGTTTAACGGGGCTTCTCGATTCCTACCTGCTTCGTGGACTTTCGCTGATACATTTCTAGGTCCTCCTGTAGAGAGGTTAGAACAAGGGTACCCTTTTCTGTAGTCTACTCTACTAGGGGAACCCTCTCCCCAAAAAGCGAAACGGTAAAAGGGCACGACGGGGGGGACCTAGATTTTCCCCCTTCCGCGTGAATGACTTCCGCCTGCATGGACACGGTTTCCACGCCGGCATCCACCTCCTGAGCCTCGACTCGAGCTGAGCTGGCGCAAGAAGATGAGAAATGGAATGAACCGGAAGGGATGCCCGGAGAAAGGAAACCGTATGGGAAGGGCCATAGGGGTCATTCCAACTTGTTTCTCTTTTTTTTCTGAGCACCAGCAAGGGTGTTCTTAGGCTAGCCTTCCTCTCAACATAGCACCAGTCGGAGGGTTCCTGGAAGATCAGTTTCCTCTTGAAGCGACCCCCTGTTAGGTGCTTTGTTAGTGGGACAAAGCAGTACCCTTTTCGTTGGTGCTTTACAGGAACACCAAAGGAAAACCACCATTTCGGCCCCTGGCCACAAACCGGGAACCAAAGGCACAACAGGATGGGTCTTCTTTTCGGGCCCGGGCCAAGGTTGCACAAACGAACGCTCAAGTCCTTCTCATTTGAGCCATCCTTGGGGACTCCAAGAATTCGCCAACCAGTAAAAGGCAAAAGTGCGTCTTTGGCCGCACCGTAATGTCCCTGGTGATGGGAACTCTCCCTCACCTTCTCTTACCCCCAGTTTGAATACGGCTCGCCAATGTGTCAAGACGCAGTTTTGAAAGCTGCGGACCCCTTCAAATGGGTCGGTTAGTCTCCTTGTTTCTCCTTGTTTTTGGGTGGGTCTGACATCCAGAAACAATTTGGGTACACCTCTTGGTTGAACCATGTTTGACCTTTGTGGTGCACAGGCACCCGTTGCACGACAACGCTCATTTTGTGGAAAGAGCAACTTTGCATTGCCCTGTTTGCGAGAGGGTATCATTTCTTGGTTGACGCTTTTTTGGTTGCTCCGTTTGGCTTGACCCGTCTTTGTTCTGACCCGTCTTTGGTCCCGCCAAAAGGGAACAACTTCAGCTTTCCTTTGGTTCTCCTCTAAGCCTGAAAAGGCTACCCCTACAAGAACAAGCGCACACACGCGCACACACACACAGATGTGCCAAAATCAAGCAAGCTCAAGGGGCCATATACATGCTTCACTTTTGGTGCTTCCTTTGGGCCCTAACAATGCTCATTCTGCTTTTTTCTGGGGCGCCTGGCGGCTTTTTTGGTCTCGACTCGCCGTGAACGCGAAAAAAAATCCGGGCTGCAGGCCAAAGCCTTGGAGGTGGGGGACACCGGCTTGCTCAGCTCCTGCTCCTCGGCAATCGGTTGAAAAGAAGTTCCCATTCTGTGTAGGTTGTTTCCAGGGTACCGTTGCTTTTTTGGGGTGTCTCAATCCGGGTGTGTTTTTCTTGGAGGGTTCCCCCGGTTTTGGGGTTGGCTTAGAAAACTAAAGGAGCAAACATCAACAAGTTGTGTGGGTCCCAGTGATGTTAACACAATCTCGGGTTGGTTTCAAGAGAAACCTCAACTTTGGGCGTCCCCCCCCATTTTCTTTCCCTTAAAAGCCCACCAAAAGGGGGCTCCGCACAAAAAAAAAAAAGAGAAGAACAGAAACAACCAAAACTCGCTGGTTCCATAGGGAACTGCCGAACCTGGCCGTGTCTCCCTTAGGCTTGAGATCCGCCAGGCTTTTTAGGGTGTTCTCATTCAAAAAGCGATCGGCGCACGTTGGCATAGTTTTCTTCTTTGCAGTGGGTTCAGGGTTTAGGGTTGGGGTGGGCTTTTCGGTTGGCATAGGGGGTTTATTAGGGCTTGGGTGGGTTTAGGGCAAATAGCCGGACAGTAGCTTCAATAAGTCAGTGCCCAATCTTCCCAGCTCTAGGCGCAAAACAGAGGTGTGTAGACAAATGAACAAACAATCCCTTTGCTTGGTTGAAGTTGGAAGGGGAGCAAACACTTAACTTTTAGCAGTTAAGTGGGGATTTCCCACTGAATCACAGTAAACAAAAATGTAAAATGTTTCCCAACAACAACCATGTTTGGATTCCCTTTGGGTAACTTAAACTGGGCTATTTGGCACCCAGGACCCCGAGTCGCCCAAGGCTCCTCCCTCTCTTGCTCCGCCTCCATAGCCTGCGTGCGGGCAAAATCGGGTGCTCTTTGATATGATTCGCCACAAAATGATTGATTGACTCATCTGATGCACACAATTTATTGATTGCATGAGTCAAGCCCAAATGTCCCCACGAAACTCAAGGAAACCCTACCCACTAACATGGAACTGACGTTGCGGGGGGTTGTGTGCGGGAACATTTTCCGCTTATGGGTGTTTCCTAGAATAGGCCCCGCTTGTATACGAAGCCTTCTTATCTTGCTTACAAGCGTCGAGAACAGGGGGGTGGCCAAAATGGGAAAGATCGCTATTCGGTGTGAACTATAAATAATATGCACCAAACCGCCGGTGCGGACACAAAAAGGCCCCCCATTTTGTGATCCCATAGGTCTTTCAACATGGACGGATGGGCTCCATGCAATCCGCAAAGGGGATGCGCATGTTGAGACGTACCCAAAATGATGACTCTTTTGTTTGGAGTTGGTACCTTTTGAGAGGTTGTTTCAAGGGGACACAAAGATCCCTCTTTGGACGGGCACAAAGGCCTCTCTTTGGACGGTAGCGGAAAGGCCAAAAAAGATCAATTTCTGGGTTCCCCAACGACGAATATCTTGTGGCATGGTCCAAAGTCCACAGTCACTCATGCTCATGGTTCCCTTCGCAGCAATCGTGATGATTGAACACCCCCCCATTTTGAGGCTGACCAGCCTTACCAACCCCAGAGTATTTGATGTTTTGGACCCACATCCTAATTGCTCAGTGACCCCGGCAAAAATCAAAACACACACTTTTTGGGGTTCACCAGTATTAAGTGGAAAACCCCCCCCGAAAGGTGAACTGGGTGTCACTGAACCGCTGGTATATGGTATATATCTTTTGACCTTTTAGAAGTGGAGCCCTAGAATGGATCCTTTCCTGCTTTTGCTTTGAAGACCACCAGGGCTATTCTTCAACCACAACCCCCATATACTAACACGGCACAGGCCTGAATCTAAATTGGGGACCCTTTGGTGCACATTAGTTCAGTGGGATGTGCATCCACCCATATGGGAAAGGATCCCCATTATATTTCAGTCATATGGTGGTTGCTTTTTTTGAGAGAACCCTTGGGGGGTGTTCAATGGTTTTAAAGGGAAATCAAAAGAATCCCATTTTCGGGATTCGACTATTTTAGGGATTCCGAACTTTAAGACACTCAAAAACGCTAGACCCCCAGTGGCCAGCAAAAAAAGGATCCAAACCCCCTCTCTGTCAGTGGAGGGAGAGTACCGGTTTACTGTCCTCCTGATTCGTTTCCAAACCCTCCTGTCAGCTTCCATGATTGGCGGGAGAGCTGCTTAGGAGCAAAGGGAGCAATCCGACTCGCGGAAACGGCTCCGCGCCTCGAGATGCTTGGCGCTGCTCACCGCCACGTCGATGTCCGCGCACAGCAGCGCCAAGGATCTCAGACAGCTCGGCTGGCCCTCCATTTGTGTCTTCTCACGGGCTCGCAAACGGGTCTGTGTTTTTTTTGTTGAGGGTACTTCTTTTGTGGGGTCGGTTTAAAGGGAAACCAAAGGAAAACAAGCATTTTAAGGGCTCCCCTATGTTGAGAATCCCATTGGTTTGGAAACCGGTCCTCATATTTGGTTGATTGGTCTGGCAATCCAAAAGGCACTGAAAGGCTGATTGGCTCTTCAAGTTTGCAAAAACACCAAGCTGCCAGGATTTTAGAGGCAACATGTTTTTTTGAGAGAGCGAACTCACACTACGGCAAAAAAGATGGATGCAACCTAAGTCTATTGCAAGTGACAAGTAAACCAGTGAATCCCAACGCAAGTTTTACCTGTTGTACACGGAAGTTCATCAAGTGTGGGGGTGCCTATGAAAGGTCGCTGAAATATGGGAGGAGCCATACACCATTGGAAAGACATTGGAAACCACGGAACAAAAAGAAGAAAAAAACAAACAAACAAAAAACAGACAACTTTCACCAGAGCCTAAAATTGGGGTTCCAGTCTCTGATCAAGGACGCAAACACATCGATGTCCCTTAAGAAACCACCCCCTCAGCCGCTGGCGCAACCAGGCGCTCACAGGAATCGCCTCGGACCGGAATCACGCAAATCTGCCTTGTTTGGGCGTGGTTTCAAGGCAAACCAAAAGGAATCTAACCATCTTGGGAGTTCTTTTTTTTGGGGCTCGCCTTTAGAACGCGGCAACCGAAACGGAAACAAGGAAAACCAAACTGCACTGACTCACTAAACCAAGCCCTGCAAAGGCCAAAAAACACTCTGGGCATCAACATTGCTGTCATGGCCCGATCCCGAACCAATCGAGTTGTTCCGGGCTGAACCCCGGCTGGCCGAATCAGACAATCACCACCAAACGACACCAGGTGCGAGCCCTTGCTCCGAAAACTGGTTCATCGGATTCTGATCCTCGAAGGCTATTTAGCCCCAGGGACTCAGGGAGAAACAAAGAGGACCCCCATTGTGGGGCGGGCTGATGCCTGCAAATGAGTGTCACATTTTGTAAGTAGGTCATAAACATGCTTCTAAGGGCACCAGGTATCTCAATTGCAACTTGTAACTATGGTCAAAGCCTACCCAGTGCTTGCAGTTACAACCATAGTAGCCAGACCAAACCGAATCATGCAAGTAACCATGGCTAGTCGAACACCTGCCCAGTGCTTCCAGTTCCAACTTTTGTTGGGTAGGGGAAACCATGCAACGCCCTCAAATGCCAAGCGGTGGAGAAAAAAAAGAAGAAAAAACACATTTTCCCAAGCCAAGCAACCCACTGGGCAACTGGGCACCTGAGTCACAATCAAAACCCGGTACTAAAATGGTCGACCCCACAACCATGTAAAGAAGTAAGAAGGCGGCCGAAGCTATTTATGGTTGGGATTGTCCCTTACCAAGCTTCATCTACCCGGGTTTTGAGAACGTGGCTCACCTAGAGCTGCAACACTCCTTGCCTCTGTGCCTAACCATGCGGCCCAGCGGCCGCCCAAGGTCTCGAGCCGCTCGAGGCGCTGATGCAGGCGCCGGCTCTCCGCTGCCAGCGGGCCCTCCAGCGCCTCCGCTCGAGCGAGCGCAGGGCGAGCGACTCGAGCGCAGGGCGATGCGCGAAAGGCGCGGGGATGCTGGTCGAAGACGAAGCAAAACACGGGGGTACCAACAGAAATGATGATGATGAGGAGGAGGAGAATGAGGAGGAAGAGGGATGAGGATGAGGAGGATGAGGGATGAGGATGAGGAGGAGGCAAACAGAAACAGGGATCAAATGCTCTCTGCATGGTGGTTCAAAGACATAACGTGGCTTGTTGAGTCAGTGAATTCATCGAAGGGCCCGGGGTGGACAACATAGTCTTCTTAGGCCATATTCTCGCACAATTTGCCATGTGTTGATCTTACACAACAACGTGTCTGTCTGACTGCTGTGTTGACCGTTAAAACAGAAGAATGGATGTTGAGCATCCACTAGTGCAACGCAGCTTCTCAGATGATGAATGTGCGCGCTGATCATGCGAAACATCAAATACAACGCGTGAAGAGACAAAACGGACCCCCGGTCAATGAGGCGGGCGGCTGGATAAGCCAGGTACAAGCAGGGCATCCTCTGCCCGCTGTATTGTGGGTGTTGTCTGCTTTTGAGGTTCCCCAAGAGGGAAACCCATGGGACAGCCATTTTGGTGCCTCCAAACGGAACCACCCTGTAAAACTAAAAACGCCCGGGATCCGCTGGGACGCGGAGACAGCTGGCCAAATCCCAAGTCTGGCGTGTCCCGAAGCCGCTAAACAAAAACGGATTTCCTCATTTTGTGGACTCCATTGAGCAGGGTATAGGCCCCAAAACGAGAATCTTGATCTAAACCTTTTCCGAAAGGCGATGTTCGTAACATATGGTGAGTGGGGAACACTTCGAAACCAGACCATGTGAAAAATCCCACCCCGCCTGCCCTTTACTTGAGTCAACCAACCTCAGGAAAGTATGTTGTATTCATTCTTAGTTCCCTTATAACCATGGTTGTAACCTACTTAAATGAGAAACCAAGAGGACACCCCACCCCCACCCCTCAATCCCCAATGTCTCCCGAGGGCAAGCGCTGGCCTCGTTCTCCCCGAGCGCTTCCCGCACAGTCTGGAGGCGCTCCTAAGGCACCCCGGAAACACCAAAAGTCCGCGGCGCTTTGGTGTCCCGAATCAACCCCTGAAAAACAAGGCACCAGTGTTTCTGGATTGGTGGCTGGCGGTTGGTTGCCGGTTGTTGGTGGTTAGTGGTTAGTGTTTGGCGCAGGAACTGAGGAAGTAACTTGAATTGCCTTGCACCCGCGGGATATGATTTCCATGAGCATTCACAGCCCCCAATCGTGCTTTCAACTCACAAGCAGACGTGGCTACCGCAATTCTGCAAATGGAATCCAATGGATAGACACGTTGTCACGGGCGCGGAATGTGGTTCAAGCCTTGGGTCTCACGCAGCCCGGTTTGAAGCCACACGCGTGCAGACAGCAATTAGCAAGACTTGAAAAACTCCAAGGGCCCCCATAAACGGAACTCTCATCCCCAAAGGACATTTACTCCCAATGATAATTCAAATACCAGCAAACACCCTTCATAATGGTGAGAGAGTTTTACTCCCAGGCGAGCTTGCTATCAATCGGGCAGCGATTCCAACTACCACGAATTGCAAGGAAACGAAGCTTCTGGTGATGAAGAAAAGGAGCCTTCCCTTTAAGGGTGTCAGTACCTAGCCGGACAAACATCTTCTGGACCGGAAACGCATTCACGTCAAAATTGCTTTTTGTTGGCTGGGGACTGGACTGAGTACTTCCCTGAATTTCAATTGAAGTAAACATGGACCTGGATCAAGGCTATCTCACAGGACAGGTTGTCTTCCCCAAGGATCCTGCCAGCTCCCTCGTCCGCTTGCCAGCTCGCTTATCCCAGCTGTTAGAAACCAAACGAAACCAACATGGTTTGGTGCATAGGATCTTCTCAGGAGGAACGTTGTCTGCCAAACAGTGTTATGTTTTTTCATTTTGTGTTTTCTGTGGTACTATACCAGAGCAGATCGGTGCACTCGCCCATGTTTAAAATGTGTGTGTGTGTTTCTCTAACCCCCTCCCCTTATGGCAGGCAGAGTGGGGCCACCCTTAAAGGAACCCGCCAAAGCGCTTGAACATGGTCTTGGACCTTTTAGGTTCCATGGCAACGATGGGAGGGTATTGATTCAACAACTGCTGGCTGCCCTTTACAACTTCTTCCTCTGTGGCATTTGGGGCCCTGGGGCGCTGTTCACCTTCCCTGAAGCATCCAAAAGAAAATCCCAGGGTCTCCTTCTCATGCAAGTGAAATTCTCAAAACTACCTCCTGGACGATGGCTTGAAGGGAAACCTCCCCAACAGTAAATTGAAACAAACACTGGACAAACAAACGAGCGGGGATACGGAGGGAGCAGGGATATGGGAGGATTCCATTGGATATCAAACTTAGTCAAGGTTCATTTAGGTTCGCCCTGTATCCCTGGTAGTTGGTTTCCCTGATTGACTGACTCAGTTTCTTCTAAACCCCAACATCCAACCCAGACATCCCGCCTGCAGCCCGGCAACCGCCTCAGCCTGCGGCTTTGGGGGGTTGGGGTCGAAGGGCTGTCCAAATGTTGCGCCATTTAAACCAGGAGGCAGGCAGTAACAGTAGGTAACCAGGAGATGTTCCTCCAGGTGTTGCTCATGGTTCTTTTGGTTAGGGAATGGATGGCCATTGAAATGGAACAGAGTCCCGCTTGGAGCAACACGGTTTTGCAGGACCCAGTCAGGTTCGATGTTGGGGAGGGTAAGGGACGTCTCTTGAAGCCGTGAAACCCCAGCCCTGCTAGCTCTCTACATTGGACCTGTGACTGATCTGCTGGTTCCCCGAATGGCAAGTAGAGCCTCGAAGCATGGCACATGAGATCCTTTCCTGATCTCCAGGTTCCCAAAACTATTCGCCCCTCGGACATTCCCTCACTCCCACCAACATGTTAACAAAAAGCCCCTTGCATCCGTACCCTTAAACCATGAAACATCCTGGAACAGCCATCCGTTTCCAGGCAAACGTCGGGAAGACACACGCAGATCCGGAAGCGCCCAAAGCCATAGGAAGCTCATCCGGCGGTTTTCGAAGAAAACAGGAGCACAAGCGCTTTGGCTCTCCCCATATGCTATGCATGTTTTGCCGAGCAGTGGACATAACTGGATGATCTGGTATGCTGCTCCACTGAAGTCCTCCGCAAAATTTGTGCCGCAAACGCATGGCGTCCCCAGTGTGAGCTTGCCCAACCAAGTTTCCACCTTTTGAAAAACCAGAACTCCTCCCGGTTCTGGAGCCAGCTTTGCCAAGGCGCCCACAGTGGGCAACTTGAACATCTGGCTTCTCAAGGCATCCCCCGTCTGGGACTAGCTGACTCATCGTCACTCCCGGCGTTACCTTTTGGAAGTGCCCCGCCGAAAAAAGAAGAATGGGTCGGGTCTGTCTTTTGTTGAGGGTATTTTACAGGGGCACCAAGAGGAAAACCACCAATTTGGGGGGGGGGCCCTAGAAAAAGACACCCTATTGAGGCACTGGAATGCACTGGGAAAGTGAGGGATGCGATGAAGCTAATCAGCTCATCTCTTCTCTCGCGCCTGGTTCGACAACAACCAGCCAGCGCTCGGCCTGAAGAGCTCCAAAAGGAGACTCCTCTCCAAACAATGCGTTTGTTGGGTTGCATGTTGACCTGCAAAGTAGTCTACCTGGTTTACCTGCCACACTGATGCGCGCAAGCCCACGGCTTGATCAACTTGGATCCTTTGATCTTCATTGTGCACACCCTGGCGCGCGCGTTCCCTCTTGCATTTCCCTTTCAGTCTGTTTCTGCGTGTATGTTTCCAACTTGAACTATCTCGCAACCAGAACGATATCTTGGCAAAGGACGCCTGACTTATCATTCCTGGTTCCCTACTTCGATGTCGTCCTGAGTTTGTTTTCCTTTCTTTTTTTAAGAGAACTCTTCCCACACAACAAATGCATGGCTTCCAATTGTATTACCCTTGGATGTCCCTTTAGCATCACCCCAGAAAAAAAGAAGTCAAATGAATGAAAGAGCGCGGGCAAAATCGGGTTGAGCTGTTGCTTCATGCCGAAGGGTCCAGCAGGAAGGCTCAAGGCATTCACATCCCGGGTGCGATATGGCCGCCCGAGGGCTTCCGGGTTTTCCCCATGCCCAAACAACCACCCCAGCTTCGTTCTATTTGTCCATTGATGTAATGAGGTGGAGGCAGCGTGTCCCAAGCTATGGCCAAAGCAACATGGAGACAAAGGCATCCTGGGGAAGACTCCAACGCTGCCACTTCCCTGCTAGCGGGGTTCGATGCAACCGCGTGCCAATCCACAACCATCCCAAGACTATCCTCAGCCTGCAGATTAGAAAAACATGTTGCCAGGTGCGGATCAACAGGATACCAGGCCCAGCCAACGCGACTTGGGCCGGCACGCTGCCAGGTTGTAGTTGGGACCTGCAAGGACGTGAATCCATCCGAACACATGCACATGAATACCAAAGTGGCTTGCAAGGAAGTGACACCCTGAGCTCCTTCCCACGGCCCCCGGACTGGCGATTTCGGCATTTCAGCCTCCCTGGGACCTCCGTAGCTCAAATATGCCTGGTAGATGTGTACTATTGGTATGCCTCTGATGTTCCGCTTGCTTGATACATGTCAAGTGTCGCTGACGGTTTGGCAGGGGCAGGTTAGGCATAATATATATATATATATCTGTTTATTTATTCATTTATTTATTCAAAAATACATGTCGCGGGCAGCCCGGTGGTTGCCAGAAACACAATTTCTGGCACAAACAACGCCAAAGCGGTTACATGCGGTTACTCATCAACCCGAGCCCTCGAGCAATGGAGCACTTCCAAATCACCAGTCTTCCGCCCAGATCCCCAATGCCTAGGGCAACAAAAGAGTACCTTTCAGCTCCCCTCTAAATTGGGGGTTTGGATTGGTGGGAGGTTCAGTGGTTAGGTGGTTTCCCATTTGCTCAATTTCTCCAGACGTTACTTGATTTGTTGATTTTGGAAACCCCTCCCGAAAATGTGAAAAAGCGCCCCACTGAGCGCCTATGTACCATGACCTTCGCCATGCGCATCTACACAAAAACACACAAGAACCTTCCCATTTGTAGAGGGCCCTCAAGAACCTAACCTCTGAATTGGTTCATGAGTTTCAGGGTGAAACCCTTCGGCAACACACCAATAGATGGGCTTCCCTGGCTGGTAGATTGATTACAAAACCCATCTAAACCAGTGGAACCCATGGTTTCGCACCAAGCCAAAAAAGGACACCAAACCGAAGTTCTGGCGGAGAAAATGGGGAGGCGAGACCCTACAGCGGGCAAGGAAAGGGATCAACCCTCTAAAAGGGGAGCCTTCACTGCGGGAACACCCTTTAATGGGGGTGTCTTTTGAGGCGACCCGTTCTTTGGGGGTTTTGCCCATTTTGCGGGCACAGGAAGCACCCGTGGCCCAGGAAATAAGCCCCTTTTCGAGACTGCTCATGGGGAAACCGCCGTTTTTCCGCGGAACTACACAGGGCAACAGGTTGCCTTTGAACTGCAAATGCATTGGATCTGGGTCCATTCACTTAGGGCATTTGAAATCTCAGGATGCCATGCAGTAGTTAACCTGAATAATGCCCCCAAAGGAACATGTGTTCTTGCTTGCTGGAAAAGCACAAGCCAAAAGGTGAAAGATTCGGCCCAATAGCGTACAAGGGATGCATTAATGCCTCACTTCCTGAGTTGATGGTCCAAACAAGTCCAAACTTGTTGTTTACCACTAAAATGGTCCAAGCCCAAAAAGGTTTCAAGTTCAGGAGTCCAGGAACTCAGGAAGTGAGATCCTGAGTCGACATTTTGTTCAACCACCGTCCCCAACCAGAGCCCTCCCAGCCTTTGCCGGTCGCCTGCGTCGAGGCATGCGGATGCCAAAACTGCATCCCTGGTTCGTCATTGGTGTGTGTGTGTGTGTGTTTTTTTGAGGTACTCATGTTGTGGTGGCTTACAGGGAAACTAAAGGGTAAACCACATTTTTTGGGGTCCCCTATTTGTGACAACCCCCTTGGTTGCTTTCAAGTGCGAGCAGAAGTTGTGGCAGCTTCGTGTCAGGATCTGTTTATATATGTATATATATGTTAAGATACATCCACCCTTGTACATTCCCTTGCACCTTTACATGATCAAGGCCTTGAGCCTGTATACGTTAGAGACACTGCTTGCGCCAGAGTACAACAAGTGCCGTGCTGTCACACACAGGTCATCAGGTGTTTAACTTTAACATGGTAGCGGAGCAGTGATCCCTGGTACACGATCCTGCTACACAATCCAGGGTGAGCTCCAACACGCACTCACAGGTTGAGGTACATAGTAGTGAGTAACATGGCACAACAACAACCAGATCAGCAACCACAACAGCAGCAGCTGGAAGGAATCCACAAATACAAGATATCACCACCACGCTTCAATGGCGAATACAACACCTTCGACGAATGGAAGTACAGGATGATAGCATACCTGGGACTACAAGATCCAGACTACAACAGACTGCTTAGACAGTCAGAGCAATCAACAGGATCAGTTACAAATGACCAACTTGAGAATGCAGCACCTTCACAACAAGTTGCAGAGCAATGGATACAACTGAGCAACCACTTGCACTACATCCTAGTGAGCACTTGCGATGGACCAGCATCTACAATCTGCAGACAAAACATGCAAGGCAACGGATTCGAAACATGGCGGCTTATACATGCAAGGTACTCCATACCTCTTGGTACAAGGAGCATTGGATACCTTACAAAGCTGCTCAAACCACAACTCGATGAACAGAAGTTCGAAGAGAGCTTTACAACATGGGAGTTCCAACTCTCAAGGTACGAACAAGACAACAATACACTACTACCAGATGCAGTTAAAATCGCAGCGCTACTCAACGAAACAAAAGGACCACTACAGCAGCATTTACAGCTACAAGCAGGAAACATCACAACATACGCACATATCAGATCGATGGTGATCGAGTACTACAGAGCAACAGCGTCATTCACCAGACTACAGTCAATCACATCAGGCAGCAACAACAATCAAGGACCGGCACCAATGGACATAGGAGCAACATGGTACAACAAAGGAAAAGGAAAGAAGGGCAAGCACAAAGGCAAAGGAAAACACAACAAAGGCAAAGGCTACGGCGGCTACGGCAACAACTTCGGCTACAACAACTACAAAGGAGGAAAAGGTAAGTACAATCAACAACCGGTTGGACAAGGGAATCCTTTCAAAGGACAACAAGGATATTCCAAAGGAAAAGGATACAACAACAACAAAGGAAAAGGAAAAGGATACTACAGCAACCAACAAGGAGGACAAGGGTCAAAAGGAAAGCAAGCAACAAATGTTTGCTACAGATGTGGACAACCAGGACACATGGCCGAACAATGCAGAGTGGCGATCTACAACTGCGATACTGGCAACTTCGACACCAATGACCAGACAGATGACTGGTACAGTCAGTCACACTATGACAACAACTGGTACCACCAGGATCAGACACACATGCAACAACTAGCATTACCACAACCACCACAAATGGCGGATCCATTAGCAGTACCCATCTCAGGATTACAAGAAGTAACAGTTGCCATGATTGGCACAGCGCAACAACACTCAGAAGACAACAAGTGGGGCAGTCTTATGATTGACAGCGGTGCGGCTACACATGTATGCCCACCATGGTTTGCGCCACACTTTCCACTACACCAACTTGAAAATGGAACAGGACCGCAACTCAGAACAGTGACCAACCAGCACATCGAGCTTTATGGGTACAGATGGGTTTGCATGACAAACCACAGCGGACAACAAATTGTCATACCATTTTATGTTTGTGAGGTTAAACAGCGGATTCTTTCAGTTACAAGGCTGGTGGAACAAGGTTTCCAACGTACATTGGATGACAATCCAAAGCTACATCACATCAAAGGATTTAACAGCACACTGGAGAGCAGAAATGGCCTGTTCTTCCTACAAGCAGAAATCACAGCATTGCCAAAAGGAACAAAGCTACAGATACACAACACGGACCAAGGACAGATCGGCATGATAGCACCGACCACAACATTGACACCACAAGGTCCTGCAGACACAGGTTATGCAGGAGATTACTGGCAGTTCAACACACAAGGTGAAGTTGTAAGAGTACACAGGCAACACAGAAAGACACTCTTCACACCTTCGAGAACACAGTGTCCAGTCCCAGCAGAACAACTGGAGGACTACAGGAAAACAACCATCAGACTCAAGGATGGTACAACGAACAAGTTTGAAGACAAGTATCAAACAATGGAAGTGCCAAACAGAGCACAACCGCAAATGTGGAAAGGAGAAACAACATTCAGGATCAAAAAAGGCACAACATTGCCAGAGGCAATACAGCAACAGCTTGCAACAAAGACACAGCCAAAAAGTGCACCACAGAAGGTGACACCACAAGTGATTCAGTACAGACCGCGCACACGGCTGAGGGAGAAAACAACACCACCAACATTTCAGGACACATCTGCGCCACACACCACTAAAGGCGCAGCTGGACAAGGACTTCCACATCCTTCAGAAGTACATCATGGAGGAGACTACTGGTACAGAGAAGGCCCATACTGGAAGAGAGTACATGTTGAGCCTAGAACAGCGTTTTACATACCAGAGCAGACACACGACGGGCCAGACATCAAACGACTCATACCTTGGAGACAGACCAAGGTACAACCAGTTGGAGGAGAAAGACAACACACAAGGTTGATAGAAGATGCATGGACAACACAGCCAGCAAAGACATCGGACAAGCCTTGGACAGGCTGGACAAACTTTGAGGAACATCCGGAGTTCCCAACACAGCTCGGGTCAGATGATGAAGAACAACAACAAGGCACAAGAGCAAAAGCAGTACAGGCACCCAAGCAACCTACACCACAGGAGATTTTGGAGCGCAATGTCACACACCTCCCTTACAGGAGTTGGTGTCCGATATGCGTACAAGCAAGAGGCAGATCCAAAACAGCACAGCAAGCTTCCATTTGTACAGCTCGACTTCGGCTACATCAAAGGCTTCGATGACAACAAGGTACATCCAATCCTCACAGCAATTGACATCCAATCAGGGATGATCATGGCAATACAATTGACCGACAAGAGGATGCTCTTCGACTATGCAGTCACACAGCTACAGCACTTCCTCATTGAGTGTGGAAGAACAACACACACAATACTACAATCTGATCAGGAAGATTTCCTGACAGCACTCACTACTACAGTAGCAAGCAAGAATGGCAACATCACAACCCGGAACTCAGGAGCATACAGTTCACAATCACAAGGAGGAGTAGAACGAGCACACAGAACATTGCACAAATCAGAACACTCAAGGCACAGATCCAGCAAAACTACAACAGAGACTTCAACAGAGGGAACAGAGAACAGCATACACCATTGTGCGAGTTTGGTGAGACAGTGCAATACATGCTACGAACAGTAAAACAATTTCCAAAACTAGAGCCAAGGTTCTACAACGGGATTTGGCTTGGCAAGGATACAACTACAGGCGAATCCCTCATCGGGATCTACAACAAGATTGTCTGAGCAAGGACAATCAGAAGGCAGATAATGCCTCACAAGTACGACCAGCAACTATTGGACTGTGTACACACAGGTCCATGGAAGACACCACCAACCCACCAACCCACCAACCCACCAACCCACCAACCCACCAACCAACCCACCAACCCACCAACCCACCAACCCACCAACTCACCCACCCACCCACCCACCCACCCACCCACCCACCCACCCACCCACCAACCAACCAACCAACCAACCAACCAACCAACCAACCAACCAACCAACCAGCATCAGCGCTGCCTGCACCGACTCTCACACCACCAGTAACAATGCCATCAGCAAGCAAAACAATTACATCACAGAAGGATGCAGCAACAAGCACAGCAGCAGCAAACAAGAGACAAAGCACAGCACAGTCGAGCGAACAACAGCCAAAGCAGAAGAGGACAGCAGAGCCAACATCACCTATGGCTACACCACCGGCACATCAGAAACGACCACACATCACAGACAAGAGAAAGAGATGATACAATAGCAGAAGGCAGCACCGGCAAGCAATAACGCACCACAGCAGAGAGACAAACCCTTGAGCGACCTACAACAGCAGAACAACCAAAAAGCAAGATGCGAATCAATGTCCGCAAGTTCACAACAAAGGATGGTAGACAAATGGAGACAACCTCCAATGAAGACATACAAGAAATCAAAAATGAAAGGCACAGAAGACCTGGATCCACAACTGGTAGCACAAGGCATGAAGAAGGAAGTACAACAAATGAAAGAACAATCAGTCTTCACAGAGATTGATGGCAACACAATGACACCAGAACAACAAGCGAACATCATTGAATCAAGATGGGTTCTAAAACCAAAACACAATGAAGTACGAGCACGCATAGTAGCAAAAGGCTACACAGAACCCGTTACAGACCATGACCTACTCTTCGCGAGTACACCATTGTTTTGCATTTTGAGAGTGCTTCTCGCAATGGCACTGGTGTACAACTGGTCGGTCTGTACAGGAGATGTGAGTGTTGCATTTCTACATGCAGCAGCCATCACACACAATCTGGTAATGAGACTACCACACGAGTTCTACAATGAAGAGAACAGACACATAATGTGGCGGCTAAACAAAGCAATCTATGGTCTAAGATCATCACCAAAACAATGGCAAGACCACATAGCACACGTTCTCACAGTCACACTCGGATTGGTGAGATGCACAACAGAAAGCAATGTCTACAGGTCAAAGGATTGCCTGGTCTACATTAAGATCTATGTAGACGACCTCCTATTCATAGGAGTACAAAGCATCATCAACACACTGTTCAGCAGAATGCAAAAGGAAGTTCTGCTTAGACACACCGGCAACCTAACAGTTGGATCAACAATCCACTTTCTTGGCAGGAACATCTCACACAGAGGTGATCACATCGACATCAGTTTGAATAACAACTATGTTGACATCATCCTGGAAGAGTCAGGGATGACTACATGCAACCCAGCACCATCACCAGGGGTGTCACACATGAAAGGTACAGCAGAAGACGAAGCACCACTTCACCACGAACAGCACAAACGACACAGGCGGCTTGTTGGCAAGATACAATGGCTAGCATACACACGACCAGACATCAGCTATGGAGCAAAAGAGCTAGCAAGGTCATTACAAGCACCAACACAGTTTGACAACAATAAGCTCAAGCACATGATCAGGTACCTCAAGGGCACAAGGTACATGCGACACAACTTGCGACCAAAGGTACAAACACAGGACAAGCGAATACCACTCAACATTGACACATACACAGATGCCAATTGGGCATCATTTGAAACAACGAGAAAGAGCACAACAGGATTTGTACTGTACTTCTTTGGAGCAGCAGTACATTGTGGCAGCAGAACACAAGCCACAATAGCACTTTCATCAGCAGAATCAGAACTGTACGCAATCGGTACAGCACCACAGGAAAGCCTCTACATCAGCAACTTCATAAAGGAAGCATTTGAAGTACGCATCAACATCAGGATACACACAGACAGCAGTGCAGCAAAACCAATAGCAATGAGAGACGGTACATCAAAGAAAGCATAACACATCGAGCTACAACACCTCTTCATACAACAACTTGTCAAAAGCAAAATCATTTCAATGCACAATGTAGGGTCTGAAGACAACCCAGCAGACCTGCTGACAAAGTTTGTCAGCTGCGACACTCTCAACAAGCACCTGTACAACGTTGGCCTGTAAGGTCACACAACACCAGTTTCACACAGTTGCACAGCATGTTAAACAACAGTTGCACAGTTGACACACGTGTATGTTTCACAACTAAACAGCCGGCACACATGTTTTAGCTTTAGGTTAGGTACAGCCATGGACCTGCCCTGGAGACAGTACAACCTTTCTGGTTTAGATACACAACTTTGGGTTCATCTTTGTCTTTACGACTTTGAACACCTCTTTTACATCCTCAGGTACATTTGTTACTGCATGAGGTTCCATACATGTTTCAGACAGTGTCTTTGATGTCTGTCGCAGCCATTTTACATTTGGTGAGAACCTTCCCTGTACATTGAAGGTGCAACATGGCCATGACAGGACTCACAAGGATTGCCGAGAACAGCCCGGCCACAGAGATCACAGTGGCAAGGACATGGGACGCGGTGAGTATCACATCCTTGGGCTACATCGAGGAGAACATCACCGGCAAACAGCCCCTGCGCACATTGGATGGAATCCACATGGACACCATCCAACACAAATCCAACATGATGTACATCGCCATGACATTTGAGGAGTTTACAGCATGGACCACAAATGGAGAGCTGAGACACATTCACGGCTGGGCCAGAAGCCCCAGAGGTTGACTACATTGTGTTGAACAGCTCCCCGTTTGAGGCGGTTACAACACTGTTGAACTACATCTCTGTAGGGACATGCCGCACACAGCACTTGGACACATTCATCGTGGCTACAGTGCAGTTGCATGCAAGGCACATCGCTGAATGGGCATCCCGTGGTTACATCAACTTTTTCAATCGTGGCTACAGCGCAGTCCACATGCAGATGGGTTCAGACACAGGATGAGCTGTTGAAAACATCAGGTCTTCAAGTACACGGGCAACAATGGATTGCGCGGGATCTACATGAAGTACAACTGGAGCACAGGGTACATTTGGTCTTACAACGCTTGTGTGAATCTTGAACAACTTGCCACAGATGAGGACACAAGTCGCCGGCACGCTACAGCAGCACAGGCATTGTCCTTGATGGGCGTGGCCAGCATCAAACATTTGCCACCTGCACATCAGGTGACACTTGTGAAGCACATTTCGATGCAGGATGCGCACAGCCTCAACACTCGCGGCACAATTGATGGACAAGCGGTACCAGGCCATCCGGATCACATTGCCTACATCCTCGACAGCAGCACCTGTTCTACATGAACTATGCTGCAACCAAGGCAAAGATCTACAACGAGTACCTCACAGGGGTGAAGCAGGGATCCACACTGCTCACACAGTGATTGCCATTTTTGGCACACCGGATTTTGTGGATACATGTTGTTGCAGACACACCTGGCAGACATCAGGCTACACATGCAGTTTGTACAGACGTTCGATACACTAGAGGCATCGATGTACAAAGCGAAACAGCCAGTAGAGCTGATAACAACTTTTACATCACCTCGAACAGCTAGAACACAACTGTTTGGCTTGCTGTAGAGATACATCAATCCAAGGTGGGGTGTTAAGATACATCCACCCTTGTACATTCCCTTGCACCTTTACATGATCAAGGCCTTGAGCCTGTATACATTAGAGACACTGCTTGCGCCAGAGTACAACAAGTGCCGTGCTGTCACACACAGGTCATCAGGTGTTTACACTGTCAATCCAACTTTAACAATATATATACATGCATATATATATATATACTTTGGAACGTGAAAATGAGGAATCGCCAAGTAAGTAAGGAACCTTCTTCATGGCTGACCTTGATATGATCCCCAGCTAAGCTCATCATGACTTGTGCAGATCTCCCAAATATCCGTTATGCACATGCATGTCACATGCATGTTTATGTCAATCACAATTACACCAAACCACCATCAAGATTGTCCATGAAAGAAACCTGCCTCGTGAGGCCTTGAGACCCCCGTTTTGCGGTTCCTTATGCCAATTCTGGCAACATCCATTTGCCAGTCTAGCATGCTCTAACAACAATCAGCGGCGCTCAGCCAACGTCTACACGTGTCGTATCAGCTTCCCCTGACACCGCATACTCACAGGAGTGAAGTTCGGAAAGCGCGCATTCACAATCTGTGTCTCCTCCTTTTGCTTGAGGCCCCTGCAAGAAAATATCTATATTTCCAGTCAAGATAGATTTCTAATCAACAAGGAAGAATTCACACAGAAATGGAAGGTACAGGATCTGCTTCTCGGCGGAGGCAGACCAAGGTAGGCGGTCGGCAAAGCCGGCCGACCGTGCTGGATCGCCGCTTTGCTTGCATGTAGGCGCCGCCTATTCTCAGTGAAAACGGGTAAGAAAAGGCTGTTGGCGGGAGATGAATGGCGGGAGTTTCTTGGAGCGACATCTCTCGCTCTGTCTATCTTTCTCTCCTTATTTTCTCTTTTTTGTTTCTCTTGCTCTCTCTCCCCTTTGCGCGTCATTGACAAGCAAAGAGAGAAAAGAGATAGGATGCCATCCGTTCAGTCACCAGAGATAAGTGTGAGTGGGATAATCCTAGCTCCCACCGAGCCCATCCATCTCCTCTCCTCCCTCATTTCCCGGCCAAATCTATCTTATAATGACAGGCTGGGATGAATGGCTGTCTCTTCCCCGCTCCCATATATGCATTCACCAAAATCAGGAATCCAGAATCCGAACCGTGGGTAAAATTGGGGCAAATAAGCTGGACCAACAAGACCTGCGAGTCTGCAACGCTTGTGGTCCCGGGTTCCCAGACCTGGCTTTATTTATATGTATAGGCGTCATATATGTCTGAACAAAGCAAACACACCCTAACAAAAGGATGGGTCGAGTCACCTCCCGAGCAGCATGCAATTTCTGCAAACATCAAAGGGATCTTCTGAAACACGGACGAGACCTGAAAAACAACCGAGGCTCGGTCAAAAATTATGGCGTTCCAAAAGTCTGGGTCCAAAGTCGGTTAGGATGGCAGTTAAAGGAAACCACTCGCTTTTGTAGGAGCACCGTGTGTTTGGAAGTAGAGTGCTCCACGCAAACCAGCCGCCAAAACCCAAGCCCTCAACTGGAAAAGAGCGCGTGCACCCGCTTCCACGTGGAGAAGGGGTCGTCCCCGTCCATGTTTTTTTGGTGGGGGATGTATCATTGTTTTTGTTTTTACTTGTTCCCAAGAGGCCATGGGAGAATCCATTGAGTTGGCCGTGTCCCTGCGAAATGTACCACCCTGTGAAAAAATGGGCCAAAACGGGGCTCCCCCTGCCACACATTAGTTCTCTTGTAAACACCTTTTGGGAAAATGGTCCCTGAGTGGCCCTTTCCTCCATTGGGACCTTTCCCTGCCCCGCAGAATCGGGCGACACAAAAAGATAAGATATTGGTTCGTCTTGTAGTGGAACCCCCAAGAAAGTGGCTGTTCCTTTGTTTCCTCTTTAAAACCGCCCCTAAAAAGGGAACCCGCGAAACAAGACAAACCCATGCCATCTCCAGGAAAGTTTGAAGGACATTGGCCCAACCTTCTGGTTTTTGTAGGCGCTTGAGTGCCTCTTGGTTTCTTGGAGCCAATTGCAGATACCTCACTTGGAGGGTGGGGGTCCTTCCCCCCCCCCAAAACAAGGCAGGCCCCACCTCCTCGCGGTTCAGGCGCAGCAGCTGCGACGCCGCAGCAAGGTCCTGAGCTCCCCACAAGAAGCGAACCAAACTTCGCCTGGGCGCCTCAGGCAAAGTCTTCCGCTGCAGGGATCCGGATGCACTATACACCTGAACATTGCAACTTGTAAATGGTGGTTTGTTTTTACTTTGGTGAAAAAGCAACAGGTTTCAAATGGTTGCAAAAAGGAGATCTTTTAAGGAGCCCTGCACTGGGAAAGAACGAAAATGAGCGCGTCGGGGCTAGGGGTTTCAAGTCCTGGAAGTCCTTGCATCGCAAGGCAAACTAGGTCATCCAGTAGGCTAGAATAAGGATACCGTTTCTTTTTCTGAAGTCTATTTTAGTAGGGGAACCCTCCCCCGAAAAAGAGGTGAAAGGGCACTACTGGGGGGCCTAGCCAAGGAGCTTTTGAGAAAGGAAGCATCAAACGCGATGCGTAGCGTAGCGACGTCGCCCTCTCCTGGCGAGTCTGATCGGACTCTGGCGGCAGCCACACCCGCTGCCTAGGCAGGGGGTGGCCACAAACAGCCGCGAACGAGCCCCGTAAATCAGACGCAAACGACCAGACACCATCAGTAGATTCCATCCATCATCTAAGGGGTGTGTTCAGTCACCTTCTGTTGCATGCACGTCAACGCCAAACAGGACATAAAATGTGAAAGCGGCATGCTGCGGTATTGCTTGCTTTAGTGATATATGACAATAGGCGACTGTTTGCGACGGTGATATGGGTCTTGCGGCCGCCATATACTCAACGTGATTTGCAGAAAAATGGCAGCCTTGAAGCTGCCTTCTAGCATTGGACGCTATGCCATCATGATGGGAATAGGGTTTAGGGCTTAGGGTTTGTGTAGATTTGGTGGGCAATTGCTTGCTTCATATTAGTTCCCCGTGAAACGAATACACGAAGGGCCTTGATGACTAGTTTGACGTATACCAGCTGACAAGGGTGAACACCCCCCAATGAGATCCATGAGCTGCCCTTAGCTTTGAGGGGGAACCGGTATTCTTGCTGGTGCTCCGTAGGGAATGTGGGAAGGAATGAACCCAGGGATTTTTTTTGAAGGAAGCCAGGTATGTTTTTTTTTTCCTTTTTTTTTTCGGGTCATTCCTTCCCTAGGAGCCAGCACATTTTGGAGACTTCTAACTTTTGGAACACCTAAGTTTCACCACAACTCATCTCAGGTCCGAAGGGTCAACTGCTGATTTTTTTTCCAGCGCGAGAGGACACCCACGCTCCGGAAAGGAGCGCGACTGGCATGGGAGCTCAGTTCAACAGACAAAACAGCTGCCATTCTGCGAGAGGTTCTCCCTTCTTGGTTTGCAAAGGGAAGGAGAAACCCCCCCCTTTCCCCCCTCCCACTTTGCAAAGTAGACACCTGGAATGACATCTACCACTTCTCAGTTGCCCAAAGGACCTGGAACTAAAAGGTTAACCTTTTGGGGCCATGACTAAATATATGACCAAAAATGGGAAAGCCAAAAGGTCAGATCCGGTCGATTCGCTTTGAACCACTGAGACTTAGATCCAATAGAACAAGTCGATCCAAAGATCCAAAGGGCTAGCCAGGAAGCAGCTCGCCAAGGCTCGGTCCTTCCCCTGGCCCCCTTCGGGTTCCCGGGCTCTGCTTGCAGCTCCTGCACGTGGGATGGGAGAAACACCAAGCCATCCCATGGAGAACAACCCCAGAACGAGCCAAGTCATCCCATTTTGGGAGGGGGGAAAGAAAAAAACGGCTGAACGCATCCCATAGAGAATACCCGTCTACCAAATAGTCACGCTAGAGGGACTCCCTCTTTTTGGGGAAACCCTTGCGACCGCTTCTTTTGCTCTTGCCGGAGGATTCACAAAGATGCGGTGCGAGGAGCAGAAAAAAGGGGGTCCGTTGGGAGTCTAGGGGATAGGGAATCCTGCTTCGGATGGGTTCAAAGGGACACCAAGAGAAAACAAACCACCTGGAAGTACACCAGTCCCTTGTTGTAGCCTGAAAATGGCGAGCCGGTGTTTCCTGGCAAGACGCTAGGTTGTCTGTCTGTATAGATGAATCCAGACAGTACTACTCCCCTTTTGGACCGAGAATTGATTTATTGATCCAGGCATTTAGCGGAATGCCACAGATCAAACATGCAGCTACTATGACACTCAGAAACCGGCTGGTAGAACCACCTGCCCGCGGCTTGTTCAAAGACAGCCGCATTTACCTCAAAGGGACACACTCCAATCAAAGTCAACCCGGGGAGTTCTAGTTGACTGGGTTCCCTGTGCCAAGACCGCCCAAGTAAAGCCTGTCTGGGCGGACCATTGCTGTACCTACCGAACCGCAAAGGATTTCCAGACTGCAATTACCCCCCCCCTGTTGATCAACCAGGGGTTTCATACTCAACTAGGTTCCTCTTGCCAAACAAAAAAACACTTGGAGAATGGAAGGAACAGGCACGGACTCCCTGTCGGAACAGGAACGCCAGCTTGTTGGTGGCAATCATTCCGTGCCAAGAAGAGGACTGGGAAAAGCGTCGATTCGACTCCCCTCCAAGGCGCCTTGGATTCTTTCAGCTTCTCTCCAGCCAGGCGCGCCTCACCAAAATCGGCGTCACTTGCGACTTTTGGCACACGGTCGCGAAAGGAAGGAATGCGATAGGACCTGAGTCGGAATCAAGCAGGGTGTTTCTGGCTTTCCGCTTCGAACACATCACTTACAGTGACATTGTGGGTTTCTTGTCCACCAACCATTTTGAAGGTTGTGCCAATCATGAACAAACATACCCCGAGGAATCTTGACACATCATCCCCAGAGAACATTCTCTCAAACATGGCCAAAAAGTGATGGTCATATCTGAGACGGACACACAAGTCATAATCAACACCTCGGACTAGAGTGGTCTACCCAAAACAAACGGTAAAGAATCTAAGGGGATGCCTGCCGCACCTATTTCTGGTTGGGACCGTCCCTTACTTGCTTCCAATCCCAGTACAATTGAATAGAAAACAACAAACAACAAATGCCAAAAATAGTGAAGTAGGGAATCTAAACAAACCTGCCATTGAAAGCGGAAAACAACGAGAACATACAGCGATCGCTTTGTGCCCCAAAGCACAATCTATGTTACCTGACTGCCCCTTTAGAACGAAGGCTGTCACCTGTTCTAGACGTAACCTAGGCTCGAACTGATTTGGGACACCAACACACATTTAAATACAAACATACTATGTATGTATATATATATAGAGAGAGAGACTCACACGTATGCTCTCTCACACAAGCATGCACTCACACACATACACGCCCGCGCCTCCTTGCATAGCTGCAGCGCACCTGCGGAAACCCAAGTCCAGGCTCAAATGACTGGTGCTGTGACCTCATCTCCCCATTCCGGTGATAGATGGAAGCAATGTTCTTATGATCAAAGGACAGAACTCCTAGTTGCGATTGGTTCGAACATCTCTGAGAGCTTTTGGATACATGCTCTGTTTTGGGGTTCCGTGTTAAATTTCACTGATTCGGGGACACATGTAACAACTAGGGCGTCGAGGGAGAGGGTTCCCGCGAGGGAGACAACTACGTGAACCTCGGATTCGTGTCCCAGTTATACTACACATGACTCCAGTTTTGAACCAGCACGAGTACCGTTTTGCCCTCCAACCCAAACTAATATGTTTGATCCCGCTCTATCTGTCCAACCTAGAATGTGAAAGGAGTTCAAAAGAGGTCCCACAATCTTGGCAGTGAACGGAAAGCTGCCAATGGCACGACTGCCAAGCCCGTGAAATCCCATCCACGAGCCGCAAGGCTTGATCCTGCCTGCGCTCGCTTCGGGCGCATCTTCGGCCTTGTGAAGGGCGAGCAGATTGCAGGAGGCATCGCAAGGCATCCTCACCTGGGAATAAAGGGTTAACCTTTTGGGACCTCTACTAGAAATGGACCAAGGGAAAACCAAAAGGTCAGATCAGGTCGATTCGCTTTGAACAACTGAGTTACAATTGTCCAAAATCCGCAGCCATTAGCTCCATGACCAGCCCTACCAAACAAAGGGGTGACAAGTCACCCCGTGTCTGAGAACCAACCACAGGCGTCCCTTCTCCTCCCAAACCCACAGTTGACTACCACCTGGTCCAGGGAAACCTCCGGTGGTACAATGAGAACCCCCCGCTCATTGCTCGTCCAAGACCAGGCCATTTTGCCAGTGGCTCACACAGCCAATGGTGCGGGCCCTTAGCCATGTTTTGGTCTCGTGTCCAAAGATATACAAATGAACCACCCCGGTATTCCAAACATATGTAACACCGGGGGTGGACAAAATCCTGCGCCAGCTGGGATAGATGAAGCACCATCTTCCAATGAGATGTCTTGGGAGAATCTTCGTCACTCAGGTGACCAGAAATCTCTATCAAATGAGCTCACTGCGGATACATTGTCAAGCGCCTGAGCCTGAGTCCATTTTGCTGCTTGAATTTTGGGGTATACACCTGAACATTGCAACTTGTAAATGGTGGTGTCCCTTTATTTTTGGGGAAAAAGCGATGTTTCAAATGGTCAAAATGTATCTTTTAAGGAGCCCTGCTTCAATTCTCAGGCCCATTGGATCATTTCGCTCTGGAAAAACCTGTCTGGGAGTCCCATGGATCGGATGCCGATGGTCCGTCATTCAGCCTTTGGTCGTCCAGGGCTCCATGACCGTCGCCAAGCCCGGCGTTTTGTTTACGAGATTTCACCAGGGTCCAAGAAACTGAGCTCATCTCAAACGGGATGGCTCCCAAGTTTTTGGAGAACCGACCCTAAACCAGCCAGACAAAATGCTCATCTCAAGCTTTGTTTTGCAACCAACCCTAGTCCCCCTGCTAAACCCAGCCCAATCCCGTTTATGGCGGGGTTTTGACGCCCGGACCCACTGGCAGAGGGTGGCCACCTCCCTCTGCAACCGCCGCAGCCTCGCGAGCATCGCAGGCGAGGTTTACGCTCGCCAGGTCCTACAATAGGAATAATGAAAAAGAAGACACATCTATATACATTATCATTATTATCACCATTCCGAGTTTTACTAGTAGTATGATGTCAAACAAATTATAATCATGTTCATTATCATGTTCGTTGTCACTGCCATTATCGTTATTATGATTGTAGTCATCATTAGTATGATCATCATTGCTATTGTTATTGTATGAGTCTTCAATGCAAACTGTCCACAACTCGTATCATGTGACCATGAGCCTTATGTCTGGCTCGATCATGAAGTCCAACAAGTTGGACGTAACGGCTGCTGCGTGTCTTTTTTGTGAGGTAACCCTTTTGAGCTAAGCTCAATTTAACGGGTTTCATCACAGGGGAAACAAAGGAAAACCATCCGCCGAGATGCGGATCCCGAAAAAGCTGAGCTCAAAACGCGAAAGGGTCCCAATGCCCCGGCTAGCCCTCAGCATTTCTCCCAGCTAGAAGTAGTACTTCAGCTGAGCCATGTGGCATGTGGTGGAATTGAGCGAAAACGGAATGGAAAGGCTGGACATGATGGGCCTCAAGGTACTCCCAATTTCTGTGTGGGAGGCAACGTCTGAGCAACCAACTCCAATTGAGCTTTGCAAAAAGTCCGCTTGGCATGAAAGCTACCCCAAAAACACCAGAAGCAACCGAAAAACTTCGAAAAGGTTCGGGACAGCCAGCCCCAATATCCCCCAACAAGTTGCTGCGTCCGTTTGAGGCTCGATACCCTACTTTAGGCTGGTTTACAAAAAAACCAAAGGGAAAACAAAAACAAACAAAACCTAAGGGAAAAGCCCACATTTTGGGTTTGGGGGGTCCAAGTATTTCGAGTTTGACACATCTGGCCATGGGTCGAAAGCCCGGTTATCCCCCTGTGAACATCAACCAATCCAACCACTAAAATATGTACCAAAACAGTTTTGACCCACGGCCATCTAAGTCGTTTAGGAAGGTGGGTAGCAGACCTGCAGAGACTGGAATCGGCCTCATGGGCGCCGGCTCTGGGCGACCTCGGGGTTCTTAGAAGCGACAGAAAATCCGTGCGGATGGGAATGTTGACCCCATGGGGTTTATTAAAACCAGGTAATAAACCAGGCAATAAATCAGGAAATATAAAAACCATGGGCTTTATTACCTGGTTTGTTACTATGGGGGTGCTTCTCCCAGGTTTTAGTGGGGATTCAGATCACTTTTGGAGGGGAACACCTCCAAACTTGAATAAACTGGGGGTTGATTCATATGGGTCAACAGTCGCCCGCAAACCTGGTGCCTGTTGCACGCTTAACCAAATCATCAGCTTCCCCCCCGAGTAGCAGCTATTGGTTTGGTGCTTGGCTACGGGGTCCCCAGTTGGCCTCCACAAATCACCACTCCAAAGCTATTTTCAGGGGTGCCTAAAATCAGTCTGCCGGACGGACTTCAAAACCAACTAAAAATCGCCAGCCCAAAGGCCGCGTTACCCCTTTAAGACTCTGGTGCCCTCGGACAGGATTAAAGCCACTACATGCGAGGAACTTCAGTGGCGCGGGCGTGGGCTGTCTTTGGGCCGCCTCAGGGGCTTGAATACGTGTATAAATATATTTATATATATATATATGTATAAATATATATATATATATATGTAGTATGTGTCTGTGTGCGTGCGTTGTTAGAGGTGCCCGTTCCAGGCTGGTGTAGAGGGAAATCAAAAGGAAGCTTTTTTCCATCCTTGGGATCCCTCTATTTCGACACATACCCCGTTTCCGCGGCTAAAACTCAATGTGGAGGCAAAAGACAAAGGTGCCAGCAAAATCGTCAGCGGCTGTCCTTAAATCATTTGCCAGCCTTCAATGCCATGCCAGCCATCCGCGTCGAACTGGTGTCCGCTCACGAGTCATGCTCTGTTCTCAAACATAAACAAGGCCTAGCTTTTGGGCATGTGGCGCATGTCAAAATATGCCGTGAATACCATTCGAACGCAGCACACAGGTTATATAGATGCCCACCGATGCCATGTTGGGCAGTCACTAAGGTCGATAATTGATTGTGGCAATTGGCGCCTAACCACAAACACAAGGAGGCTAGTGATGTCAACGGACAAGTGCAAATTCATGCCTCTACCAGCGGTGCTGGATGGCTTGTGATTGGCTCGATGGCAAATTCATCTCTTCTGAGCTCACTCAAATCAACAAAAGTGGATAGACCAAATACAGTAGATTCACGGGCTCGCACATTCTCGCACAAATGGCCAGCTACACATGCCGCACACATTCAAAGAACCAATGTCAATGCTAAGTTTTGACTGGCGTGGCTGCCTTGGGGCCGGACTCACCAGGCAATCAGTTGGGTGCCAAGTCTTGCGTCCCAAGCCCAAAACAGTGTGTCAAACCTATCGGCATTTCGGCCCTGCATCCATTACAAAGGATCTTGTAGGCAACCACGCCTCGAATCTTCCCTTCGCTAAAACACATAAACATGACGTTTACCCCTTGTTGCCATGTCCAGTTCAAGTTTAAGCTATCAAAAGAACCCTAGAAATGCAACTGGAAGCCAATTCATCCACCAGTCAGCATCCGGAGAAAGCCAAGAACCCCAGGTGTTGTGGACATATCTACAGTCAAGTGATCTGAAAGCTGAAACCGGTGGAACCCATCGATTCTCAAAGACCCAAGGATCCCGCCTTCCAAGGTCACTTGCTGGCAATCCTGGCAAGCGAGCCCTGAGAAAGGCCTCCCTAAAGCCGGGTGAAAAGCCGTGAACCTCCCTTTGATACCTGGAGTCTCCATGACCCTTTCAAAAATGGGGTCATGAACCCTTGATGTTGGGTAACCCTATTTTTTCAGGGTCACGGAAACTCCAGGTACCTCAATTGTGACACCATGGTGGTGTACCTATTTTCTAAGTCCTGAAACGCCCGTGCTTACGGAGAAAAAAGGGGGAAACAAAAAAACTCGCACTGCTTTGCGAAGATGCATGAAAGTAATTACTCCTCGCTCAACAAGCCACCAAGCATTGACTACAAGTGGTTCTGCTTGAGTCCGCGCTCAAACCGCATCCGCGAACCCTCTTTTCGCGTGTGCCTTGCTTTTGTGGTTGTCTGTGTGGCATCATCTTTGCGCACACCCAAACAAGCTTGTATATAGTCCAAGAGCAAAAGGAAAGCCACCATTTCGGGAGTCCCCTTGAAATATCCGCAAATACTTGAACGCAAACTTCTGCACAACAACCCTTCCCGGGAATCTCTCCCGCGCACATTCGCAGCAAAAAAAAACAAACATGTCCGGTTTCGAGAAATCTCCATTTGGAGCCTCCAGTAAAACCCAGACCCGGCATCGTTCTTTAGAGCTCTCAGGTCTGGGCAGTTGAAGGGGCCCTCCCTCCCCACCAGCGAGGCCTCCTTGGCTGCGAAGCTACGGCGCGCTGCCGCCACGTCCAGGGGCTGGAGCCAGGTGCGGGGGGGGGGTCTTGGTAGGGAGTTTTGGAAAAAGTGGAGTTCAGTGGAGTTCAGTGAGTCCAGTAGGTGGATTCCGGTGGTGAGTAGGTGGATTCCAGTGGTAAATGAAAAGCAACCAACAATTTACCTGTGGAACACATCTATTGAAGTGGACATCCCTTCGTGACCAGCGCCAAAATGCTTCTGTCAAACGAGAACTCTCTGCTGCAAGAGATGATCTCTGCGCCCCAAACGCTGTCAAGCTGAGCTTGTTTTGGGCATGCCACTCGTCGCCAGTTTCCTCCGGACTTGGGGTAGCGGACGTTCTCCTTGAAGTCAACGCAGTTTTTCCAGCTGCAGAGTTCTGCCTGGGTTCGGCTGCAAAAGACTTTGCCATCAGCTGTACGCTTCCCTGGGCTGATGTTTGCAGTTTACATTTGCCATACAGTCAGCGGCACAGGCAGGTGCAACAAAAGCACCAAACAAAAGGGCCTTGATATGCGGCGGAATACATAGTTGGCCATGAGTCGATGTGATATGCAATCTCTACCGCTGAAGCACGAACTTAGTGACTTTCTACAAGCATCAGCGGGAACCTGAACCCTCTACAAACCATCATAACATACATGCCCAAACGCAACTAAAGATCACAAAGAATTCCAATCTCGGAAGCCTTCTTGGTGCACCCGCACACCTCTACGAAAGCCTTTGCGTTTCCACCCTCCCAGCAGAGCTTACCCAAAAGGCTGAGCGACAGAAGGATTTGCTTGACCCCACTCACGAACGCCTGAGTAACTCGGGGGTAGCTGGATATTTTTCGGCGGGTCAATCTCGACACCGGCATGTTTATTGGAGGTGTAGTGATCCGGTTACATTCCAAGATGCGGTTGCCCCCCTGTTCAAGGAGGGGTGTGTGAATCCGGGGTTCCCATAACCACTTGGCCAACTACCAGACAGTCCGAGATACAATTACAACTTGTTGTTGAAATCGTCTACCCAAAAGCACCTAAAGAATCTATAGTTATATAGGGTAGCCGTGCCAACTGGCTGCCACCTGTGTCTATCCGGATTCTGACTGTTTTCATCTAAGCCAATTCTCTCCTCTGCACGGTCGCCAATTTCGGAAACAGCCATACTCACGCAGAATTACAATTCCCGAAACGTTTGGATTGTACCCCCCCGAAGATCCGCATGAACCATGGCAACTCACCTACCTGAAACACTTGCTTAGGGTTTAGAAAGGAACTTTCCAAGAGCATCCACGTGGTCATCTACCAATATTGAAAGGTCACGTGGTGTCCTTGAATGCTGGCATCCTGGCCGAGAACTGAGTGATTCACACACATGTCCGCAGCGCAGAACTGACGATATTGGTGGTCAAAGCCAGCTTGGTGGGTGTATTATATATATATATATATTATGTATATATTAGCGTTTTCTTTCTCAGGAGCACTACGTTGAGCCCTCAAATGGTGATAAAGAAACATCACACATGACATACTTCCACAGCCTCACTTTAATGCCATTGACTTCTGGCACATTACTATAATACCTGTGCTACATCCATCGACTTGTGCTTCAGCCACGCCTCCAGTGGCCAACAAAATGCACCCTTTGAATTGGCAGGTTGTATGATAGGGACACCTCCAATGGCAAAAAAGGGGCCCCGCTGGAGGTCTGGGGTTATGGCCGAATTTCTTTGAACCACAACTTTAAGATGGTCCGGCCAGGTCTTCTGTCCGAGTAACATTGCGTTACTCCATGCCATCGCCTAGCTCTGGGGTTGTGAAGCCCAGCCCTTCCAGTTCCCATTTTAGCAAGCAACCAGGGCATCATGCAAAATCTAGGGGTTCCTGTAGCGGCAACTGGAAGCACAGGGTCGAGTGCGACATGTAGCCCGCACCGGGGCAAAGCCACGTGGCCAACTCCGGCGTGGGCACTTTTCAGAGGGTCCCTGACGTTTGTGTCAGACTTGCGGGCTCTTGTCCCTTTCTGTGCCTTTGCTGGGGAGTTGAGACTTTCTTGGGGGGTGTAACCCAACTAATCATAGGGCACCAGTCTCTGATCAGGCAACTATTAAAGTGCCCTTTGATTCGCATTTGGGGCGGCATCACAAATTCCCAGCCTGCAATGGCACAGCGCGTCGGAGGGACTTTGGTTGTAGCGTCTTGAATAACGGGTCTGAGGAAAATACCCAAGCCCTTTTGGTTGCCCTGTGGGAAAATAAGGATCTCGTGAGCTATTTGGGTGTCTGCCTTTGTGGGGTTTCCCCCTTTTGGTAGGTGTTTTTTTTTCGGGAAACCAAACGGACACCACTTTGATCCACTTTGGAGGGTTCCCTACCAGACAACAAGACACGCCCATTTTGCCGTCGTCGCCATGATCGATTGCCCGTGGACCCTCGCAACCCCGCCTCTGCCTCTACTCGTAGAAACCCCGCTGCCAAGAGGTCGGTCACGGAGAGTGGCCTAAAGCGATAGGGAATGACTTTCCGAGTCAGGGTGCCGGGAATAAACCGGTTTTGGGGATTCCCGAAGAAAGGAAACCACAGGATAGACGGAGCTTCTTGGGATCATTTCCTCATTCCCTGAGAACCAGCAAGGATACCTTCGGGATTTGTCCGTTGCTCGCGTGCAAGCTCTCATTGGCCCACCCAGGGGGGGCGTTCTCCACAGTGGGGTAACAAGGGAAACCACGACGTACCATCTGGCAAATGGATGAAGGATAAGGCTTGAACAACCCAGCTTTATGGGGAAGCATCCCAAGGCAAATTATTCTACTCTCCAGATCGACAAAGCCGAAAGCCCGTCAGTAGAGAACTTCTTTTGGGTCCATCTCAGAGAAATTCACAAGGAATCCTCAAGGAACCTGCGCCGGTAGCAAACCAAAACCAGACCGACATCGTGAGACAACATATTTGAACCGATCTGGCTGAAGCGCCGTGTTCAAAGCATCATATTGTTTCTATCGCAGATATTACTATACTCACCTCATCCCGAATTGCTGTTTTGGCTTGGCGGTTTGGCGGTTAGCGACTAGCTGTACCATTTGGCTTCAAACAGAACTGGGGTAAACGCTCAAACAGCCAACAACCACCAATTAAGGGACACCTGACATGCCTCGCTTGTCTGGAGACGCAATGATCGAAGTTTTGGGCCACCCTTTGTCCAATCATGGAAGTGGAAAGGGGGCTTCCAAAAAGGGAAGTCTTCCAAGACCCAGCTGCCAGCCCCCACAAGAATTAACTTATGTTATATTTGGCTTTGCTCAACTGCGAGATTGATTCTTTGGGAAACGCAAGGGTCAGATGGTCATACCTGGAACTTCCAGCATGTAAAATGATTGCCGTTTCCCGAAACAGCTATATTTGTCGCCGCTTGCTAGAAAGAACGCTCTTTCGTGGAGAAACACAAATCGCCGTGATTCCAGCTCGTGCGAGGCAGACAATTACGCCGGTTTGCCGGCAAATTATGCCGTTTTGGCGGCAAATTACGCCGTTTCAGGTTTTTGATTTACGCCAAAGTGTGCAACCATTCAAAAATGCCCGCAGGCGAACATAATCGCCGCTTGGTCGGCTGATCCAGTGAAAAGACCATAGCTGAGTAGTCCTTGTATCTAAATTCAATGTGTTTGTATTTGGTTGTCATCCGTTTCTATTGATGGGATACACGTCCAATGATAGTTTCATATTTAGATAACTAGTATTTGACAAGTCATGTTAATCCATCAAGGGATATGCGCTGCAAAGAGTATGATGTTCATCTCTGGATGTTTCACACGTCATTATATGCATTGCATTCATACAACTACCACGATCGAAACATATGTTTCTTTATATATATATATATATATATATATATATATATATGCCTACATACACGTATTGTCATATGATGTTCTAAACCTCAATAAGTTGATGAGGGACATGCAACCAAAGGGTTATATGTCTGTGGCATGGACAAAACAACCTGCAGTGACAACTGGTATAACAATATATCATTGAAATACATACACCATTCACCATACTTAAACCAAATGACCAAATGAAGTGATAGAGTCACAAATGCAGCACTACAACGAAATCAACACTATGGCTGTGGGTCAAAACCAATGGTACCATTTTGTGGTGGGTGCACCCCCCCATTTTAGTCTATTTTAGTGGGGATTGGGATGTTCACTGGGGGTACGATTTGGATTTTGACCCATGGCCATATTATGTGGACAAAGCCAGTGCAAAATACAATCAAGCATGTCTGAAACTGCACAAGTGCCGCCAGCAGTTTCAGAGAGACCGCACTACCCATCCGGAGGTTGAAACACACCAGATGTCGAGACAGAAACTCGGATTGGTTGGTCTTGGTTGCTGTTGACCCCCCCTGCAAAAACCTTATTTTGGGGGTTTAGTGGAAAACACCTTTATTTTCCAAGAAGTTAAAGTCTAAAGATCCAACCCAATAGCAATCAAGTGGTCAGCAGTAAGATTAGCTCCAACCAGTTGACACCAGTTCCAATTTATGGGCGGAGCACTTGTGCGGACCACTAAGCAATCGCCTGCTATGTGCGCGGAGTGTGAGAGAACATGGTTCAAACAACTCAACTGCCCGATCTTGGTCCCGGTGCTTTTTAGTCTCCCTTGTAAAGGGGTCGACACAAGGGTCAACCCCCCTGTATCTACCAGGGAAGGACAACTGGGGATGGGTGTCTGTGCTTAGGCCCACCAAAATTGATTTCGGTCTTCCTTTGGCTTCCTTCAAAAAGCCACCCTTGGGGGATACCAACTCAACAAATAGGCCACCTTCAAATACCCAGGTCGACCTGGGGCCTTCCCCGCCAGGCCTCGCATCCGGCTTCTTGGGCTCAACCTCCTGACGGGTGTTCTCGGCTTCGAGGTCGAAAGCTCAGTCGTCCAAAGGATTCTGACCCTGGAAAAATGGGGTCATTATCCAAAATGAAGCGGTCATGACCCGATTTTTAAAGGGATGAAGACTCCAGGTGAGCCCTTGGTTCTTGTGGTGCGTAAATACGGGAAACCACCCAATGCTTTCGAGCCCCTTTTTGCTTTTCCAAGAGGCTTCCTCACTTATTGCCCAAAGCCGGCCTTTTGACCTTTCGGCTTCCTGCGGTGATCAAACCACCAGTCCAAACCACCAATCCCTAAGTCATTGTCCAAAAACTCAGACCATCATTGGGATGACGCAAGCACAGAAATTACAATGATCACTGTACAGGTAGGCAAGGGAATATATTGTAAACGCAAAACAGAAAGTGGCTGGTTACCTACTGTGGTGATAACTTCATGACTGGGATGTACTGAAAATGTTATGAACGAAAACGGGGGTGCAGTGAGCATAACAACTGGTCCCAAAGGGACAAAGGGATTGCCTATTTTCGATCGGGTTTGTCTCGCAATAGGGGACACCACCAATGGGCGAATTTCCTGAAAAGCAACCCTTCTTCCATGTTCCTGGGTACTTTCGGAGACTGCTGCCAGCAAATGTAGACAAAAATGACCGGCCCCAGTAAAAAAAACAGCTCAGCAGTATCCCCAGTCCTTCCCCACAAACATACGCCCCTAGATGGCTATGTATCAAGTCGAGGGCCCCAATTGGATTCACGTTAGTCTCCTCTCAAAGCCATCGCAACACATATTCTCAGTTTTGGGGCGTGGCAGCGAGCGCTGTGAATCTCTGCCAGCGATTTTCTACGAGCATTCTGGGGCGGAGGGGTCGTCGTTCCGCATGTCTCTCCCGTGTTTGAGGTGAATGAAGGATCCTTAAAAACAGCGCAGCGCCTCTGTACGGCAGTTGCCTGGCACCAAAAGAACAAAAGGGCCCAAAGAAGTGAGTCGCAGGACATCCCCCGCCTCTGGCGCGTCCTGCCAAGTGTGTGCAAACGGTGAAAGAGTTAGGGAGGTTTCCAGGTATCCTCCCAGAAAGCTGACTCTTGTTCCATATTTGTGGATGGGAAAGGTATTTCCCATACTACAAGCCCCAATATTTGGCTGTGTTCAGTTTCTTGCGCATGGGGACAGCTCGTCTGTACAAGAGTGCCCAAACTGCTGCATGGTGGTCCTTTTGACTGCCTGGGACAATTTCAAGAACCGCACGCGTCAGAAGGGCCAAGCCATGCGCCCCATCTGATCTGAAAAGGACAACCCTGACTGGCATGGAGAATCTCAAAAGGCAGAAGCTCTGGGTGGAGTGTGGACAAGCACAATCACACAAGAGACAAAATCAAAGAAAAAGAGAAGAAAAGGAACGAAAGAGAAAAGGAAAGATAGAAGGAAAACAGAAGGATGAATAGAAGGTGGAGGGTAAGCGCGCTCCAAACCAGCAGTCAAACACTTTGGTATCACAGAAACTCTCGTTTGCCCACAATCGTGCCCGTGCCCGCTGAAAATGCTTCGGGAGGAGTGTGCATCCACTAACAACCCCTTGTTGTACACACGTCATAACATTATTTCGGTCGCAAACTAAAACCCTATGAGGTTGCAAGCTCGGTTGTGTACCATGACCCCCAGTTTAAGTTATCCGGTCTTCCCCGCAGATGCAACGCTGGAATATAAATAGTTCCAGGGGTACCCCCTCACCCAATTCAAGTTTTAAGGTGGGAACAATCGGGGACCACTCCAGGTGGTGGGGCATATTTTCACGTCCTTCAATTTGAATACCCGGAGTCTCCGTGACCCTTAAAAAACGGGTCATAACCCCTTGATTTTGGATATTGACCCTATTATTTCAGGGTCATGGAGACTCCAGGTATTTCCGTAAACCCATCAGGAGGCAAGGACGTCTTCGATCCCTGGCCACCCAGTTCAGGCAGCCAATTCGTCCTTGGTTTCGCCATCCCACTGCTCGCTGCCATCCTCGGATTATTGCGGCGGGTGTGTGAAAGCAGACAAAAAGAAACCAAACAACTTGGGGTCCCTGTTGTGCAACCGATACGGTTATATACAGTTGAGATACATGTAACCGCTGTGAAAATAGGCTTCTCGGTTTCAAAGAATTCCTTAATTTGCCGGGTGAAACGGCAAACCCTTAAACCATCTGAGGCGGGCCGACATGGTACCAGCCCAAAAACGGCCCGTATTTCGGACAAAGCCCCCGCCTTTAGAAGAAACACCCAACCCAAGAAGAAGGCATCATGCTGTTGGTTGAACTTAAGCCCCCTTCAAAGGAAAAGGCACCACGAACGTCACTCCACCCGTCTTTTGCAGCCGCTATCTGAGTCGAGACACGGAGTCCAAGTTGTCCGAATCGAGGATCGCGTCGGGCAAGCCTGGCGCGAAGTGCAGTGCAATTGGATGCGAGTCACGTCAACACGCAGAATACATATATATATATATATATATTATAGATAGCTGTATAGATGTATGTGGGAATGGAATGTTAATTGGGGACTCTTTGGTGGACATCGTTTACATACTACAAAGACAAGCGGTCTATATGCATGTTGTAAGTTAGCTTGGCCAAGGACCCAAGTATTGACCCGGTTTGGGGAGAAAAGGGACTCGTGGAAGAGGCTATTTGCACCAATTAGGTCAGGACAGGAGGGCCTTGTATTTACACAAAAGACTGTGGATGACAGCTTTGTGTATCACCCTTCTTGCCACGCATGAAGCCCTCAATCCCCTGTGAGACAACATTAAATATAATCTGCATGTTTTGTTAACAATATGTCCAAAACCTGAAGTAAGGAATCCCTCAGCAAGGATCTGTACCATGTTGAGCCCGTCTTACCCTTGCCATAAATTCGTTGCCGTGGCCCACGGCCACCCCGGTCCTTCCAGCCGCGCCGCCCGCTGCCGCAGCAGGGTCTGAATGTCCGGCGCGAAGAAGCCCGGCCTTTGGCCACACGAAGTGACTCAACTGCCGGAGGCCAGAAATCAGAAGGAAAGCGAGGACCTGGGATCTGGGGGTCTCCTTCTGACCCTCAAAATATGGGGTTACCGGGTTACCCCAAAAAACTTCTTGGGGTCACCCCATCCTTTTCAAAGGGTCAGGGAGATTGCAGGTCAATTCCAGGCCTTCCGGCCGGATGAGCAGGCTGGTGTTAGCTTTCGCCCAGGTTTGTCTTGTTTGCCCGGAGTAAGCTGGTGTTACAATCAACCAATCCCCCTCCAAGCCACTTTAAAGTCGCTTTGTCAAGTATACTCATGCCAAGCATGAAACGCAGCATGAAACGCAACCAGATTCTGATGGCGTTTGTGTGGGTCTTTCTCAAAAACCCAAACAGCTGGTTCAGTGGTTCACCAACTCACGAGCTGGGGAAACCCCAATACCTACAATATAAAAGGGCCCAAGAAGTACAACAGCATTCTCATTCTCCCCTGATCACGGCATACTTGGATTATCGAAAACATCCCCATTCTAAGCGTTTCGGCCCTAGCCAAACTATCCGGATCTGGGAGCAACCTACACAAAATGCTCCCAAGGGGGAAACCGTTTCCGAGGTTCGGGGCAGCGCAACAGCCTCCCAAGACTGCGGAAACCCAGGCGGTTTCTGGCCAAATGTCCGTGGGTCAAAAATATGTACCCAAAATGGGTTGCCCTAGTAAGTGGAAACATGGACTTAGACCTGCAGCCCCCTGGTGGTCTAATTTTGACCCATACCCAAATATGGAAGTGCAGGGCACGAATCTGAGTTCAGAATCCCCACCGCTCCAGGCTGCCCCACTTTTCTGCCGCGCCATTCGCAGCCGCGCCATTCGCAGCCATCGGACAATCGATGACTCAGGGTTGGGTGAAGGCTCGGATCCCTAAGGCTGAAAAATGTGTTCCCATGGCTCAAAACCAGGACCCCTTTTGGATGGTGGAAAACCAAGAGGAAACAATCTGCTTGTTGGTTCTGGAAGGTATAAAATCAGCTGCTGGGCCCCTTATGGCGTGAGGGCAGCAGGACGGTGCCATGAAGCTTTCGGAGGAAATCATGTCCAAGGCGTCTGAAACGCGCATGCACAAAACTCCCAAAAAGGTGCCGTTGTGTTTGTGCAATCAACAATCAAGGACCGCCACGATTTCTTCTGGAACTGCTTTGCTTGTCAAAGGCTCCATAACAACCAAACAAACGAACCGCTTCCGAGTGTCACTGGTTTGGTTTCTCTTGATGTCTCGTTAAACAACATCCAACAGGGCGCCATCTTCAATTTGCAGAGACCCGTATGGAAAGCTTGGCATCCAGGTAGTGCTCTTGTGCAAATGAGCCTCCCTTACCAAGATGGCACAGCCTTGCTTTCTAGGCCTTGCAACTTGACTCCCTTTCGACCTGTGTGGCACTGCAGCGATTTCGTCGCGCTGTGAGAGAGGGCTAAAGCCACTGGCCGGGCTGGAGGAACTTGGATCCACTATCCACTGAGACCTCTCAAGATGGCCCAAAGGTCGAAGCCCTTTGGGGTGCAAAAGGACAAGACCTGACAAGGGAGGGAGGTGTTTGCAACATGTCCCACAAGAATGATGATCCCACACAAAAAGAAATCCTCTAAGCCAATCCTAGTAGGCTGCACAGGCAACATGCGCGACAAAAGATCCAGTTTGACATATGGGTAAACAATCTCAGGTTAAACCTTTTCGAATGAATTAAGAGCGATAATTCACATTGCGGCAGGTTCTCAACTGCAGGGTTCAACCCCCATTTAAAAAGCTCCAAGAATTGTTGACCCAACTTGGATGATGACAATCCTTAGGTGAACAATGGTGGTTATATGAATCTCCATTGTTTCAATTGCTGTTTGAACCCCAGGGTTAAGCCACGATGAACATGCATAGATTCATCCCGTATTTCCAGCTACAGGGTTGTGAAATTGCGAGTTTCGAGCAGATTGTCCCACACACCTTCTGTCAAACGGGCAGCACCCGCCCACAAAGCAAATCCTGCCGGGATAAATCCTGTAAATCAAAAGCACATGCAAGTTGTCTTTCAGACATTCTTACACCCTCTTTCAGGGTAGTAGGAAGTTGGCCCTCCAAGGACAACCAAAGAAAGCCATACATTTTTTTTCTACCACCGTGTCTCCGCGATCAAAAACCGCCCAACTCCTCTTCCTTTGTCCTCCCAAGCCCAACCAAAAACCCACAGATCGCAACAAAACCCGACAGATCCACACACCGCAGGCGGGGGCCACAGGGGCCCGGAGCGTTGCGCCCAGGGTTCGGGGGCCCGCCTTCTGCAGGAGATAGGACACCACCAGCACCGTTGCCCAGTAGACCCCGAAGAACCAATGGATGCCCACCGGCGCTGGACTGCGGCGCCGGTTTTTCGCGCAACGGGGGGGAGGGGGGGGGGGGTTGTGTGGCTTCAAACCGAGGGGGGCCTTGTAAACTCAGTTGTTCACTGACCCTGGAAAAAAGGGGAACCCTTTTTAATGGGGAAGACCATTTTTAGTGGGGCAGCCACCACCAAAAAAATGAAACAGGGTGCCACTGAACAACTGAGTAAAGGCCGGGGTTCCTTTGGTGTCCCTTTGTGTACGGACTGCAACAAATAGTTGTCTTATCTTGCTGCTAAGAGGTTAACCAAAATGGGTCCTGTACTTTGCACATTGTCTGAATACTAGATTTGTGAAGTTGGCCACGTCTCAAAAATACGGAGAGAGATTCTGCATGATGAGACTCAAGTATCCCAGCCGCAGTTTCAAGTAAGTTATGATCGCGCCAGCACTTCCAGCATGGGCAAACAAAAGCGACGCCACTGCACAACGAGTACCACTGTTATCTGCACCCATATTGGGTGCGCCCTAAAACTTGAAACCCAGTTTCGGATGTTGGTGACAACAACACACAAAGCTTCCATTTAATTTGTGACCAGTCATGCTGCCATGCTTGGTGGTTTCGAGCACCACCTTGCCAAATTAAGGATGAGTTTCCCGTCAGGGGGACGTTTTAAGGGGGAAGTCTAGGGAACCCGGTTGGTCCTCAAACGCCAAAACGAAGCCAGGGCCAGGCTCGGAAGGTGAAGCACAGCCCGAAAACAGCTGCCGCAAAAGGAAGACCGCCACAAAACAAAGCACCAAACTGGACGCCAAAGCGGAGGTCTGGATGTGGTCTGCGTGTGTTTGTTTCTGTGTGCTGCTTCCTAATATTCCATCGCCCGGCAAACAAGGCAACTGGCTGTTTGAAGGCTGGCAAACAACCTGATTGTGCGAAACGTGTTTTCAACGGCCGGCTGTGTAATTTCGCCACGTGGCGCCCACTCCTTGCCAGCCCTATGCAAGACTGGGAGACTGGAGCTCAACAGTGGCGTGTGCGCTTCATTAAATCAAGGCAGCCGGCTTGAATCTGCGGCCAAGTGGGTGAGGCTCAAGATTTAAGAGCCAGGGGAGCGCAGGTTTTAGTCTACTTGTCCATTTATCAAGGTTCCCTTTGGTGCCCCTGTTTTTGGCCGTTTGGGTCCTGCTCAAGAGGCTGGCAGCCCGCGAGCCAGAGAACCAATGGCGGGTACCTTTTCAAGGCCAACTGAAAGCAGCTCCCTGCCTGGCCAAAGCGCGGCCCCACACCGCACTGGCCACGGCCTGGCGCAAAAGCACCGATCCGGGTGGACTCAGAGGCGTCGGTCGCAAATCCCGATGTTCTGAAAGGCGCCCAGCTCGACATCGAAGGCGCGGCCTTCTTCGTGGAATTTCCGAGTGCATTGGCCCAACGTCGGGACTTGTTGTTTACCATTCCTAGACTTCCCAAGTGTACAACCCACGGTTTTCAGGGGCTGAGCGAACCAAGGCAACACCAACCAAAATTAGGTGAACCGTCCTCAAACCCCCTTTGCAAGGCGACAATGACACCAGGGTCTAAAAGCGGCCCAGTTTTTCTTTTCGAACTCCCTATGGCTAGATATCCACCACTAGGGTGTACAAGCAATCCACAGCCAGAAGACTTGGGCTTAGGGCGGACCTTGCTGTTCATATCATTTCAAGCCGTAAACTTCTGGGGCCATTGAAGTGACATCCTCGAAATTACCCTGCAAATTGTGGATGAATGGGAGACCATCCCCAACTCTCATTTTGACACCTCACAAATCGTGCCAAGACGTTGGCCTAGCATGCCTGCCCCGGTTCAATCAAACGTGTCACGGTGAGAAGGGTGGAGCTCTCACCCCAAACCCATGACGGATTGACTAATGCCGCAACACCAACCTGTACTTGGCACTTGGGTGTTCAACCAATTTTGTCAGCGGGTTACAACTATGCGTTCCACCAACAGATTGGGTATGTGGCCAAAAACAGGGACACCTAAAATTGTGCCTTCCTTGTGTTTGCCCTTAAACCAATCTGAACACGGTAGCCGACAACAAAAATACCTCTGGGTTCCTCACTTCCCAAGTGGATTGGCCCAAAACAAGTCCAAACTCCCTATATACCTCCAAGATGCAAAAATGACGAAAACCCAGGAACTCACTCACGACCTCTGGGTTCCTTCCAATTTTCTCGGACTTCTTTCGATCCGCAATCACAAATCATGACTCACGGTCGTCGAGTCGTCGATGACTTCCCTCGACAAACTCGCCTTCTTGTAGAAGAGCTGGCCGATGGGCCCGTGGGCGATGAAGATGGGGAAGGAGATGCCCCCGAGGAACTGGGCGCTCGTACATCCGGTTTGTCGCGGGAGGAAACTCGGGGGAAATTCGGGTCGCTTTTGACGGGTAGGGCAAACCAAAGCAAAAGTGGAAAAAAGCCATGGAATCCAGGTCAAAAGGATCCATGTATGTTCCAAGCCAGAAAAGTTGATATGAATTACTACCTTTTCCAAGCCAGGAAAGTTGATCACTCACTTCGAAAAACCTTCCCAACAATTGTCCAGGCCAGAAAGTTGATATCACTCACCTTCCCTTGGCAACCATTTGGTTGCCAGTCACCGGAGTTCCCCAAATCCAAAGTCGATGAAAACTGGCGGTTTGCAACGGAAAACCTGAGACTCGCCCCTGACCGAAGTGCCTTCCGAGCCCGGTGTTGCCTGTCGCGGCCAACGTTTGAAGCAGAGTTCTGAGCCAAGTGACCTCTGGGACCTGGGATCCATCTGATGGATTGATCGAAGACGCTCCCAACATGGGATCACAACTGCTTGGAAAACCAAATGACCTGGGATGACCATTGGTTGTTGAAAGAAGACACTCACAAGATGAAAGATACTTCAACCACTAGATGTTGCCCATGGATGTTCGGGGGCCCAAGGGAAGATTGATCAACCCCATCGGAACTCGTGAGATCAAGTTCAACGGATTCTGTGCACATGCGAGCCACGTGCCCAGGAGGGAACCTCTTGGAGAAATGCCTGGGGATGCATTTGGCGAGCTCAGAAGACCCCAGCGATATCAGGCTGCTACAAGCCAATGTGTTCAAATTTCAATTCATGTGCTGGGCGTCCTGGTCTTGTTTCTTTCTGACCCCCTCGTTCTCCCGTCGCAACTGAGCATGTTTCAGCGGGATTCCTTGAACCAGAGGTTGCAATCCAAATCCAAACCAAACCACCAATCGGGGGTTACCTGAAAAAGGGAGCTTTCCCTTTGAACTCACCTTGAAAAGGGTACCGGAGTCTCCATGACCATTGTTACCCAAAGGACAGGGGTCATGTCCCCCCATTTTTCAAAAGTGTCATTGAGAACACTGACGGTCCTATCAAGAAGACCACACTGACCCACTTGGATTCTGCAATCACTTGAATCTCAGCCGTCGTTTTCGCCCCCTGCCAAAAAATGGGCATCCGGGCAGAGAGTGGCTGCTTGCACAGCA